GGTGTGAGGCCTGTACACAGTGGGAGTCCTGGACTCCCACATTTGATACTCAGGTGATTTGAGAGGCCTGTACACGGTGGGAGTCCTGGACTCCCACATTTGACACTCAGGTGGTGTGAGGCCTGTACACGGTGGGAGTCCTGGACTCCCACATTTGATACTCAGATGGTGTGAGGCCTGTACACGGTGGGAGTCCTGGACTCCCACATTTGATACTCAGGTGGTGTGAGGCCTGTACATGGTGAGAGTCCTGGACTCCCACATTTGATACTCAGGTGGTGTGAGGCCTGTACACGGTGGGAGTCCTAGACTCCCACATTTGATACTCAAGTGGTTTGAGGCCTGTACACGGTGGGAGTCCTGGACTCCCACATTTGATACTCAAGTGGTGTGAGGCCTGTACACGGTGGGAGTCCTGGACTCCCACATTTGATACTCAAGTGGTGTGAGGCCTGTACACGGTGGGAGTCCAGGACTCCCACATTTGATACTCAAGTGGTTTGAGGCCTGCACATGGTGGAAGTCCTGGACTTCCACATCTGATACTCAGGTGGTGTGAGGCCTGTACATGGTGGGAGTCCTGGACTCCCACATTTGATACTCAAGTGGTTTGAGGCCTGCACATGGTGGGAGTCCTGGACTTCCACATCTGATACTCAGGTGGTTTGAGGCCTGCACATGGTGGCAGTCCTGGACTCCCACATCTGAGACTCCAGTGGTGTAAGGCCTGCACATGGTGGGAGTCCAGGACTCCCACATCCATATCATGTAAACAAATGAAGTATAGAACATAGTGACAGTCCCTGCAATATAACATAACATAACATAACATAACATATTGTAAATCTGAGACTGTACAATGAAGTATTAAGCATGTAGTAGTGAGAGGCCTCAAACACTTTTGGTAAATGTCACATGATAAAGACATCTTCCGTAAAATGCCTTCATTTTAGAATTGTTGGAAAAGTAATAGTAGACTTGCAGATAAACAATCTATGCTATCCAAGATGTCAAATGTAAACAAAGGTTTCAAAATGAGCTATAAGTGTTTGTCCATGTGGCTACAACTAATCTTTGGAAATCTCAATGCCCAAGTGCGCTCGACAGGTGTGAGCAGCCCTTGTAAATCTTGGGAACTGGGCAAAGAAAATAAAAATCTAGGTAACTCCAAGTTTGAGAAGGAGAACTTTCATATGAGTAGTATGTAGGTCACACCCCAGTCACATCATGTGATGTTGACTGAAAGTGCTTGAGGCCTACCTTACATGATACTACTGACTGTATCTATGAGTATATAATGGATATGCATGTTGTTGAAGCCTGCACACAGTGGGAGTCCTGGACTCCCACATCTTGAACTCAGTGATTTGAGGCCTGCACACAGTGGGAGTCCTGGACTCCCACATCATATACTCAGGTTGTTTGAGGCCTGCACACGGTGGGAGTCCTGGACTCCCACATCTGATACACATGTTGTTGCAGCCTATACACAGTGGGAGTCCTGGACTCCCACATCATATACTCAGGTTGTTTGAGGCCTGCACACGGTGGGAGTCCTGGACTCCCACATTTGATACTCAGGTTGTTTGAGGCCTGCACACAGTGGGAGTCCTGGACTCCCACATTTGATACTCAGGTGATTTGAGGCCTGCACATGGTGGGAGTCCTGGACTCCCACATCTGAGTCTCAAGTGGTATGAGGCCTGCACACGGTGGGAGTCCTGGACTCCCATATCTTGTACATACCGGAGTAATAATCAAAAACTAGGAAAAATTGATCCTAGGTGGATCCTAGGGGGGCTCATAACCCTGCTGGTCGCGCGTCAATGCGTTGACGTGTCGAACGTCGTGGCTCAGGAGATGGTACCGTTTCTACCGGAACTTCAGCAGGGACAGGGAGAACATTGTCGTTCGACTGCGGGAATGGCTGTGGAGGTTCGGGGATGAGAGGAGCAGAAGTCGGAAGTACTCCCACTGAAACGGTACTGGGTCCTGGTAGTGTAATACCGGAATCATCTTCTCCAGGTCGTGTGGTTCTGAAGCCGTCTTCTGATATCGGCAAATCATGTGGCAATGCGAGGGTGGGCTGCTGCATTGCAATGCGCTGGTTGTGTAATTCAACGAGGGGCGAGAGAACTGAGTTGGGTGTGCCGTAGAAGAATTTTTCATCAAAAAGGACATTTCGAGAGCGCACCGTCTGTCGTGTCGCTGGATCCCATAGAAGATATCCCGCATCTTTGACGTGCCCCAGTAGGAAGCACCGTCTCGAAACAAAGTCGTACTTGTGGCGATTGTCGTCTGGGATGTGAGCATATGCGAGGCAGCCAAACGGACGTAGGTGCGAGACATTTGGTAGTTCACCATAGAAGAGTTCAAACGGCGTTCTGTTGTCAGTAGCTGACGACGGGAGGAAGTTCTTGATGTATACTGAGTTGAGGATGGCGTGGCCCCAGAACGAACGAGGAAAACCACTCTGGTGATGGGCACTTAATGCTCGGGTGGCAATGGTCTGGTGTCCACGTTCGGCAACACCATTCTGTTCGGCTGTATGAGGCATCGTAAGTTCGTGCTCAATTCCTTTACTACGCAGGAATTCAATAGTAGCGTGAGAGACGTATTCGCCACCGTTGTCACTGCGGAGGCGTTTAACTCGTTGCCCTGACTGGTTTTCAATCCAGGCGATATATCGCAGAAGGTGCGAGTGTACCTCACTCTTGTGCTTAATGAGGTAGATAGTGGAATAACGCGAAAAATCATCAGTGAAGGCAACAAAGTATGTTTCGCCGGACGGGGTTGCAGTGTTGACGGGTCCCCAAACGTCAGTGTGAACAAGTTCAGCGACGTGCGTTGCACGGTGTCGAGCATGAGACGGGAACGGCAATCGTTTTTGTTTGCCCATTAGGCACGACGGACAGTCAATGTGGTCACCAGGTCCTGTAGACTCGTCTAACAGGTTAAGTGACAGTCCTAATACAACCTTCTCAGCTTTGCGCAAGGTGGAGTTTGCGGCATGGCCCATGCGTGCATGCCATACAGCTAGTGGTAATGGCGTAGCCGAGGTGGACCTGGTGGCAAAGGCCGTATGGGTGTGCTTGGCTCGAAGGTAGTATAGACCGGCAGAGCATTCCACACGTGCGATCACAGTCTTATCAGCACGACGCATTTGTCCTCCTTCAGCATCCGTTTCGAAGAAAATTCCCTCCGACGCTAGAGCAGACACTGATATCAGTGTGCACCGTAGGTCTGGTACGTGGAGGAAAGGGAGTTCGATAGACTCATGTCTTCCGTCGAGCACTAGCGTGATGAATCCCCAACCTGGGGCAAGAACAGTATCGTCATTCGCAAGTTTCACGATTAATGGAGGGTTGTAAGTTCTGTAGCAAGTGAAGAGGGAGTGATTGGATTCCATATGTGCGGTGGCGGCAGAGTCTACGTGGAATTGAAAAGAAATAGTGCTCGTATTAGAGAAACTAGCAGAGTGTGTAGGAAGACGAAGAAACGATGGAATGCCGTCAGGTTGTCCTGGTAGGGGAACTGATATGTCAGTACCTTGTGAAGGTGAGGGGGGAATGCACGCTGACGTGTTTGATGAGTCGGATTTTGCTAGACGAGCACGGCAGTTGTTCCAGATATGGCCTGTGCGCTTGCAAGATCCGCACGTCGAGCGCCACGACAACTCCCATTTATCTCCCTTGGAGGCGTCAAAATCCTTCGGTTTGGCACGCTCAGTAGGTTTACCTGCTTTCGCCACCCTAGCAGCCATGGCTGTGTGGTGCGCATGTGGGTTTGCAGAGCCGAAACTTGCATAATATTGTTCCGAGTTCCTGATCTGGCTGATGACTCCTTCCAGCGTTAGCTTCCCGGTATTGGCGTCAGCACTATGGAGTATGAGCTGGGAAAGCGGCGCATAGAAGTCGGGAAGGGCACGCAGTAGCGCTTGGACAAGGGTATATTCGTTGCACTTCCATTCGATGGATTCAATGACCTTGAATTGGGCCTTGATGTCCGTGATCTCCTTAATGGTCTTGGTAAGAGAGTCGCTATCAGATGCTTTGGGAAGGTCAAAGATACGGCCCATGAGGCTCGTAAAGCGGATGCCAACAGACGCCTGATACTTGTCTTCTAGCGCTTTCCAGATGACGGCTGGATCAGTGACACCCATGAAGTGGATGAGGTCACTTGAGTGTACCGTCATACCAAGGAGTCCTTTGGTTATGCTTTGGCGTTCTCGGAAAGAAATGACGTCCGCGCTCGCATCATGTGCCGCGAGGCGTTTGTTGAAGTCAGCCTCAGTCTCAGTGGTGCTTCTGGTTGGGCGCGGAGGACCCTTCTCATCTCCTGAAAGGAGGCGCCAAAGGTTGAAGAGCGAGAGCCAAAGGTCCATGGTCGTTACCCACGAGGTGTAGTTGGAGCCATTGGCGTCCAGAGGAGGGTGAGGAAAAGATGTTGGAATCCGGATGTTGGACGACGATATGGTGGACATGACAGGTGTCGAACGATGTGTCGGCGATGGCGACAATAGAATGGGAAGATTCAATGGGTGTGGTAACGAGCGAGTTGGTACGACAGGCGTTAATGGCGGCGATGGCGGCAAGGGAATGGATAAGATCCGCAGGTCAAGCGGGGATAGAGGGCGACCTTGTTCCAGTTCGGAAAAGGTCGGAGAGGCTCAGATAAGGCGAGTGGAAGCGAGAAACGAATGTATGCCTAGTCTGAGCCAGGGCTCATAACCTATCAAAGGTGAAGAGACTCGGACTAGAGAAACTAAGGGCGAGAACAGAACTCAGTCTTGGTTCAAAAAGACTGAGGGAGATTGTTCGACGAGAGGAGGAATTAATACGTTTGATTGGGACGGAGAGTCAATAGGAAACGTGTATGACGCATGGTAGGAGGAGTGTTCGTGTATGTAAAATGAAAAGGCTAAGTACGTGTAAGGGTCATATCTTGATATGCAGATGAAAATGTCGAGTCAGATCCTAATTGAATATCATGATTATGGTTCATAAACATACTCCTGTGATGTCACCATGTACGACGTCTTGCGAATGAACTAGAAGTCCGTAAATCAAAAGACATCATGCGTTTGTTCGAGAGTACTTACAATATAAGACTGCTGATACCAATTCTTGAAGCTTGGAGCACGTAATATCGTAAGTCAGCCTCATGTTATTTGGTAAATTGGAGAATCGAACCGGTACTCACGATGTGGAATCTCAGCCCCAAAGAGAGATCATCGTGCTTCAATTCCAGGTAAGAATGCAGTAAACCATTCTCGACCCATGGACAAACAAGGGCAGGCAGAGGGCCAAACCCCCATGTAAGTCCAATGAGCGGTAAGATGTGTACATCTTTCAGGGTGGCCCATGTTTGTGCCTCCTTACACAATCGCGAAAATAGAATGAGATCGCGGGATCACAGGGGATGTGGTCAGCTTACCCTGCTCTTCTTGTCTCTATCTTTAACATCAGCTTGAATCCTGATTGCTTTTACGGCAACCTAGAGGGTAGTCAGTAAGTATGAAACTGATGGGTATGGAGTCCAGACGAACCCTCATATTCTTCTCAACCCAGATGCATCTCCATGCATCGCTGAATCCGCCGATACCGTTAGCCAGGGCATCTTTATCCTTGATCTGTCCACTGAGATCAGGAAGACCATCTATTGGGTGAAGACGTCTGATTCGTCATGGTTTTAGAGTGAATTGATGTCAGAATCACTAAGCCACCAACATTGGTCCGTCCGAGTCAGCTTCAAGGCTTGTTACTGGCTGTGATGCTGCTAGGTATGTAAGATGTCCAGCCAAGGTTGATCCTGCAGTAAAGGGTTCGACAGGTTGTTCCTGATAGAGGAAGTAGAATTACGCACTAGGGCAACTGGACCGCACTCAAACGAGCGGCCGTTTACAGGAGGCTTGGAGGGCAGAAGTCGGACAACTGCTTCCCAAAGTAAAGTTGGGTACCAACTACGAGTTGGGCTAACTGGTGACTCGACTTTCTGTTCCGACATCAGAATGACCATGACTCGCGCAGCTAATACAGGTCCGCTCATGGCCGGATCATTCAGGGCCTCTTGTACTATTGGCGTCGGAACCCATCCAGGTGCAATACAATTTACACGTCCCCTCGGTGCGATCTTCACGACATCACTTTTGAGTGTCGTCGTCAAGCCATACATCATCGCTGCCCATATCCACGCTCAGCACATAGCTGATTCACGACAAACATAAAAATCACCACTCTTACTGATAGCATAATCGCCGTGAATCGCTTCGCCATACTTTCCTGATGTGCTCCCGATGAGCACAATTGCAGCCCTATCTTTCACGCTTTCTGTTGCTGTACGCAAGTGGGACAAGTGTCAAGAACTCACGGCAGACCAGGAAGCTTGGGTTTGCACTGATGGTGCGGTCCCATTGTCCAATGGTCATATCGACGATAGGTACGTCCTGGGGCAACCATATGCCATGGTTGACCACGATTACTGCCACAGGGCCGAATGCGAAGGCATGAGTACGTTTTCAGACAGATCATGCAAGACATACCAGTTGGGAACGATTGATTGTGGACACGGTTTGATCATGGGATCCCGGATAACCTGAAGGCGTCCCATTGTCATACCAGGGGCAGAAGCCTCTATAACAACCAATAAGCAACATTGAATTGTACGGAGCACACTGACGCACCCTAATTTTTGTCTTGGTACCCTCTTCATTTAATATTTGATTCCTGATTGACTTCACAGCTACCTGGGACCTTATCAGACTCGAACATGAAAATCGGGACGCACTCACTATGATGATGCTACCGTTCCTGTCCCATGTACATCACCGGATGTCACTCAGGCCTCCAAAAGAAGTGGCGTGCGATCTAGTTGGCCAGTCAAAGCTGGCAGGCTGAATCAAGTCAGCATTGCTGCCGTAGTGTCTGGCTGAAGTCTCACCAGCTTGTTAGATCATTCAGATTCGAGTGGGCAGAGAACTGGAGATGCTCTAAGTGACGTTGCCCGAAATTGAAGTGTCTGAAGTATTTTCAAGAGAAGTTGGAGCTTGTGTGTTCGTTCCACTGTGATGAAAATTGAGGTCGTAGTAGCTGCATAGTAGATTCGATGTTCGTTATTCTGTATATAGTATACCGATTCCTTCCGAAACACTCACTTAATCCCTGGGGGCCTAGAACGTTTACCGGTATGGCGGTACCTCAGTACTCAGTCTCGGACGAGAGTGAGGGTATGTCCGTTCATTTATAGTATTCTGACCTTCGCCAGCCGACCTTCTAGAAAACTTTAAGCGTTGAGCTTTGAAACTTTGAGCGCAGTGAGCCCAATAAACTAGGGTTGCCCTTACTCTACCTTTAAGCCATTGTCATCGGAGTAGGAGTGAACTGCTGTGGATTTTTCTTTGGTCTGTGTCGTCCTGCTTCGCGCCAGTCATGAAGGATGGAAGACGTGTGGCACACTCACACTCAGTTCAGTTCTTTTTTTCCCCGCATCTGTATTTGACTCCTCATAATCAATATTCGCCGCCATGAATGTCACCCACGCACTCGGATCCATCTATCTTCGTGCACCTCCTTTTCCTTGCGCTGCTTTTCTCGGGTCCACGCCACGTGTTGACAACACCACTGGGGGAGTCGGCCCCGTTGTCTGGAATGCAGCTTTTGGTGGTGCAATGGTCTTCTGGGTGGGGAGCTTGATGTTTGCTTGAAAGGCGACCCATTGAAACATCGAAGCTAAAATCCGCGCAGCATTGAGTACGTACTGCTCGAATCGTGCACAGATTGTTCAACATGTATTTCCATTGATATGAGTTTACTGATGACATGAAACTATGCTATATATCTTGCCCGTCTACAGGCCTACAAACGCCTAAACAAAAGATAGTTTGCCGGTGTCCAAATTCCATACCCGCATTGTTTTATCAATTGACTCAGTCGCCAGCTGCGTGTTGTCCGCGGAGATATCAATGCAGCTGATTTGAAGTGAGTGTCCTTTGAATGTTTCCACAATTCCCGTCTCAACCTCACAGGCTCTCAGCTCCGCCCTACCTAGATCTCCACCACCAGTGGCAACCCATCGGCCGTTCCTTGATACAGCCACTGCACATACTTTCTCCTCGCAAACACCCCGCGCTTCCTCAATTTCCTTGCCCGTCTTCAAATCCCATTGCCGAGTGGTGTGATCTTTGTTTTTTATCTGGCTGTGTGGTTTGTCTGACAGAATAAAAAAAAGGAGATCCGCTGGTCATTCGCTGGCCATCTGGAAAATAGGATATGGATCGAATCCCACTTCCATGACCCTTCAAAGTTATTGATGGTTTCAAAATCGTTTTCGTAGCGGCCGTCTTTGTCGATGCAGAGGCCATGGTTGCGTCTCTGTGAAGTAGTGTGGGCAAGGTATTCTTGAGGAGCGTTCAAAGGTGAGCTCTCCTTTTGTCACGACTGACGCTGGCAGGTATTCGACGACAGGCCCTCTGGTCAAGCCAAACGTCAGCCCACCCGCGCTCGAAATACAGATCAGAATTTGGTGTTACCGAAGAGTTCTGGTTACGAGCTTGATGGGCGATGAATTCCTGAATGTGAGTGCAGCTACTTGGGCGTCGCCTTGCATAAATATACCCTGACACGCCCCTCCTGCATGGCAGCTGTGCACGCTTTTCAGCTCAAAGCCACGCCCTCAACATACAGCATCAATCTGTTTGCTATCAATTCCCACCCAATGATGGGCGACAAAATGTTCAAATCTTACTCCACGTCGTTGCTCTCAGATGCATGAACGTACACGTTCAGTCCTCAGGGAGACCACTGTTCATCATCAAACGACTATGCGCATGCGCAACGTTGCAGACACATGGTCGTTTCAGCGCCTTTTTGTTCGTCCTGAGCACGCACTAACCAATTTGCAAATTTATCAAACACTAGAAGCTTCGAGTGGGTGGGAATGCGAAGACTTCCGGCCAGGTGTAAGTTTTGTTTCAATTTTGACGTGGTCTCGAGTGTTCTGAATCATGAATCATCATTCACAGGAAAGGCCTCAACTTCAACATGCTCTCCCTCTCGAAGCGTGAACAGAAGGCTAATCACTCCGTCGACAATTATTACAAGGAGACGCTTCGGGTTGGTCCCTTGAAGATGGAGAAGGCGCCAAAACTTCCTCATGCCCCTAAGCAAATCCAAATGTGCGTATAACTTCTGTTCTTGGTCTTTCATGACAATTAACGTCTCCCTGCAGACAAGATTTCCAGTTCTTCGACCCACTCTGGCTCAACTCCAGGAACGAGAACTCGCCATGCACAAGGTATGCTCTCTATTATCATTTTTCTATTTGGTATTCATTATGCGCCTGGAGGCAAAATGGGCTCACAGCTACTCTTCGTGAACCTGGACCTGATGACACGCCCGAGCCGAGCGCGCAGCTGCACAAGAATTCATAGATACCGCCGAGCCGCTGACAGAAGAGGAGCAGGCACTGAAAGAGAAACATACTGAGGCTGGCTTCCACGATTGGAGTAGACGAGACTTCCAGCAGTTTGCCGCGCGCTTGAGAATTATGGATGGTATTGTATTTTCTGCTTTTCCGCGAGAGGTACGTTACTGACGCACGAGTAGGACGGATGACGATGATCTGTTATCTTCGGAGATACAGGACAAGGACTGGAGACAGGTTAACTACTTGTACTTCAAGAAGCACTGGAAGGAACTGTCTGGTAAGCATATCATCCGCCGTATTCTTCTGAATCCTAGCTGACTTGTCTGAATGAAGAACATCCAAGAATCGCTGCGCGTATCGCCGAACGTGAAGTCAAGCGGAATAAGCGGTCAAATCTCGAATTTCTACTTGCCAAAAAGATGCAAGACAACGACCCATTCTCATGTGTCGCATCATTCCAATCGCACTTATCAATCCCATATCTCGCATCATCCGCATCATTCGCATCACACCCTTCAATCCCAGTCGCGTGCGCGCTCACCGGCACGCATGGAACAAGATGGCAGGGCGACGCCCACACCCTCTCGTCTGCATTCTCCGTCGTGCTCCTTCAATCAGGCCGACGAGGAGATGGTAGCAAAGCCATTGGCTGAACGAGGCGCTGGTCATCGCACCTCGCACGCTCCTAGTGCTCTCGACCCAGCGATTGAAATTGTCGATCCCCGCTTCCGGCGGAACAATTGTTTGGACCATCTGTACGTACCCTCTTTTTCTCCCTCATCAGACTCAATTGACACTTGTGCACCAGGGTGCAGAAATTGTGCAGCTAATACTAGACCACGGCAAACTTCAGTCACCAGACATCATTTCACGATTGTCAATTCAAAACCCAAAAAGTCGGGAGATTTCTTTTGATCTATAACCATTGCTAATGGTGCACCCAGGTTCAAGCCTATACTCGCAAACATTAAAACATTATACAAGCCCATATTCAGCGCATATATTAAGCCATCCACATTACTCTTACATCACTCACCCAGGGACAAACGTATCAAATACGAAGCAGAAGAGAAAACTAAAATAGCGGGTTTCCCTACAGCGAAGGAGTGAGGTTCAAGAGACCGCGGAGGCGCGGCTGAAACGGGAGGAGGAAGAAGCAGAGAGCGTGGGCTTGGTGAGTTGCCGCGCACCCACCAGTCCCAATATCTGTGAGCAAGTGCAGAATCATAGAAGCGGAAGCCGGAAGATCTGATCAGCCATCGGTCATCCAAGGTGAGCAAACTCCAGCGATTATTATTTTTTGTGGGTACTAAACGTTCAATTCAAATTTCTAGGATGACGTCTACTTTCGGGTGAATTTTGACAAATTCAATACCCATATCCGCAACAAAGTTAGTATCTGCTTCCCGTTCTTGGCTTCATACTGATGTTATTTGCCAGCTCATCGAGATGGCTGTAGGAGAGCGTTTTAATCAAAATGCTGCTCTTGTCATGTGAGCCACACTAAAGGCGAGCGGAGACAGACAAAAGAGTGCGTCTGATGCAAGATACACTAAATCATGTGTTCTTCATATGCTTATGGTGAAATAGATCCTACATCAACTGCTGCAATTACCATGCTTATTTCTGCTGACGATGACCTTTTGACAGGTCTCGTCTCGTCAACCAAAAAAGCCTCAAGGGCTTCACTTGTCAAGGATAATCTTGGTCTAATGTCCGCCGTAGACAATCCAACGCCAGCTGGTAAAGCGGCGTCGTTCATAAGTCTAGCCGACAACATAGTACATGTTGAATTTGAAATAGTTAGCAAATGCCTGCGAAGGCGTGTGCCGAAGGCAGTGGCTCGGGAACGACACGGAGACGTCGGCGTTAGAATAGTGCGTCTACTCCTCGATATTGGAAAGATGGATGACAAGCAGGTGCAACCCTTGATGGTTTCGTCTTAAAATGTCTCTGATACCAAACAGATAGCAAAGGTGGCCAAGATGCCAAATAACGTTGTCCGGCCACTTCTTGGCACTGTCGTTTGACTTTTTGATTTCGACTCAAGAGGTACCCAGAAGCGCCGATCGTAATCCCACGCGGACATTTTATCTATGGTACTTGGTGTTTCCATTTTGTCAGGATCATTGACGCAACCAGATACCCAGGCACGTCGATCTACCAAAAGCATATTCTGTGCTGTTGGGACACCTGTACAAGACGCTGTATAATATAGGTCCAATCTCAAACATTCTACGTCGCAGACGGTCAGCCGGCACCGTCAACAACCAACCAACAATGCCCGCTCCACAGACCCTCCACCGAGCAACAATGTTCTCCAATAACAATAACCAATCCCACCGTATCCGCTTAGTTCCCCACCTCAACTCTCGCCGCACACTCCGCTTCGAACCCATAACCCGCGACCTCAAGGACAACGACATCCCCCTCCGCATCGGCCGCTTCGCAGATCGCTCAGGAATAGGTCTCGCAGCAGTAAATGCTCTAAACACGAACAAACTCGCCTTCAAGAGCAAAGTCGTCTCGTGCCCATGCTGAGATCTGGGTTGACAATGGCAAATTCTATATCAAAGATACAAAATCTTCTTCAGGCACGTTCCTTAATCATCTACGCCTAAGTTTTCCTTTCATTCTTCCCCGCTGGCCCGGCCCGCAGAGGATCAGATTCCTTGATTAGTCGGGTGTTCAGGGGGACTACTGAAAGTGACTAGTGACTTGTCGTCCGAAGGTTTGAAATTCGTAAATCAAAACGGAGGTAAAGGGCCGCCGTGAAGGTGACAGCTGTACAGCCTATGGTTCTTCGACGCTGCGCCCACAAGACACCCCTTTGCGGAGTGCCAGCCTGAGAATCCCATGCAAGCCTTTCGCCTCTGTGCGAGGTAAAACTTTATACCTATAGCAAACGTTGTTTATTGATATTGCGACTGGTTCGGGTTGGATAAATGCCAAAGAAAACAAGAGGGATTAAGCAGGAAATCTAGGGATACATGATTTGGATTGAAAGAAGATTGACAGGCGAAGGTGATTACATGATTGTCGTTGTCACGAACTCGGTGCCAATTAAAGATCGTTTATCGTTTATCGGTGTTTACTGTGGGGGTGCGCAACGCGCATTAAATTACTGAAACATGAGTCTGGCTCTGCCATCAACTTCGTTCAACTACTTTATCGATTCGATTATCAATTGTGGACCTTGACTTGAAACATCCAAATGGTGTTTTGCTAGTTTAAAAGCTAGCTCAGGTTTGCGCATCTTGATTCTCAACCCCCTTTCTTCTCTATCTGAGCCTCCTTAGTAGCCCTCATCATCATGGCCGACAATGCTGACACCACCGTACACAAGACACCTCCCCGTAACTCTACCTTGTCTGCCAATTTGGAGGCTGGGCTCAAGTTCATCACTCGCAGTCGGTTCCGCTGCTGTCAGCGAACGTATCAGTACTGTTGGCGTTGAGTGGGTCAATTTTTCCTTTTGTTCTCGCCACCATCACCTATATCAGTGAATTTCACAGAGTCAATGATGTCCGCCCATGGATTGCGAGGGACATCCAAAACTTTGAGAAGTGTGAGGCAGATACGATGCTGCAAGAACTCTTTGCAAGATGTACGGATTTCTCTCAATACCTTTTTGGCAGCCAGAAATCGAAGCTGCTCAAGATAAAGGGACACCTGACTGATTTGTAAGTCAGCATTTCGAGTAGTGCGAAAGAAGACTGACACTATTGTCAAGTTGTGATATCGAGCGCGAACCATCGACATATGCTCCTTTCGTCAAAGCCGCCAACTGTGCACTCCGTGAACTAAGCAAGGTGAAGGTACATGGAATACCTGCGTCCAAGGTCGACGACACGACCGATGTCCTACTTCATGTCAATGATCCAAAGAGGACCACCAGGACAAACAGTCCGAACACAAGCCTGACCCTTGTCGTCGTTCCCCACCAAACTGCCCTGGGTAAGAAAGTACACGAAACGCAAGAATCACAGGTTTTTACCGAGATGGCGTGCAAATCGCCCAACGACAACTTTCAATGGACCGATGTTCGATTGACATCGCATAGTAGCCATGCTGGCATCCAGTCAGTTTTCCATTGTCACGGCTCTTGGCACAAAGAACAATCCCGTATCTCATAGGTTGAAACGCTCTTAATCCAATGTTTTGCTGAGTTTTTCGCATCAGTGGTCACAGGCATTAGCTACGATAAAGTATGACACTTAATTACCATCCAGTTGGCGCCTACTTATGAACGCAAAGCTGAATTATATCCATCGCATGGCGGCTAGGACATGCTTCATGCTACTTGGGGTACATGGGGCCGGCCATATTATATCCGATCCCTAGTACGTATCTTCAATTTCATATTTGCCATTTTCTAATGGAAGTTATCGAAAACTTCCGGGAGAGTGTGAGCGAACGATGGCTTCGTGCTGGCATCCCTGCCATGGTCGCTTTCTCTATTCTGATCATAGTATCGCCGCGTCCCGTTCGCCGCAACATCTATGAGGTCCTCTTTCATGTTCACTTCCTTGGCGTCCTGTGGGTGTACCACTTCCATTTTCTTGTAATTGTCATTGACAGACAGAGCGCAGCATATTTCTGGTAGGAGGATATTACCACACTAAAGGTGCTCAGTAAGTCCAAATGAATACAAACAACTTGGTTCCTAGCTTGCAGCGAACAGCGGGTCGTACTGGATATGGCCCTCGTGTGCGTTCTGGGCTTTTGATCGCTTCATCCGAGCGGTTCGACTCGTTGTATTCAACCACTCTTACTTTGGGTTCAAGTCAGGAACTGGGAAAATGGACGCAGCGACTGAAACGCTTTCCAAAAATGTCATTCGATTGCGCCTGTGTCGACCCATGCATTTCCATTGGTCCCCGGGACAAACGGCATATCTGATAATGCCCTCAGTTTCGACCCTGCCATTCGAAGCGCACCCATTTACGATTGCGAGTTTTGATTCTAGTCTGCTGTCAACTGCACCAGCAGAGGGTCAATCCAGCGCCGAGGTCATGGGATCTAGCGCCCCGTTCTGGAAGGAGCTGGCATTTTTGGTCAACACGCAGGTTGTTTTCCGAAAAAGCTCAAGGAAGTAGCTTCCAAGAAGGAAACTGTCAAGGTTTTTGTGAATGGTCCTTACGGCCCATCTCCCGACCTCGGTTCATACGACGCCTCTGTATTGGTGGCAGGTGAGTTAGTGTATCGTCTCATAATCACATGGAGCTAATTGAATTCAGGTGGGTCTGGCGTCTCGTATACCCTCCCGGTCTTCCTTAACATCATCGAGTATGCGCGCTCACTTTGATTGTTGTGATTGATGTCTGATCCTTCTTTTAGATGCATATGCAAGGGGAAAGCTCTGGCACGTGCGTGGTGTTCATTCAGTTCATTCGCGAGGCTGGTGCATGTATTAACAACAATCCGCAGCTTCTTCTTCAAGGTTATTGACGTCACGCATTGTAGAGTATGTCCAATGGATTGAAGAAGAACATGCTGTTCGGCTTGCTCCACCTTCTTTGACAATCTCTATTCGCATCTTTATCACCGCTTCTTCATCCAACACATCCAGGGAAGACAATTCCAGCATTTCAAGTTCGACTGAGAAGAAAGATAATCCGGAACCCACAGTTAGTCATGGCCGGTAAACACAGGGAACAAGTTATGCACCCTTTTCAACCCGCACCATCAACGAATGTGCAACCATGACCTAGCCTTTGTCATTATGGACTGGACAATGTCATTGCGGCTTCTTGTAGCATCTCTCTTCTCAACAGACCAATCACTTTCGAATCCTCGCAACTTCAAGTTGGGCGTGTCCTGTCGCAACATATCGATTTTGCGGTCTTAGTATCCTATATTTGCTGCATATGGCATAACGTCGCTTTCAACTGCTCCTCATTGTGGGCGCACATCACCATCACAGCTGACAACGTGCATAATGTTTACAGAGGGTGCGCCATCGCAAATACATCTCTTCTTGCAATCCGTACTGACCTTTGCTTAACATACACCGCAGTCTACGCGATCTTCGCCTTCAAACTCGCCTTTTTTTCCTCAGACAGAAACGAGCATATTGCACAAGCGGACCACAGCCTCGACCAGTTAGCAAATAGCCTTGCCAAAGTGAGAAGAGACTGCAAGAACAATACGTGTCTCCCCCTTGTTCACATCTGTTGTTCTAAGCGATCTAGAGCGCGACCGTCTCCGTACCCTCCAAGAGACCCTTGCTCAGCACACAGCACACTTCATGTTGCATGCCTCCTTCCACCCCAATCACTAGCGCTTACCAAGGAATCTCAGGAGCTCTCTGTGTTGAGTCAAACTATTGGTAGAGCACGCTCAGGCCTTGTACAGGAGCTAGTAGAGGTGTTTCACGTTGTCGAAGTTGGGGGACGACCTGCAGTGGACGGCCAGGTGCAAGAGGAGAATGGACTGTTGGCAGACTGGTTCTTCCAGTACTGGGAGACGTTAGACGTGCCTTACGATTACTCACTATGCCAAGAATCTGATCACATAGGACATAGACCCGTGTGGGTCAACGCGTACCCGGTCACTAGAAGTTGCAATTTCTCTCATTAGACAATGATATCAGAAATGCATAGACAAAATCATTTAACAAAGGAAACTTAGGAAAGGTATAGGTACATTGCGGTATGGCCGACATTCCTACTTCTACACAAGGTATGACTGGCATGCAGTGTGCTTGGGCCATCGAGTTGTCCATCCAATTATCTTCTGAGGTACACGTAGTACAAGCGGGTTGAGCTTGAGCGTGCACTTCAGGTGGTGCGACAGAGGAGAAACTGCCCGGAACAATTAAACGAATGCTCGCTTATAGTGCGACATACATGCCAAAGATGGAGCACGTTACCTGAAGTAACCTGGTCCTGTATTGGCATCGACCTTGTAATACGCCAGCCTCTTCAAGACATCTGACATCATCGGTCGCTGTTTCGGGTCATCATTCATGAGCTCTCGAGCTATTTCAAGTAGCGCATTGCGTTCCCTGGATGGACTACACAGGAAGCACAGCTCCTCCAACGTCTTTCCACAGGACCACAAGTCTCCGCGGATCGCGCTGTAGAGACCTTGACTAGCCTCGACTTCAGGCGCAAGATATCCTGTGGTACCGACAATGCCGCAGAACATTGATTCAGTGCCTTGGATGCGTAGGGATTTGTTGAAGTCGATGATAGACAGGCGGCCGCCATCGGTGGGGACGAGGATATTTGGAGGTTTCAGATCCAGGTGCGCCACGCCATGCTGATGCATGAAGCAACAGCTTCGAATAGCTGCTTGGCCACAGGCCATAGGTGTACGCCGGGGTTGGATAGACTAGTAAGGTGGCTGCCAGCCGTAGGCATTGATACAACGTTACCCCCATGCACCGGCCAGATTTGGACTGGCGAGATGGTGTAGTTTGAGGGAGCAGGGCATATTCTTAACGTCTGCTTAGCAAATGCAAGATAACTATGATGTGTCGTTTGCCCACCTCTTTCTGAATCCAAACGTGAAGTCCCGGGGATCCTAGGCGCTGCTTTCATGCCCCAAAGGCAAATGACGCTCAGGCATAAATTGATGAGGATCTTGGTAGATGCTCGCGTCGTGAGTCATTGCCCTAAATCAAACCTTGCGTTCAACGATCACTTCTTCTCAGAGTTTAGTGGCTAACCTACCAAATGTTGGACATCACCCAGGTATCTTGGGGAATACGGTAGCCCTTGTACGAGTCGATTTGCATGGGCGACCTTGGGGAAATTTGGTCATGGCAAGGGGGACCGTTTTACTACCCCTTGCCATGACGAAGCTGCCCCAAACCAAATTCAAATATTAGCCTCATCACGTGTTCCGACTCTTATCAGCAACTTCACGCCAACGCAAGAAAACAATTGCTGCTCGCCGCTCTGCAGAGTCTGCACTACTTAAAGTGTCAGGGTCAGTTGTACTTCTTGCCATCCTCCACTCCCTTCTTTCCGCATCATTGCTGTGCTTTCATCTTGCTGGTTACAGACGTCACATTTCTAAAGGTATTTCTCTATACAATTCTGTGTTAGCACTCAACTCGTTGCAGAAGGTGTATGGACGCTTCCCCCGCATATTAGGAATGGGAGACTATGCTTCGGTAAGCGCCTCCAAACTGCTGCATATCCACATAAATTAATTCTGTACAGCGGTTGGCAACCCTACCTACGAAATCGCTACCTGATCAACCTTCTCCCTCGTCAGACACCTCTGCACGTTTGACTCGCTCATCAATATTGATCGCACCGTTGATATGATCACACTCCTTCTGAACCAACTCGCGTATGAAGGCCTCGTCGACGATTTTATTGGTCAACTGTAAGTAGCTATTTTCAAGATCTTCGAAGTGAACACCAGACGCTGAGACTTCATACAGGATGAACTCGCAGACACGCATGCAAAACTCGCAAAGCAACACGCCCTATGTGAGAAACTCGGGACGGACCTACTTGCTTTGAACATTAACAGCGGGAGTGGGCCAAGAGAGGAGGGTGGGGAGAACAGGTCTATATTTGAATGGAAGGCCTGCCTTTGAATGGTTCGTAGTCTTTTTCTGTCGTGTTTACTGTACGTCCTTTTATCCTAGGTCGTCATCTCTTTCGACTCGCCGCGCTAGCTTCACCAAGCTGCACTTTGTTCTGCATGTTTCCCTCTCTCGTCACCTCCCTCGCTATATGCTCTCGCCTCGTCTCGCTATCATACATTTGTTATTTCCGTCTGTCTCTTAATGCCGTCTGTGTCTCTGAGTGCCATGTAGTTGTTATCAAAACAAAATATATTGATTTTGAGCTATATACAATTGTGTGCACAACGAAGGGTATCATAAGTCGATGCAGTGAGAATGTTGCTAGACAGAGGTGGCGTTCTAAGGATCTATAAGTGAGGAGAATGTTGACGACAAGGAAATGGTAGCAATTGTTGGGCTAGTATCACACTGCGCGGCGCTCGAGCTCGGCCACTCTTTCTCGCATTCGGTTTATTTCAGCCTCATGCTCCCTCGCTGCTTCGTCCTTTTGCCTCCTCTCCTCCTCTCGTTGCCTCCTCTCCTCCTCTACTCTCCTCTCCGCTTCCTCTCGTTGCTTCCTCTCCTCCTCTAGTCTCCTCTCCGCTTCCTCTCGTTGCTTCCTCTCCTCCTCTACTCTCCTCTCCGCTTCCTCTCGTTTCCTCCTCTCTTTGTCAATCTCTGGTTGACGTTGAGCCCCTCCTTCCAACCTCAACTGTAAAAAAACAAATAAGTAAGCAACCCAACCAATCCCAAAAAAAACAACTCACCCAGCGCTCCTCCTCCTCCTTCCTCTCCCTCCTCTCCTCCACCACATTCTCAAACAGCGCCCACTCCACGTGATACTGCTTACACACCTCCTCAACACTCTCTGCCTTTGGAATGTCCTGCCCCCAAAACTGAGAGCGCCCATCAATCAGGGTGGTCTCCTGGCACCCATCAAAAAGCGTCTTGAGGGTCTCCCAAACAGTGTGTGCATACCAGTAACACTGGTACTGCCACAACCGGTAAGTCGGGGAATGTTTGCTGAGCACGCACAACAGCACAGATACCTGCATCGCCGAAGGACGAGCAGAAGCGGGAAAGTCAAGGTTTGATAGAAATCTGTATGACCGATATCGTTGAGTCAAGTACGACTCAAGGGCAGAGGGGCTGTTGAAGGTTGTTGATATGGTATCGTGAGCAGGGACCTGAGAAACTGAGGGGGACAGTACAGAAGCCTGTCCAACCGATCTAAACGAGCCACCATTGTTCTCCGTGCACTCCACACGCGATGTGCGATCAAGCACCAGGACAGCAACGGCGTGACGTTGCACCGGATGACGGAAATGGAGGAGGATGAATTCGTGTTGCACGTCTTTGGTGCACTTGCCGAAGACCATGCGTTCGAGATCGCATTGCGAGGAAAGCTCACTGGTCATTAGTACTGAGTACCAATCTCCTACCGGGGTCCGAGTATCACCCTGGGTGAACACCCCAGGGAGGTCGGTTGGGGATGACATGAATGCGTGCAGGATCGTTGCGAGGAAATTGCGAACGCTGAAACGCTTGACGCTTTTGCTTTTGAAGGCCATTTCATTGACTAGGGTTGGGGCACGAGGTAGGGTGGCTCATGTGCTTGGGAGAAGCTGCGTGCGTCAATCATCGTACTTCTTGCTCCTTATGGGCAGTATGGACCCTCTGAGATGGAGACTCATTGGGACCTGTAGGATGCTAATATTCTAATTCCGAAACCAGGATGTACTCGAGCCAACTTTCCCTAGTTTTAAATTTTACATAATTGACTTCAAGGCCATTAATATTCTGGCACTTTTGTCACAAAAATGCAACGATTTGATCATATGTGATAGGTGCCGGTGAGGCCTTGAGGCCTCGCTACGTAATAGAATACTATGCCTTCCACTGCAATCGGCACCCCACAGAAGTCGGCAGTCACGCTTTTTCGCAGGGTTTGATGTGACGGGATGCCTTAGAACAGACAACCTTCTGGAGAGAATGTGTTGACACCGCGATCTGCAAATACGATGAGCTTTATCATATGAAAATATTCAGTTGTCAGAGTGAACATACCATACTCGGAACACGCCAAAACATAATTTACACGAAGGAGAGAAGTGAAAGAATGAGCGTTATGCGCTTGTCGACGCGCGTCCGATCAAGCCAGCGTGTGGAAAACATTTTACATTTGCAGATTGATGTGGCTTATGTCCTGTACAGAGTAAAGTAAGGGTATGCATAGTCAATGAAGGCCACTAGACATACAGCACAAGCCCATAATGAACGAACATGGTCTGGGGATCGGAGGATCCGTTCCTGCAGGGGTCCCAAGTTTCGGAGTTGATTCTCTCTCGTGGCTTTTGCAACCTTCCGAATCTCCTGCAATAGGGTTAGTAACGACGGAAACAGAGTAACTGAAGAAATAACACACTTGTGCTTCATAATCTGATCACTGCCTCATGCATGGCAAATTCCGAATTCTAGATCCTTCACAAGATCCTCCGCTTCATTATCGAGCTCGTGTTCAAACTCGAGCATGCCAGGGATGAAGGTGCCAATTTCGTGTACCCCAGGAGCGGAGGTTTGGGAATACCTTGGGTGGTGGAGGTAGGGAAGTGGTCATGGTTGACATTCGTCTGCGCTTGCGAGCCTGGAGTTCAACTGGGTCGATGTTAAATTCGACATCCATCTGCTGTGATATGATTCACTTAGTGAATGGAACGACATTCACGGGAATCAATATATACGCTGTTGTAGTGTTCTTCGACATATTCTTTTGTGCGAGTACCCATATGTTCTGCGATCATCTCCAGTTTCCAAGGCCTTCCTGAGATATTCCCTCAATAAGTAAGAACTCCCTGTAAATACGTTTCAGAAGAAGCGATGCGGATGGCATTGGTAACTTACTCATCTGCCGCCCAGTCAGCAGACGAGCTCAAGGTACCGGAGTTCGAAAGTCGATGGAGCTTCGAGCTCAGGATGTGAAACGGGTTAGCGCAAGGGAAATCATACGATCGTGAGCCAACGCACAGAGCAGTTGTGTCTCGGCTCTCTACCAAAAACTAAGATGACAAACGCGCCGTCAGGGATAGAAGTGGTATAACGCGCTAGTTGCGGCTGTGCGACGTGGAGTGACCGTCGGAGTCCTGCAATGTCGAGAGGAAGTCTCAGCATGGTGCTTGTTGCGAGGCCAAGGGTATTAGTCTTGGGATATGGAATCAAAAGATGTACAAGGTCTTGGCAAGGTGCTGTAGTTTTGGGAGTAGTGATGGCTGGTGGTGTGGTGAACGAGGTGGAGATAGCACCAATTGGCTGTGAAGATGATGGCAACATCTTGAAGCATCGTGATCAGGCGGCCAATGAGTTCGAAGATCTCATCCTCCATCTGACGTGACAACAGTTGAGCAAACTCCGGACGCAGAAGCTAATTGATGAGGTGAGAACGGCACCACACTGGATATGTAAGCTTTTACCTTGAGCATGAATGCAGAGGCGAAAGACGCAAAGACAAAGTGGCCTTGAAGGATGATGAGACCAAGAGAATCCCCGGTTAGGACAGTATCTTACCATCAGGTGCAGCGCGCACGAGACCACTAGGTGTCGGTACTTCAATCATTTGCCCAATGATCAGCTTTGCGGAGGCGAAGCACTGTATGAAGCTCATTAGGATGCTTTGGATACGGAACCACAATAGTACTGACCTTGTCAAGCAAGACATTGTCACTCGCCTCCATGCCTCGTTGAAGGCGTGTTGGAATCCAAAATAGTACATGACAAGACGTGAATAGCTGACCAAGCTAGAGGAGGCACATCAGCTAATCACACCAAAGATCGAAACACCAAATTTACAAGGGTAGCAGAGTACAGCGGAATACACTTCGAGGATCTAAGGCAAGGCACAAGGAATAAGCAGACGTTTGACCATCGCTTCTGGAATGAGATCATACCTCCGAACAGAAAAGTCCTAACTACACTATCACAATGAGATGGGATGGGATACACTTCGGAAACTGTGAAAATGCCATGTCAAGGAAGGCGCTTGCGAAGCATTCTTGCCGTAGACTTGATGAAGGTGTGGAGACGAAGAAGGTCATATCCTGGGTGTCTATAGAAATACGAGGAACGCGCCGCCAATGAAATTCTTGGTGTTACCTCCAGTTGCACTAGTACCCTTCCATGTCGCGCCGAGACTCTCTGGGTTAGTTGGCGTCGTGGTATGCGAAATGATGGAAATAGTGGCCGAGTCATCCCTTGCTTCTGTGCTTCCTTCTGAATATGACGTGCACCAAGACACGGGCTGTCCACAAAAATGGTTGAGAATATCCATGCCCGGAAGCAAGAACGGATAACTCGAGGAGGTGTTCTGCAGCGTAGGGGATCAAGATAGAAGCGTAAATGGAAATGGGTGGGTTGAAAGATATGTCGATGCTCTTAGGTATTTGTCCCTGATCTGGTTTGAGGAACGTACGTGGGGAAAGCAAACACGGGAGACGCGTACCAAGTGTATCTTTCAGCACAATCCGGATTAACGGCGTGGATGAACGTTCGACATGTATTCCACTCAGTAATCCAACATTCTTGACGATCACGCGTAGCACCGTATATATTGGTTCTTCGGAAGGCCTGGAGTTGAGATGGCATGAACTGAAGGGGCGTTAGTAGTGCATCTGGAGGTGGAAGGCTTTTCAAGTAAGGAAGATGTCGAAGGACAACGGGAACCGGGCTGTAATGCACGATTATCAAACACGCATACAGAGACAAAATCAATTCAACGCACCTCGAATCGGGGAACATCCAATATAAGCAAATGTAAGTGCAAATCAGCTGCCTTTCCAACCAAGACTGTAGGTCAACGAGAGTCGATTCGCCAAATAGCGCTGTCAGAGCATGCAGAGAACACTCCACGTCGATGGCCGGCGAGAATGGACAAGATATGATCGTAGTATCAGTATCGATAGTGTCTTGCGGGTCTCTTCAGCGCCCTTGCTGTCGGTTGCAAATATAACGCAGACAGTAAAGAGGGCATGAAGCACGAGCTACTGGCGGGTATTGGCCTGTCAGTTCCAGAGTGTTGAATGTTGGACAATATTGTGGATGACAGACCTTGCGTGAACCTAGGCGCTCGTCCTAGGGAAGTGTGGATAGAAGACGCGTTTGAAAGGCATGATCGGGCTCCAGGGACAGTAGCTCTTGCCAGAAGCGCTGTTCGTCCTGTCCAAGCGTATCCGTCCACAGCCGGTACTGAGACACTGTTCATAAATTAGAATGCGTGAGTGTCAGAAACTGAAAACTCACTCTTTGAGGGCAAACCGGCCCTCTTTTTGACTTCTGGGGGTGCATATCCACGAGAACGCATGCGCCGAGGGCGCAAATCTGAAGGCAAAGGTCCTTAGTTCTGTATTGAATCTTTCCAATTTGCTGAAGATCTGGTGCTTGCGACAATCGCTGTGACAGTTCCAAGCAGATGTGGAGTATGAGTTTGGATGCGAAACATCGCTCAACAAGGGAGCGGCGCTTGAGACTGCTGAGAGGGATGAAGGGTGCGAGTTATCATGCTCGCAAGTCTTGGTATGCAGGTGGGAGCAGGAACCGCGAGAACGCCCGAAGATCCACTTGAAAGCCTGTCAAGTGCACATGGACGGCGTTGATAGCCCAAAGGACAGAGCTCGAGGACGATTCGTCGAAGGCAGATGCCTTCATCTGATGCGTCTGTTGGGTGGTGGTATAGTTAGGAAGGGATGATGACTGTAGATAGAGCATGTGAATCACAAAACGGGTATGGAGGCAATATGAAGTTACACACCTTCGAGTCTGATACATCGGTTTTCTGAGCGATGGGACATGATAGTGCGACGAGGCAAAATGACGAGGATCGAGGATGGACTGAGTGGTGGCTGGATGAGTGAGAGTGGAAGTGGAAGACGGGGGTAGAGGCATGGACTCTGGATTGAGTTCAGCTGAGAAAGCAGAAGAGGTCGCGTCAAGTGAAGAAAGACCCTTCGCTAGGGTTTCCAATAAGTCACCGGAATGACTAAGTGAAACGCATAGCGAAAAGACCATAAAATGACATACGTGAGTACTGGAAATTCGTTGCCCAACGTTTCGGGCTGATAGAGATATGCGCTTGACGGAACACTCAATGGCCGCGCGGTGGTCACTGGAAGAGGCATGGATGAGCCATAGATGGGCTCTGCACAGGAGTAGATTATATTAACACAACGGAAATCACATAAGGAGATTGTGCACGCACCAATTCAAGCGGAACATCTACAGGACAGGTAACCAACGATTTGAATTTGAAGTGCAAAGGATTGGATTCTTTGGAATCTGAATCGCGCAGTGGAGGAACATCACATGACGAAGGATTGAATTTTGGTCGTTGAACTGAGCTGAGGCTAGCCATACTTCAGAGACACTTATGAGACATTTACTTAAGAGACACTTCAGAGACACTTCAAAGACACCATATGCTTAGAGACGCCATACTAGCTAGTTGCTTACTGAATCGAACCACGTGACTGTTCAATTTACCTTATGCCATTACTCTGTTACTCTGTAACCACCGCACCTTCCATTGTTTATCTCAAACTCGATTATTAAACCACATTGCTCTTCAATCTTGTCTCGTTCCTTCTCGTCCGAATCGTCTTAGCGTTTCACGCCGTAACTCAGTGTGTCTCCAAACCAAATTGAAATCTCAGCCTCCTGCATCACGTGTTCCGACTCTTATTGCCCTCCAGCAACTTCACGCCAACGCAAGAAAACAATTGCTGCTCGCCGCTCTGCAAAGTCTGCGCGACTTCAAGCATCAGGGTCGGTTGTACAGCTTGCCATCCTCCACTCCCTTCTTTCCGCATCATTGCTGGTTACAGATGTCACACTTCTAAAGGTATTTCTTTATACAACTCTGCATTAGCACTCATCTCGTTGCAGAAGATGTATGGACGCTTCCCCCGCATATTAGGAAAGGGAGTCTATATTTCGGTAAGCGCTTCCATACTCCTGCATATCTCAACATAAATTCATTCTGTACAGCGCGGGTGGCAACCCTTCTTGCGATATCGCTACCTGATCAACCTTCTCCCTCGTCAGACACCTCTGCACGTTTGACTCGCTCATCAATATTGATCGCACCGATCACACCCATTCTGGCCCAACTCACTTATGAAGGCTCATCGACGAGTTTATTGGTTCTATGACTGTAAGTAGCTATTTTCAAGATCTTCGAAGTGAACACCAGACGCTGAGACTTCATACAGGATGATCTCACAGACACGCATGCAAAACTCGCCAATCAACACGCCCTATGCGAGAAACTCGAGATGGACCTACTCGCTCTGAACATCAACAGCGGGAGTGGGCCAAGAGAGGAGGGTACCTATCTTCCCATGGAAGGCTTGCTTTTGAATGGTGAGTAGTCTTTTTCTGTCTTGTTTACTGTGCGTCCTGTCATCCTAGGTCATCATCTCTTTCGACTCGCTGCGCTAGCTTGTCTCACTCACCACGCTGCACTTTGTTCCGCCTCTCTCGTTACCTCCCTTATTGTATGCTCTTGCCTCGTCTCTCGCTACCTCTCGTCACCTCCCTCGCTGTATGCTCTCGCCTCGTCTCTTTGTCTCTTAGTGATAACCATCTCTCGCTTCCGTACATCTCTGACTGCCGCTTATTGCCATCTGTGTCGCGCAGTGCCGTCTCCGTCTCTTAGTGTCATGTAATTGTTATATAAACAAAATATATTGAATTTGAGCTATATACAAGCAAAATCGTGTGCACAATGAAGGGTATCATTGACATAAGTCAATGCAGTGAGTATGAATTCACCTAGGGTGATGTTTTCAGACATAGCTCAATCAGTTTTGAGCCGGGAGACGAACTAATTAGAGCGGGAGCTACCTGTACATCTACAGAATAGAATGAAAAAAAATTGAGATCAGTTGGTGCAACAGAAAAAAACATATAGCTGGATTACCTTCTCCTCCTATAGGCCACCCAGAGTGAGAATTTCGGGTATAACTTGGGCAGTTTTGAGCCGGGAGACAAAATTAATAGTGCGGGAGCTAGCTGTAAGACTGTAGAGTAGGACGACTAAAGGCCGAAGTCAGAAAGTGCGATGCAAAAGAGTTAAGGGTGGATTACCTCCTCCTCCCCTCCTAAGTCACCCAGGGTGCGAATTTTGAGTATAGCTGGGGCAGTTTTGAGCCGGGAGACGAAGTAAATAGCGCGGGAGCTAGCTGTAAGACTGTAGAGTAGGATGACAAAATGTCGAGGTCAGAAAATGCGATACAAAAAGTTATGGGTGGATTTCCTCCTCCTCTCTCCCTAAGCCAGTCAGAGGGAAGTTTTAGTGCATAGCTCGAGCAGTTTTGAGCCGGGAGACAAAATAAATGGCGCGGGAGCTAGCTGTAGGTCTGTAGAGTAGGATGACCAAAGATCGAGGTCAGCAGGTGCGAGGAAAAAAAAAACATCGAGCAGATTACATCCCAGGCTCCCCTTAGATCGAGAAAGACAGTGTTGAGGGTATAACTCGGGAACTAGTGATCCGTTTGGCGAAATTCTTGGTGCAGGAGCATCGTGGGCTGCAACTTTCGCAGCCCAGAATGTGTTGAGTCCTCCGAGGATCGTGGCGAGGAAGGAAAAATGGAAGAAGGTGGTCGAGCAGGTGTGAGAATTTAAGAAAAACACGGTACCTGAAGTCAACATTTACTCAACCATTACACAACATTAAGGAACCAGGATTTCTCGCGGGAGGTTCTGATTTTCAGGGGCTACAAGATGAGGTAAAGATGTCTGATAAAATGTGGAAGGAATGGGACGAAAAAAATGGAAGTCGGTGAAGTGGCCTAATGGACCATAAGTTAGGCCGTCCGCATACAATCGCAACTCAAATGGTATTCAGTCTCACATCCTCGATACATATGCTAGTCATACTGTATTCCCTGCCAGGTGATCCATCATGACACCTGCGCCTGAAATATATGGGGTGTAAGGAATCTTTCGCGCCTCAGACGCTAGATACTCAGCCATGTCCACTGTATCAGCGAAGGCAGCGGTGAGTGTCAGATCATTCGCAATCCTTTGCACCGTCTCTGCACACATGAGTTTATAAAAATGGTCTGGCAGATTGAGACTCACGACGCAGTTGACCTGGGTACCTGCGGAGTTCCTCCAATGCCAGGATGACGCCATGGTTCGATTGTCCGGCGGCTTGGACTCCGCTGGAACGTAAGTCTGCACTGGTTTGCACATGGAAGACTGGTAGGGATCCTGGCTGACGATCGACTACGAATCATCAGTGGCCGGTGAGAGAACAAAGGGATGGTGACTTACCAAACACAAAGGCACCTTCTCCGTCAAACATCTCGATTAAATCTAATGCTGCTGCCGACATGGATTATTCTGGTAGTGTTGGAAAGCACGGGGGCTGGTAGTGTCAGAAAGGATGGGGGTGTACTGACTTCAAAATGCAGGAGGCAGGGTGGACACAAGGGAATTGGCCCAATGGCAGCTGAAACGCAGCAGTGAAAGTCCGACACAAATAAGGATGAAAAATTTGCTTGCGAGACAGTGCGAGGTTTCGGGGCGGCATGGACGGCATCCACTGCGAGACACATGTGATTGTGGCAGGATGATCGAAGTGCAGGGAGGGGACAGAAAGACTGAAATAGGAAGATGAGGAAGAAAAAGTCCCAACCGACTCTTGCACTAGTCTTTTTGTTCCTTCTTGCCTTTTTGTGACTGCTCTGCGACTGCCATGGCACGTTCCATTTGGATGGCCGCAAGCATATGTCCCACTAACTGCGTCAGGGCGTAGCTATTTTGACGCGGACGCGGCGTGACGCGCATGTGACGCGGCACTGACGAGCCGAGTCCACGCACCACAACCTTTGTCAGAAAGCCACGATCCCAGTCCCCATTCCAACCCATCACCAAAGCCTTTCAAAGTATAATGTCCTCCAAATTCCAATCAAGGCGGCCCAAATCCCTGTAACAACGGTGCTCCTCCCAAGTGAGATCACTATAGTTTTTCCTTGGGAAGGACGCTAGAGGACTCATGGATGGGCCACACCAGATGCCTCAATAATTTTAGTAGAGCCCTTGCGAGCAAGGTTCGCATCTTGCTAGCAGAGGTAGGAAAACTTAGGGATGCCAATGCGCGTAGCTGACTGCAACGCAGTGAAATTGCCGAGCTTATGGCCATTAAATCCAAACATGGCGCAGGAGGTGAATATTCGCCTGATTGGAGGCCATCAGTGAGTGCTATTAGATCTTGAGGCATCACCAAGCTCTGATGTAATCGTAGCCTCAAGACCTGCCACCACCACCACCTCCACCTCCCACAGCTTCCCCACCTCCAGAAGAAGGCTTAAGCGGCTCCGCCCGTCCAGCCCGGAGGGTCGTCCACAAACCACAAAGACGAGAAAAGCCAATTCCCAAGAGTTTTCCTGCTCTGGAATCCATTCATGTATGTATCTTTGGTGCACAGACGTGCCAATCGGCTGATTGAGGAGTAAGACTTCTATGGTGAATATACAAATTTCACCATTATCCTTCTGGGTACGATAAGGTAACTGAGACTTCTCAGTTTTGTCCAGCTCTTCGGCTGGAATCTCCAGTCCTTGTTACTCACGACACACCAGAAACGGTGCGAGGCTTTCGTAAATCCAACGAAGTCCTTGAAGCATCATAATACATGATGGACGCCATCAAAGAAACCGCGAATGCCAGCTGCCTTGGTTGGTCCAATGGCAAGTTTTCAGTGACGTCACGGTTATCATACTCACCTGCATTTCCCTCAGAATTCAAGGAGAAGTATAGTGCGCTCGCTGTGCATGATGACCGTATTCTTGCCGTATGTACTTACTCCCTTTCTTATCCCTTCCTCTACTGACTTGTATGCAGGTGTCATGGAAATCCCCAGGCAAAATCAGGATGGCTATGATCTGGAACCCAATTTCTTCCACGGAATGCATCAAGTGTGTACAATAATGGATCTTTCATTTGTCTCTCACATCGCTCATTACAGTATTCTCAAATTGCCCAGTCACGACCTCAGCGCCCTCGACGTCTCAAAAGACTTGGCTCACTATGACGAGTCAGTTCCTTCCACCTGCACCACCTGCCACCACACCACCAGCTGCCGCTCCTACCACAATCACACCTAGGCTAGGAAACTTACTCCCTTGGCGGTCTGACCATGCAGGGCCACCTGTCGTTGATGTTCTTTTTACCCAGGGTCGACAGGTGCATCCAATATATTTTTATAGCCGTGTATTGGGTGTCTGATACCTAAATCTACAGCGTAATGCTGCAGCGGGTGCTCCTGGGAGGGGCGACTCCTTGATACGTGATGAAGATCATTATGGACCTTCTCTACCGGATCCCAATTTACAACGGCAACAGGAAGTAGACACCAGGCAGCATGTAGACGGCTGGTCGTGCTGCTGTTGCTAGAGGAATTGGCGAATATCCAGGGTGTTTCAGTTCTGTTGTCGCTCGTAATGTGCACTGGAAGCAGTAGTTATTTTATTGATAGGTGATGACTATCTCCTTATTTCGTATCACTATCTATAGCTAATCATGACTGTCAAACCCACATCCTCCATATGCACAGCTTGGCTTGTGCATCACAAATAAAATCATAATACCTTTTGACTTCACCCGAGGACAATGCTCTGTCAAACTTGGTAGGTATCTTGAATTTCCAATCAGGGGTCTTTTGGCGACAGGAGCACTGAATGGTGGCATATCTAGCACGAACATTATCGTTATACACCACCAATACTCCACTCGCTCACACCCATCCCTCGAATATGACCGTAGTCCTAAATGACCCCAGTCGGTGGCGACAATCAATTCGAATGTTTGTCAAAGCTATTGGATAGGTTCGTCGCACCAAGACGTCTTGATCTAACATTGACTTGCATTTTCGCAGTTGCCTCCGGTGTCGTGGTAGTATATGATTGGGGTGAGCAGGACAGTGCTAGAAAACTGCCAACATTCTTACAATATCTCCAGTGCTAGCACTCGGACATGATGTTATTGCCGGAACAGCCAACTCGCTAAGAACGGTATCATAGAACGAACTGATCTGTGTGAGTGGCAGAAGCTCGTATCAGAAGAAAAACAGAAGAGTACAATGAATTTGCAACAGAAGCAAACATCAGTCTCTCATGACTGTGTTGTACCTGGTTGTTCGTACCTCATGCTTTAATATTGCGTAGTTGGCAAGTTGTGCTGACTCCCCGATGTTCTAGATTGTTATATTGGAATACCATACTCTGTCTGTATGCGTCGAACAACGTGGCACCGTGCTAATAACTCATCTCCGATTAGTACCAATATTGTATGAATGTCTCATACGCTGTGTTTAATTTTTTTTGACTTGGGGGACATAGAAAATATGCCATTAGTACAAACGCAGCAGTCTTCCGGAACCATTCCATTCCTATCCATTGAATACACTCATATGTAGGAGTGAGTGAGATTCCAGACATTGAACTTGGCTCAGCATAATGATTGAATAGGTTTAAGTTGGAGTGTTTGATCTTATTGACGGAACTTTTCATGTGCAGGTGTCAGCGTCCTGAAATCTGGCATCATCGCCTCGTTCTTCACCTCGTTCTGTTATCCCCGCTAGCTATTCCACGGTCTCATTCATTCCCTTTCATACTGTCTTAATCCTACCTTCCAGTTAAGGACGACTATCAAGCGCATCTACTGGTACTACCAAGCTTGCATGTCCTTACTGGCTTTCATCTAGACGTTCAAAATCTCATCCAGTCCTTCCTTTATCCCGACCCTCTTTGCAAGTCCACTATGTTTTGCGGTTCTGGCTCCCCATAGCTGCTGACTTTTCAGACGGTGTTTCTCTGAGTGAACGATGACCTACTCAAAAGCGCCCGTGTAATCTAAGGCAGAAGGCAAGCAACGTGCTCGAGACGAGGGTACAGGTGGTGCTGGTGGTAGTGTTAGATCTTGAGATAGTGACCACCGGCTACGATTCAGTGAGTATTTGAATTACCTATACGACAATTCCCCCGACCACAGACAACAACCCAGATGGCGCATCGTTTTCCTCAAATCTGTTTTCCATGACGCCCGCCTCCACAGCTCCCTCATACCCGTTCTTCTCCCTCATTCACTCCTGCCCGTCCTGGTTCGAATGCAATTCCATCACTTCTTGGAATTGATATGTGTCCTTCGTCTGGTTCCAGATCCTTAGAAAATCCAGTAATCGACGCTTGTGAGCCAGTGCGTTGGCATATTATTCTGGAAAACGAATGTTCGAGCCATTATGGTCTATGTAAACGGTCAGGTACGTCCTACAGTACTAACCGAGTCTGTTACCGGTACTGCCTTCCCCACTGCACTGCTCGACTCTGGGGTGCCATTTATCGTCATGACATCGTCTATCGCACACGAAATATATGGCGCACTGGGCATAAGCCCAGCCTCGGACAGCAATTGTTTGTATTTTATTCACCTCAGCTCGTAACTGCCAAGCTGACTGTCTGTTAGACTATGTCCCTTGTACGACACCGCTCAACATGACCATTACTCTCGACGGTCAACCCGAACTACCCATCCACCCACTCAACCTCACCAGCGAGCCGTCTGGGCAGCACAACTCACAGTACTGCATCGGCCTTATACAGGCTGACGAGTCACAACTTACTGCTAATTTTGACATCGGGGACATGGTCCTTGGCGTTCCTTTCATGCGCAACGTCTACGCCGTGCTTGCATACGAATCCCCACCCCTTAACATGTCTGTTTACGCTGGAATCCGACCAACACTCGGACTTATGGGGCTCACGAATATAACCCGAGTGCTTGATGAGTTGAACAACGTGCGCATCCTCAATCAACCACTTGACGGCGCACCACCGCCACAGGCCGCTTTTTCAAGCGAACCAAAGATGTCAGTGGGCCTCGAACTTCTTATTGGCCTGATTGGCTTCTTCGCATTATGTGTCACACTTTTCGGGTTGAAATGGTTCATGACACAGCGGCAGTGGAAGGAACAGGGAATGGTTGACACAGAAGGGAAGAAAAGCGAAGGCGAGTATGGGGTCTATCAACTTACGAGGCGCAATTCGCAGTCAAGCGATGATGCTCCTGTTAGTACTCTCAGGACGCTGCATACGCTACGAGGAAACAGAAAGTGTGTCCCATATACTTTCGACTCAAACAGGACCCGTGTTGAGCTAGATCCAGTCGACGAGTTTGGAGGGCGTTCAGAGTGTCAGCATGGATTCAAGGATCGGTTCAACGCTGTAGTTACTGGATTATCTGCAAAAGGAACATGCGGTTCATAATCGTAACAAGCTCAGATACAGGGCAGATATCACAAGACATTGGCAAGAGCTGGCCATGGGACCCCTCAAGATTCATCTATGGAACCGTTCTGGCAGTCATCGATGCATTGGACAAGAGCGGCGACGAGATTGGGAACAGAGTCTCCGTCTGTTCGCTGGCGACCTGAACACTTCCCGTCCCTTTGAGGATATTGGGGATGCTCTACACTTGGTGTCGCATGTTCTTCGTATTTCCACAGATGAAACCCCGTTTGACTCCACAGAACATGACATCCAACTTTAGCATCTCCGCCATGCTGAAAGGCCCACGCAATGCATTAATGTTTGCACGATACATTGCGACACGGCTGTACATTATACTGCCTCTACTACCGCTGCCAGCTCCTACATACGTTATAAATCACATCCTGTCCGACTCTCCCCATGATGAAGACGAACAATAGATTTTGCTGCACACGCCTACATGTCCGTGCCTTGTAGTCGAGTGAACGCTGCATCGAGAGGGGAGCAACTGGCATAGCGACAGTGTCCAATGACGTACATCTATTAAAACACTGACTCCCACCCAGTCATCCTCCTCTAATCTCAAACAAGTCAACCTCAGCAGTAATCTCTCCCAATTTCACCTATCTACTGCACAATAACATGCTTCTTCGTTCCCCACTCTCTCTCTGACGGTTCCCATGTCCCACAGTAATATTGTATGGAAATTAGGTGGGTGTCTGAGGGTGATCGATCCACTTGCAGAGCAGTGTTGTCTCCTCCATTTGCGAAGTAATTTTGAATTTTTGATTAAGACTGGTAGACTGCCATGCATCCTATTTCCGACCTATGCAGCATGGTCTGCTGACAGGCGTTTCATCCTCATGCATTTTCAAGTTCAAAATCCAACGAACATATTTGATTGTCTACTCTCAACTAGACTGTGATTGGTGGCCGGGACGACCTCCTCACCATTTTTCCCCTTGGGAACAACGAATTGTCGCAAGACTCAAAGAACGGTAAACGATATGATAACCTGGAAGGTAGATTATGTATCGTGGCACATTGATAGAGCGCACACAGCCCTTGCAAGTCAGTGATACGTCGAGTGGGGGTGTGGTTTGGCATCGTGCCAACGGCTCATAGGACCGTCAGCACTGGGTATGCACTTGGGCAATGAAGACCTACGAGATCTTACCCTCAGCAACACATAACACCCGTGCTAAGCTACCAGGTTCCACCAAAAAACCCGTGTAAACAGAAATATCATACAAGTTCTATTCATGTCTGGGTAAACAAACATAGAACACTGTCTTTTACTCTTCGCCATCTGACATTCTGGATGAATCCGCTCTGGTTTGGAGGGTTACGAGTTCAATCTGCACCGGCTCAAATCCCCTGGTAAGGCGCCCTCTCATGTTGAGCAGAATACGGTTGCAGAGCAATGAGGGTAAAGCAACAGACCAACTGTCAGTTCGTTTTAGAATTGTAATACACAGAGAGACAGAGACCCACGGCATGAAGAGGTTGATATAGGTTGGATACCAAGCCCAGGCAATAGTTGATCCAATGAGTTGCATGAATATTCTGTAGATGGTAAACGGTCAGATACACCATGACAGTCACCCAGAAACGACGTACACGAGAAAGTATAATAAACTTGAGTGGTCATCAGCATGTCTCATCAAAGATAATAACTACCAACCTATCATGGGCTAGAAATGTTGCAAGTTCACTGCGTTGTTGTTGGTCCAGAAAAACTTTCTTGAGGACGAGTATGCAAATGATGGGTTCAAGGATCAGCGCTGGCGTCCAAAAGATTGCAGAGAGGGGGGCAAGACCCTCAAAGAGGCAGCCCATTGGAGTAGAAACTACCGGAAACCCTGACAGTGGTTTATTGAGTAGATTCTACAATGAAAATTGCCAGACTCACTTTCCACACGAGCGATTGTCAAGCCAATGAGGAGCGCCATTGTTGCAACCTCAATTATATTCAGGACAATCATCCATGAGAGTACCTTGCGACTTCGGTTATACATCGCCCACACCTTGAAGGATGTTAGTTGTCGACTTTTCATATGAAACTGTTGGACTCCCTCTAAGCTGCAGTATTGCTGATACAAATTAAGATTCAATGGGTAACAGTTGTGCATGGACTGTATACTGACTTTGAACGGAAATGGTCACAAGGAGTGCACTGTTAACTCATGAGTAAGACATCAAGAGAAAGTGACCCACGACTTACATGATATTATTGCATAACATGTAGGTGACGCAACTGGGCCATAGGAGAAAGTCAACCTCGTGGATGTCATAGTAACACAAACGTACGTCTTGGTGGATGGTTAGCATAAGACGGTGGAATGGTGTGCCAGAAGAATTACTTTGGATGATACCACTTTATATTGGCTTTGTTGAACTTTGAATGCTAGTCAACAGAATTGCCGGTTATCAATATTTCCCACTCACTCGCATCAATTGTGAACCATAACTCTGGAATCCAGCGATTCTCGAGAGCGCATTAGCATAGTGCACATTCTTCTCTATTATGCAAAACTCACAAAATGATAGAGATATGTCACCCAACTTTTCCTCCTCAACCAGATTAGATCAATCTGCAAAATCGTATCTTAACAGTTGCAGTTGCTGGAATCAGATTGACAGTTTACCTCGTCCTCGATGGCAATGACTACCAGAAATAGGAGTCAGCAAGTAGAATGCACGGGAAAAATTTCTTACTGTGCTCATAAACGAGAAGTCCAAGTGCTGCAACTCGTGATTGCTTCCCAATGTTCACTGATCAGCATATGTTCATCAATAAACAGTCCAAGAAATGGGTTGCAGTCACCAACAAGCTCGCCAAGCAGATAGAGAAATCAAGTTTGTGTCCAACATGAATGAAATGGCTGGAAATATCAATATCCATAGCATGACATGAAGCAGAACCGGCTTTAAGAGTCAATACGCGAAAAACAGAGGCTCGGCCCTCCGAAGCGCTCAGCCATGAAGCAGACATATGAGACATATGTGGTCATTGCTTGATCGCAGCCCCAATCTGGTTTGATGCCATGTAGTATAGGATAAAACGGACCCGATTATGTGGTAGGTTCTGGAGTTCTCGCTCCAAAAAAATCAAAATTACTGACAGGAAAATCATGAAGTTCAGGCTTGACTAATACTGTTTGTGCCTTCGAGTAGGTAGGTCACTGGGAACTCAGGACAGTGCTTTCAACCAAACCAAAAATGACTGTTGTGAGCGGAGAAGTGTACATGGGTGAACTTGACGAAATTTGCTGTGCAAGTTTTAGAAGCGTATGATACTTGCCACGATCGATCGAAAAATTGATTGATTGTTGGTGGCACATGAAGCTTCCAGCTGGACCCTGACCGGAAACGCGGCATGATCTAAGCAAATGCTGCCATTTAGGCTGTGAATGAATCTTCGGAGGTCAGATACCAGCAGTGGGGTGGCATGCGTATGTGCCGTTGATCGGTTGAGGGTTGATCGGCACTGCTTCAATGACACCAAGTCCCCGCTCCGCCACTAGTTTATGAACCACGTAAGCTATCTCTCACTGGCAGGATAAGACAGCAGTCGGACAAGTTGCGTGCGACCGGGTGGTTATCTTTTATGGCGGCGATTTGCTGTGCGCCCGAAGGCACCCAGATGCCCAGACTCGTGAAACCAGTGAACAATTTCACGGGTGATGACTGATTTGCCTTTCCCTGCGGCAGTGCCACGTAACCGGTAGCCAGTAAACGGGGGCACAAGTTCCCCCCAGTATTGTTGATCCAAGACTTTATCTTGATCAGAAATTAGAATGCCTTCCCCGAGCGTCCTCGAGGCAATGTATTCAGTCCGGCACCAGTCGCATACTCCTTTTCTGGATTATAGGCGTCACCAGCATGCGTGAACTTGGTATGATCCTACGACTACCTACGACTACTCGTAGGGATATTTTGAGCAAAGAATAAGGTCGAGCTATGTAAACGAATTTTGCGATAGTTGAGAGGGCAGTCAGTATCGAGCCATTGAGGCTCTTCATCATAGCCAGTGCTTGGGCCTACCACGAAAGAAGGCATTCCCCATTGGAAATGGTTCAACTTCCTTAGCCAGCGATGATTGGAAGCAGCCCCAGAATCGAGATGAGTCTAATCATTTATTTGAAATAGAGTCGTTCACTCGTTTCTCCAATTCAGAGATAGAAAAGTTGTGCGAGCAAAAACTCTCCAAGGAGCAGATGTTGAAGCGAAGTCCGCCGTCTATGACGCGAAGGGTTGGGAAGGCAAGCCTGAGGTCACTTCGTACCGATGACGTATCAACGAAGGAGTTATGGCTTCACAATTCTCTGTGGGAAAGTCGTAGAAGGATGTTTAAATTTGGGAATAAGTATTGGAATCCGAGGTGTTGGTCAAAAACGACCCGAAGTGATAGTCGTTCAATGATTGGATGCATAACCTTGGTTGCGATGAGAGCTCGCCGAGGTTAGAACATTGACGACCGTGTTGCATCACTAGTGCAGGATTCCAAATAGGAGGTAATTGGAGACTGAGCCAACTGAAACCAGCTGGACCGGGAGACGAGAACTGGAATGTGCGACGAGCGAAGTATTGTAGATAAGGTTATGAATACCTTCTGGAAAGATAGAGACTCCTCCCAGGATAAATAGCGGTCAAGCATCTGGATACAGAAACTGCGCTATCACAATCGAGCGTCAGGGGATATATCCGTGAAGTTGTGTAGGGACACATGTACACAGTGCAGAGGCGCCAGGAAGGTACACTGTTGAGGAAGGCGCGTATGACAATAGGGAAGATGCTTGCTGCAACAGTGATGGCTAACCGCCTAATGTCTTGAATGGAAATGAGGTAGGTTAGCGTGGCAAAACAGCATAGAAACGATACGCGCACCTCTGCAGCTTAGAGAAAGACGACCGCAATCCCTCAACATCATCAACCTCCGGCAAAATGTTGCAGCTCATTCCAAGCACCATATCCTTCAAAATTTTGTAGACCACAAGAGCGCTGTAAATGCAGTCGCAGTGTTCCCCAATAAGCAACGCAAGGTTACACCCTCGGACGACCAGACACTTCGTCTTTGGGACTTGTAGACAGGCGTTGTATTGAAAAAGATGGAGGGGCGTAGCAGCGCGGTGTGGTAAATGGCAGCGATGGTCAGGTGATAGCAGGTGGTGGTCATCACCTAGCACAGAGAAAACTGGTGAATCACTTAATCTATCAAAACCCACTCCATCACCTTGGTGGATTTTTCTCCGGATGGTACTGGCCACTGGTTCATGGGACAATACAACAAAGCTGTGGTGTACCAAAACGTAGCAGATGCAAGGAGAGCCAATCAAGTGTTTTGGTGTCTTTCTGCGTTCGATATTCCCATTACATAATATTCTGGTGAACTAGAGCGGCAACGCAAACATTCTTCTCAGACTGAATTATACATCCCAGATATCCCAATGGAGTATGTCACTGTGCGAGCCGTTTTCGGAGGCTCGGAGCTTCCAGTTGTCCCCGTCTCCAGTCTATTACTCTCCCCCTCAGAATCCGCCAGCGCACTTTTCCCAATGCAAAACTTCTTACGAGCCCACAATGGATTGACTTTGGGCTGAGTTGAATGGGATAACATCACTGTTAGGCTGTGTACTAGGCTACACCCGGTAGATTTAAGGTGAGTGCGAACTTCCATTTATTGAACGAGGATCTAAACGCAGTATCTCCAAGTCTTGTCCTCTCGAGCTCGATGCTTCCGACGCGTCAAACTAATATCTGAATTTAAATGAGGCTCATCAATTCTTCCGTCACGCTGCCCGTGTGCGCTCATTACGATTATCGTCCAAAGTCTATCTCCACCTTCTTTCCGCCCTCCCCATCAAGACAGTATCCATGTTCCCAAGATTGCGGTCATTAAAAACGGTTCCCCTTTCAGCTAGATACTTAGATCTCTTCCTGACTCTCACGTTGCGGCCCATAGACACATTGTTGAGAGCGAAATGTCTCAAAGAGGTATGCTGAGTTGATATATCGATACTCACAGCATTCATTGATACTTGCAGGGATCACAAGTGGGGACATAGTAGGCGGACCACCGCCAATGATGTGTAGAATGTTACGCTAGTGATGGATGGACGGAGGGTGTGGCTCCCCAGACGGCGGATGTTCGGTCAATTGCCGGCAAGAATACTTTGGGCGCTTCCGCACATAGTTAGATTGAAATCTTTATGTACAAGTTGGTCCAAGTAACACACTCCATATTCAAAATTCAAGAAGCAATTGCATGATCACATTAATATTACATTATCGAAAACAAGTTAAGTTTTTGACGTCTTGCAGGATGAATTTTAGAAAAGATAGGAGTTGGAGACCTTGGCGCGTGAGTATTACCTATTAGAATTAGCTATGAATGATGATGCAGAATAATCTAAAGGATAGTCATTACCTATTGATAGAAATAAGTGCTGTCCACGTACATGTTACAGCATTAACACGAGCGCTAGTAGAACCGAAATATCCGAGGGACGTCGACAAAACGCGCTAGCAGCAGACACAGGACTTCCCGCCTCCATGTTCGCCAGGGTCTATATGTACTGCTACTGTTTGCTGGCGTTGTTGCCGTTGCATATCAGGGTCTGGTTGAGTAGTATCGAGATATTCATCAGGTACGATGTCCGGGACATTGCCAGGAACACCCGTAGCAGCATTACGCTGTAGATCTACGCGTTACGCACCGAAGACATGGCGACAAAAATAGACTCGACGCACCTCTTTAGCATTCGTGAACGGAACATCGACAACGGGCGCCGTCGCATGGTGTGGTGGCTAGGTGAATAGGTGTCGTAGGTAAGTTTTGAATACGGCAGTAGCGGTAATAGGTTGTGAATGCGCTATATTGTTCCTTAAATTCCAAGTGAAATGGGGGTGAGTGTGATAACCGCAAGTGACATTACTGAAAACTTACCGTTCGACCAATCGAAGCAACTAGACTTCGCGGTTTCGTCAACGGCATTCATCACGTATTGGTCTGCTTCAAGGTTTTCATCGGATTCACCTGCCGAAAGGAATGCCTGGCACTCCCGGTCGAAGAGCACTCAGTAATGAAAGTGTTGGGTATGCATCATCTCGACGCACCATGACCAAGTCCTCGCATGTTTGAGACATAACATTTGATGAGAAAGCGGTGGACTTGACAGCGGTAGTGAAGTGGTCCATAGCTTCGCCGTAACACGCACCATCCAGGACTGTGGTTCCGAGCATGTCTAATGTGTGAGCGACAAAGGTTAGGTTTGATGACCAAGCGTGATCGCATGATACTTCCGCGACGCGACACCCAGAGGGTCGGTATTCGGACAAGCGGCAGCCAGCCATGAGCAGTATTGCTTCCTCGCATTGATGAGTGCAATGACCTGAAATACGGAATCAAGCATGGAGAATGCGAGACGAATTGAATGTACCTTTATTAAGAGAAGAAAATGGTTGGTTTCTGAATCTTGGTTCGTGAATATGGATGTGACGTCGAACGAATGCTATCCTTGCTTTCCGGACGTGACCTTTTCCGCGAAGGGAGATGCCTTTGGAGATGTAGCCTGTCGACGAGAGCCGAATGCTGATGCGACTGTATCACGAATGAAAGTTAGCCTTTAGTGGGAGAGTCAGTATCAGTGTTCTGCCGGTCAGTGTACGTTTATCAAAGTCAATGTACGTTCACCTGCGAACTTTCCCATGAATGCAAGTGAACTGAACTCGTGCAGTGCCAGATGTCCTGCTTGAATATTAGATAATCATGTCTGATTGGACGATGAAGCAGGTTCAAAGTGCCGCAGTACACGGTGCGTCAACAATTGCAGAATGGATAGTACTCGACTACTACTACTATAACATCTGGTAGCACTACTCAATTTTTGAATCTACTCGTCAAGAACATCATCAACTTGAGGAAAGTCTGGATCATCAATTCCCTCGGCATCTAAGTCAAGAAGTTCATATAACTCAAGCTCAGCATCCAAACCTCGAATAGCGACTTTATAAAAAGATCCCAACCATTCCTCCGCACGAGAATAGTCGAGTAAGTCACTGATAGCAATGCGGGAGAATGAACCACTGGCACCAGCAGCACCAATGGGGACTGAGTGCATTGATTCTGTGGTGGAAATCTCCTCCTCCTCCTGAACGGCTCGGATAAGGTCTGCTGCAACATCACTTATCCCTCGCCTATCGAAAGCGAGGCTGCGTGGCTCCCGTTCGCTGCTTTCTCCTGATAGATTGTCGCCAACTGCATGAACTACTTGAGTAGGCTCTGCTTTGTCAGTGGCCTCGGTGTCACAGTACCGGCGTTGAAGCCGCTTCTTGACCACATCGTTGCGTACATGCTCTTCGTGAACATACATCTTGAGTTCTGCCAGAAGGGTGAGTGTCTCAGTTGAGAGCCGATTGCGCCATTTTGTGAGGATTGCGCCAAACATGCTAAACAGGCGTTCACAAGAGGCAGAATTTGGGCAAATCGAGAGAAGACGTTGGGCAATAGTATGAAGTGGCCGGCGTGCTGAACCAGGATGTGACAGTCCTGTCCATATATCAATCGGATCGACTGAAACACCCTGAGGACTGTTAGCAATGTCTTCTGAACTTGAAAGAATCAGTTTGATGAAGCATACCTCCTTCTCTGCGCGATATAACAGTGAAAGCTTGTAGTTGTCCATGAATGCGAAGTCATGGGAGCTATTCAAATAGTCGTCCAAGTCTGTATAAAGATCGAGTGGTATATCGTTAGTGTTGTAAAAACGGCGCCAAAGACGTGCAAACAGTGTTGCAAGCCCCGCACGCGTTGTGAGGGGTACATTCTGGAATGGAGAAACCTTATAGAAAGGATTCACGATGATGGCAGCAATAAAGACCTCCTGGTCGCACTGTCCCCAGCGGCGCTCAATGCTTGCAAGAACTGCCATACGAGCTGCAAGATCAGTGTCGTTGTCAATCTTGGAGTAGCGAAAGTGCAGAAAACCGAATGAAATTGCGACGTTTTCGGGTCTTGCCTGAGCTGCTTGATGAACGTTCGTCATGAGGGAAATTGGCTCCAGCAACGTTTTCCATCTACAGAGAGCATTAGTTCTGATTTTGAAATTTATTTTTGCACCATACCGTGCTAATGCATGCCAAAATGTTGCGTTTTTGATTGTTGCAATGGCTGTTTGAGTCTTTTTGCGTGAGCGTGCATCTCCACCTGATATCAAATCAGCTTCATGCTTCGTTACGAGCAATTCGAGTGCAGGACGAAGCTCAAGGAGACGGCGATAGGCAAGATAATGAGACATCCAACGCGTCAGCACTGCCCTGAGAACTGCAAGTGTCTTTCCGATTGTCGCCATCTGTATTTCACGGAGAATAGCAAGCACACGTGTCTTGCTGCGTAGCCACGTAATTAGTTCTTGCGCCATGTCTCCATAGATTCCGTAGTCGTCTTTGACCTTGAAAAGGTCACCAACAATGAGATTCCACTATTGTTATGTCATTCATAATCAGTGAGTGCGACGAATCACAAAAATCAACATACCTGATGAGCCAAGCAATTAGGAACAACGATGTGGGGTAGCCGCTCTTGAAGCAGACGTCGAGCTTTTCGTGATTCTCCAGATGCATCTGTGGTGCAAGCAATAACACTTGCCCCCCACTCGGACTCGATTATGCTGATTGCGTCTACAATTTGCTTGAGAAGCTCTTCAGCGGTGTGAGGGTCCATCGAAGCATCGTGAACTTTAATTGTGTGCAGCTAAATAGACAATTAGTAAAATGATTGACAGTCTCCGCAGTTAGATTTACCTTTCGGCGAGCAGTCATCATAAACCCCAGGAGATGGTGGTGATTTTCACCGGTCCAACCATCGCATTGCAATGTTGCGTCAGCGCCTCGACATTCCTCTTTAGCAGTACCTTTGAGTATATCAAGGGCATGAGGTAGGACACGCTGCGTCAAGACTTTTGCGGAGGGAATTTTCGCTTTTGGGAGAAAACGGTCGCATAATACTTTCCACTCGTGGTTCTCAATCCATCGCAGCGGCAAACCGGCGCTTGCGGTAAGTCTTGCAAGCCCAATTTCCCAATCAGCTTGATCTGAAGCCGTCCAAGCTTGGTCGCCGAAGCCGTTAAGTTGGTTGCCCAGCGCTATGGGGGAAAGAGGTGGCAGTGAGCCAGAAGCAGAGTGGTATTGACCGGATTGGATTAGACGTTGGCGCTTTGGATAGGAGGGTAACGAGACTTCCAAGAGGGCAGGACTTGGACTGACAGACAGAGAGTCGCGGTAAAGGCTACTGGAAGAACTCGAGGCTGTGTCAGTCTCGGCAATCAGCAATGCGGGAAGACTCGGACGTGCAGACTGCATAGTCGATGACTTATTGAGATCTGGTGTGCATGGTGGGCTGGCAGCGAGAATGATTGAAGGTATAGCACTGGGATACGCTGAGGTTATGTTTGGCTGATGGACACGAGCACCTTTTCGTGGTGAATATGATTGGTGGTATTCCAGCCGTGCTTGCGAACGGACATCCTCAGAGTGCAATGCGCAATCACGCAAGTGACATAATAGTGTCGTCGGCCGACTGATTAACCAGGTGCGTTGGGGATCATTCGGGCCACTGGCCCAAACTAGTACTCCAAGTTAGTAACAGAAAGCTATAAAACAAACTTGCGTACGAGTGCCTGCTATTGCCACTTCATCCCTTGGTGCATCTCGCTGGCCCAAGTGTACCTGCTGCTCATCCATTGCCTGCTCATGCGCAACACGTTGCTCATAGAGCCTAGCACACACTACCTTTGCCTTTCCACTGACCATCGAAGCTGGGTCTTTGACAGCATAACCTGGGTGCTCCACGAAATGATCCCACCACCATCCTCGGTTTGATCTCTTGCCGATCTTCATGGTGTGTCGAAAGTCGGGAGTCCATCTTCGAGTTATAAGCCTTAAAACGTGCCCTTGAACCGAACACACGAAAACCATGCGTTTATGTGAGTAATGATATGTGAAGCGGCACGAGGATAATCAAAGATTCTAGCATTGACCAGATATAGTATAGTTCATTACAGTAGGACCAGGAAACTCCTGAAAGTCGTGTTCAGATGAACGTCGACGAAGTTCGCCAGCTTTCCCACGCAATCCGGTCAATGACCGTGAACTTGGTTCACTGACCGGCAGAACACTGGTCAGTATAACTCACCTTGATTGCATCCTCAAGGGCGTGATCCCGGGCGTGTTTTGGGGCCATAAGGAATGAGCGATTGGCATAGGAAGTATAGTCATTGGCGTCGGCGTGGATCTCTTGTGCGAGTAGCTCTTCAGTAGTGAACAGGTCCCCAGTCATGTATGCATCACGGCGGGCTGTCGTAATAACAGGAAGGATGCTCGAATTGCATTACGAGAAGGATGGAAACTCCGCTTGTAAGGCACTTCCCCCGCTCTAAAATCTTGTTATCAACTTGCGCCTCCGTCACGGATGTGCTTGCCGCCTTGTACAGAGAACGTGACACACGTCGGGATGAATGCTGCAAGATGGCGATGGTTCATCGATCTGAAAGCCGCCTGAGACGGACATCCTTGTCTTCAGATGTGAAAGCGACGAGGGTGCCAGCGAGATGAATGGCAATGACGTCGATACTGGTAATGTGACCTTTCCAGGGATGACTGACCGGCTGCTAGGTTGTTGTAACCCATTCGTGTATAGTCCGCCTGCTAAGATTGAAGACGCGTACCATCAAAATGAACAGTTGTAAAAGTGCAATGTGTTCCCTTTAAGGTGCCTGGATTATAAATTTGATGTTGCGATGGCAAGAAGTTCACCAGAAGGAACGCCACACAGTACTAGATTGGTTTTCCTTCCCCATTTGCCACGTTCTGGTACACAAAAGTTTCACCATGCTGTCCCATGAACCAGTGGCCAGCACCGTACCACCTGGAGAAAAATTCAAAGAGTAGATGCCACCAGAGTGGGTTCTGATGCGGTTGGGTGATGAATTCACCAGTTTCACCTTTCCGTCATCACCACCGCTTGCTATTATTTGACCATCTCATAATATCGCCAATGCCTATGCCCAATTGCGATACCCCTCCATCTTCTTCAACACAACACCTGTCTTCAAGTCCCAAAGACGGTCGAGTCATCCGAGCCCATAACCATCCGTCGCTTATCATGGAAAACTGCGACTGCCTTTACCCGCTCCCGATTATCTTCAAACACTCGAAGGGGCGTGATGAGTTGTGACATTTTACTGGAGGTTAATGGGGCGTGTCTTTCTTTAAGCTGCAGAGGTGCGTGTATTGTGCCCTTATATTGTGCCTCACCCCGCTAATCTGTTAATTCTCATAGACACTCAAGACCCGAGGCGGTTCGCTTTCATTGTTCCAGCGAGAACGCTGCCTACGAGTCAGCCTTCCTCAACAGCACTACATATGTGCATGCGTCCGACTCCTATCTCCATAACTTCCAGAATATAACCCCTCCCATTCAATGATGATAGTGCAGTTGCTACTTCCTGGCCCTCGAATTCGGCTGGAAACTATTTATCTTAGATTGCCGCATTACTTCTGTCGATCAGTTTCTCTGACACCCCATCATGTCACTGCAACGTCGTTTCCTCGTCTCATCCATTCCCAAGGTCTGCCTGTGCATCAGATTCAACCAAATTTCCCTCTTCTCTCTTCTTGCACCCCAAACTCGCTCCTAATGGTGGAGTTTTCGTCTTTCGGGACGCATTTCATCCAAATCATAATTTTCAAAGTTGTCACAGCTTTGCTTGCGGGGCTTGGCTCCTCGCCCATCTTAATTTCTCAAGCAACTCTTGGCCCATTTGGTTTCAGTTTGTCTCGTTCGCCATTTACCTTCCCATATCCATTCTTGCTACAATCCTGCACCTGCAAGGTGGTCATGACAGTCTACTAACATCGGTGAGTTCCCACTACAACCAAAGTCGCGCGAGCCTGCATTTAATATTTTACTTGTCACTGCAGTGTTCAGGAATATTATGCTATCGATCATGGAATACATGGACCCAATCCGAGACACCAAGCGAGTATCACAACTTCCAAACAGTCTTTTATGGTACGAGTTCAAGATGGAGATCGATGAGGGGGGTGATGAAGCACTCGCGACAGATGCTCTTGACCTCATTCGCAGCGTCATCCAAGACAATGAAGAGCTGGCGGAAGAGCTATCAGAGTCTCTCTCGAGCGGTGGCGACCCTAATAATTCTTCGGACAATCAGCCGCCGGACCTCATTCATCTCACGACAATGATTCTGGAGGAAGCCCTCAGTCGCTCACAAGCTCGAAGTTTTTCGCGAACCCAGCTAATCACATTTGCGATGAGTGTTCTATCAGCACTGTTATCCTTGCCAAAATACACTCTGCGTGTATAACTCTATATCCGTCCAGTGTGCTGTTTGGCCCTAGTCGTACGTCAGGTTTCGCGGCAGTCGCTCTTTCAGCAGAGCGGATCTCTGGTCACTATACAATGACTCTCGCATTGCTCAATATCGTCCAACAACTCCTTCATGAAGCGTTTGCGTCCGTGCTCACAATTCCACTTGACAATTAACGCCTTAAACAGGCAAAGGATGAAGTTCTACTCTGAGCAGCAGTGTTCGTCCATGGGGAGATATGGGTGGAGCACTTGAGTTGGAAGTATGCCCAGCTTGGCGACACATTTGAGATTGGACGACGACTGTCTTCGTTTTATGACTACGTTCTCAAGCAATCTCCACCTGCTTTGGGCGATCGTCCCTTCCCTGCCCTAAGCCAAGCTCTGGCTGACGTTCTTCTCCATAAGGCCACGACGTCAACCATCAAACCGCTCGTATCATCGATAGCGGTTGCCCCCCACATCCTCGGCACCCTCTACGCTTCGTGACGCTATGGCGATGCCAGACGTCTGATCTATCTACTGGAGTCACACCTCAGTCACACTAGGCTAGTCCTTAGCTACAAGCAGTCCATTCCCTATTCCTCAAAACCGTGTCTTCCGGAGCAAGCTCTGTGCGCGCGAGTGGCGGGAGGTGCTGGGTTCACGGATTCTACTAGATCCAGAATAGATCCCGTTGACATCCTGGCAAATTATGTTAAAGGGTGGGATATTGGGACAGCTGTTCCGCTGGAGTCGATCAGAGTTCTTTATGCCCTCTGCGCATTCTTGTCTGTGACTCAGCCCTCGAATCCAGAGGCCACTGTCGTATCGTTCGTGCGAATTGTACAGCACCCATGTGAGGATCTCGCACTGCGTAATGCCGTTTGGAACTTCATAGCCTTTGCCGTTGATAAGGAACCAGCATTAGCCAACCTCTTCGTTACAGGACGATTCCGATTGACAAAAGCAAGAGCAAGGAGAGGATGATTCAAAGAAGCACATGAGCGCCCTCGAAGTTGCTAACGAAACGCTCAGTCGATGGAAAGACTTGTGGGAGGCCAATCCCCAACTCTTAGCATCAGTGTTTCGCTTCATTTATGTCGTGTGGCAACACGGGCTTGAACACAAAAATCTCATTGATACTACTCGTGGTAATGACGAGTTTTGGACCAATGTGGTTGCTGTTGTTAAAGAGGAGCTTAGTCCCAATCTTGACTACGAGACAGAGACATTCATCATATTGGACGACGAGTGCCGATCAAGTCTCCACGAAGCAGTATCTGTTCAGTCGTATCGCAACATGGTGAAGTCATATGCTGTGCGTGTCATTGGACAGGCCATCTTCCTTCAGCCACAGTCTGGGTCCTGTGAGCCCGCGAAGAAGCCCTTGAGTTACAGCAAGCTAGCCCCATCATTCAAGTCCGAAGATCAACTCAACGAATTGATATTGGAAGCAAAGAGCACATCGTATGACCCCAGTCTTTCTGATAAACTCGCCGCGCAGCTTCAGCAGGACTTCCCGGGCCTCTCCCTCACTCACCTACAGTTGCAAGATCTCAGCGACGAGCGGCAGTTTGGTGATGACTTCATGTTCTCCATAGCACTTCTTCGCAGTCGTATGCAGCAGTGCGTGTCGGGTGATGATATGGCAAATGCAGTGGAAGAGGTGGAAAAGAGGATCACGTCTTTGAATCTCAATCTCTCCCTCACCTACGCTCAGACGGCTTTGACGAAGTCGTGGCAGTTCCTTTTGCATCAAGTGTTGCCATTTGTACGGCCAGTGCCAGAGATCCGTTTGAACCTCCTATCACTCTCTGCCATGATATCCGGAGACCTAGCTTTGAAGAAAAGGTGATATGATGGCAAAACTCCATGGCACGCGACTCAACTTGTTGCTATCAATTCTTGAAGTGGTCTGGTTCTCTGATTCAGATACCGACAAGCACATCACGTCTTTCATGAACCTCGTGGATAACATACACAAAGTCTTGTTGAATGAGGCGCAACCTCCTTCTCAGTCATTCCTTGGACAATTGTCCGTGCCCTTCCATCAAATCCTGCTCCAGGTCATCTACTTCCGTGTTCGCCAGTGCCGGAATCTTGCCAGGCGACCTGAGGTCCTCACCGCTAGCAGGCGCATTGCCGTTTCTGGCTTGTGGATGCAACACTTCCATTAGGAATTGATGCTCTCCGCCTTACATTTGACTCTGCCCGTACACAGCTTGATCTCGATCTTGAGCGGGATATGGAGCTACTGTTTGCAGTCTTCGACCAATGCACGCGTCCTGATATCAACGTCTCGTCTGTAACATGGCTGACTCGATGCCAGGACCCGGATGTCATCAAATCAAGCTTGGAGTCACTCACTCGACAGATGTGATCAGCCTCACAAATCTGCCCCTGCTTCGCACACGCAGGCGACCTTTGTACGCGCCCCACATCCTCCTATTCCATATAGCTGTAGTAAGCATATCGTCCGGGGCTGAAAGATCCGCCAGTGAAGGCGTCATTTCGGCATATAGTAACTGGATAAATTTGTGGGATCAAGTCATACTGAGCCCCTCCAAGCGAGACAGTCCTCGCAGACTGGCGTGCAAATGGACCTGTCACTTTACAGACAAATTAGAATGCGAGGCGCAAATGATTGTCATTAACGATAACTGAAGAACGCTGAGATACAATGAAAAGAGGATATCAATGTAAATGCGATCGTCCATGTTCTAACACCATCAGTGACCGTCGTCGTTGGACGGAGACACACAGCAGAGGAACAGCACAACACGAGCCCACCATTTGGAGTTGTCGACGCATTTTGCTTTGTCGCTAGCTCGTTTAGGCGGCCGAGCAACATAGAGTGCCTGCAGATAAAACTTGAGACACTAGCTATTGATAACACATCCCCAAAATGACATACCTTCTTGTCATCTAGTGCAGGAACGTCGACAACAGGAGTATTGGGACGAAAGGAGGTACCAGGTCCCCGTGGACGTTGCTGAGCTTCATTTGGTTCATCGGTGTTAGGTGGGGAACGGTGGGAGAGCGAGTGAAGGTCAGCGAAAAGCGCACGTGAACGTGAACCCCAGGACAGTGCAAAAGCATTGCGGAGGCGATGTACAGAGGGATCAAGATGGAGACAGAGGGTAGTGGAAGATTGAAAATATGAATGTCAGAGCAAGTAGTGCAGGTGAATGGTGGTAACGCACAGGACCACTGCCTTGCACGTTATCGAAAAAGCCTGGTGGCACTTGACATGGTACTGGACAGATGGGCGGACGTCGCGTAACATTAGCCTGGAATGTCGATATCAGGATCAATATGAAGGTCAGAACAAGACGCAGCGTACATCTGATAGCTTGTGCATGTGGGCCATTAGCGTGTTTCATTCTTGAGAAGCCAGGAGATATACATACTTTCTTTTTGAGTTCAGATTTTTGTGCCTGACAGTCATTGGGAATGAGATAGCGAGTGGGAGTCAAGTTGACACTCACATCAGGTATCTTCTAGGCCTGCTATTTTGAGGATGATGGACGTCGACTCATCTGAATCGGGGGAGAAAATAGTGAATAGTTCCCATGATGCTCCACTGCAAATGTGAACATAATCTGCGATAGTAGCGAACGTGCAGACGTGATGCAAAGGCACCGATTTCTTGGTGCGGTGCGAGATTGCGGTGGAGATTCCTAACGCGTTATTTGCACTTAGTAAAGTCGGGCCCATCGATCGTTTCGAATTCGAAGGAATGTCAGGAATATTCTGCGGAGGTTGTGCGTGTGAGCATATCTGCGAGTTCAGGTGAACATTATATCATGATGCAGATGATTTATATCTGATCGGGAGAGATTGCGTCCACATAAACGCACAAATATCCTGCAAGTCCAAAATCAAGTACCAGACAACTTGAGTACACCAACTCACCTCGACCCGTTCTGTCAGTGATTCTGGCTAAGATGAATCATCAGAAGGTGATCCTCTGCTTGTCCGGACGATGCCAATACCCACGCCTCATCGGAAAAGAAGCTGAATGGAGCAGAAAATCTGCGAAAGGAATATCTAGGCATGCAACCCACTAAAATAAAGTCAGATTTGAATCAAATAAGCAGCAGATAGTCATACCTATGGTGAACGGGTTACAGCAGGTACTTTGGGTGATGAGTTTGTGGGGTTTCAGAGCTAGCAAAGCGGGAAGTCAAATCGTGCACAAACCATGAATTATAAGGCTACTGTACGCACCCAGAGTGGTCTGCCTTCATTCAAAACTCGGCGAGAGGAATTAACTGTGTGGAGAAGAATATCAGTGGATCATCTGAACATGATAGTCGGAGTCGGAGTTGGGCCCTAGGCATTAGCATGGGTATACCCGCAGGTATCGAGGGTACTTGCGCTTTCCGGTGGCTCATCCGCTGCTGACTGGCTCATCCACTGCTGACTGGCAGATACAAGACCTTTCAAGGCCAGCTAATGGCAATGAAGGATGTACATTAAAGTGAGAGGATCTAGGCTTGGAGTCTGCATTAATCTGGATGCTCGGTCAGTTGGCAATTTGACATACATCTTACTGATGGCGAAAAACATATCTCAATGGAGAAATATGTATCAACTCATGCCAGAATTCAAGAATTCTCCCTAGGTCATGTCAACGGTAATGAGTTGGATGCGCGTGAAAATTTTGCCAGTGACCTACTGTATATCCCCATCAGGCAGGAGGTTGTACACCGCCTGGCTCTGTGACAATCCCACAACTAGTTACGAGTACCCCACGGTAGCAAGACAAAGGTAGCGTCATATGATCGGTGATTGCCATGTACACCATATCATAAAATCTGCTGAACCCATCTCAGTCATGCACTACATTATGTCCAGCCTTGAACAAGTGATCTCTCTGTTGAGCAACCTCCAAACGCAGATGCAAGTCGCCCAATCAGTATGTCCAAAAATTCAACTAAGGCATTGCAAATTAGACTTAGCTAACCTCCTTGCGGCAGGACTTGCAACGGGATATCAACTCCTTGCACCAGGATATCGCCATCCTAGGGAAAGATGTAACTTCCCTACGTTGTGATCTGGACCAGAAAACCAACTCCTTGCACCAGGATATCGCCATTCTGGGGCAAGATGTGGGGCGAGATGTATCGTCCATACAGCAGGATGTGAAGGCCTTGCAGGAGAATGTAGCTTCCTTGCCGCCACATGATCCAACCCTGAAGCAGGCTATGGTCCATAACCTCGACAAATTGTCCCATCAATTTGGTGGCCTTGTAGTGGACTTCCAAAGGCTAGCGGATTCGATCCATTCAAACTTTGACTCATGGGCCAGGGTGGCTCACTCCCGTGTCATTGACAAGGTCTTAGAGATACAGCGTCCTCGTCTCAAGGCCATAGAAAATCAACTGCACAAGAACTTGTGCACCTGGTAAGTACTGCCTGCTACAATACAACTCTTTGCGTCAACCTCATTTTGTCACTGGTTCCCGTAGCCTCCATGACAACTCTCCCACTTCAATTCCCGAAGCAACAGCACAGCATTCCTCCAGACCCGGTCTCTGGTAAGTTCTCTTCCCTAGATCTGCTCATACTTGTGACTTATCCAGGGCCAAGCATCCTTACATCAGACGAGGCAGAGTCTGAAGATGCCAGTTCAAATGCCAGTTCAACTTCAAGCGAAGGCACTAATTCCCCTCTATCCATTGAAACTGCCAGCAGCGGTGGTTATGGGACTTTTGGGTCGCATGGAGCATGCCATGAGTTGTAAAGAGTACATTGTAAACAACACAGAAATCTAGAAAGACTCGGAAGTGTAAAGTTGAGTATCAATCATGTACGCAGCCTACTAGTAGTTTGGTACATCAGGGAAATCCTCATTCTTAAATCGAATCGGATCCAATGTGATCCAATTTGCATCAATCTGCGAGCATTCAACAAATTATTTGAGTCCCTTGAAGATTTTCACCAATTGGATCTCAATTCGCGACAATAAGAACAGTATTTTCAGGCCGTTGTCCAATTGATCCAATGTCATCAAGCATATCATTGAATCTCAAATCTAGAAAATACAAACTAATGACCAGTACTATTCATCATTCCTCCGCCATACCCTCAATATCGAGGAACATGAGACTCTCGGCTGCGCCAGGTTCCTCAGTCTTGCGCTTCGACCCACTACAATATCTCCATCAGGTTGGTCAGACGACTCAGACCTGTATCCTCAGCATCAGACTCGGAATCCATGGCACTGTGCTGATCAGTAGTGGCAGAATGTGCTCGTGTGATGTCCTGTTCATGTACTAAACATCAGTAAGTAGTAGCAGAATGGGTTTGTTCACATACCGTCGTCATGTGCAACAACTTGATCAGCCTGCCTAAAGCCGGGGCTCGAGCTAGACCAGGCTGCGGCTCGAGTACCTGCAAGGACCGAAAAGTGTCTGCCAGGCGATACTGAGGAGCCAGCGCGCCTTAGTGCAGAGGACTGAGGACATGCCAGAGGTCAGGAAAACAAATCGAATTGATAGTGAATCGTGATGACATACATGAGAACCATTTGGTGGAACTCCGTCGAAAAAACCTTGGGGCACCCGATAAGCAGGCGGATGTCGTTGGACTGGAGGTTGTGTAGCACTAGTCTAGACACGTACATAGAGTGCCAACTTGTTGGCCTGGCAGAGCGCATTCAGTTGTGAAAATATACAATGAGATATGTACATCAACTCACCTTTGAATTCAAAAGTAGGTCGTCGAGGCCAGCTTCTCGAACAATTGTAGTGATACATACTGTATAGGTACTGATGGAATATGGTATGTTAACTTGCCTTGTGTTATTGAGAGAGCGACGCACCACTAATCACTGCAGACTCGTGGCCGCTGAGGCCTTCATGTGAACATTGAATATGAAATGTTCGGTGATCAGTAAAAAAAATAATCTGATGGCCAGGAAACATATGGGTGACTCGGACTTGTTATCTTCTGCTGGTGCATGATTCTTCCTTCTCAACTCTGCAGCTCGCATGCTCGCAAATCATTGATTGAATGGTGGCCAGTAAGATTCGAGTGCAACCATTTACAGTTGTTCCATAAGGGTTAGGGTTAGTCCATATAAGGCGATCCGTTCTGGAACGGATCGCCTTATATGGACTAACCCTAACCCTACACAATGCCATCACCTTCCTTGTCAACCTATTAATCATCTCGGTCTCCCTTTCACCACATGTCAGTCCCATCAAGCGTTAACTCGTTTTAGGGAAGGAAAGTCGAATCATATGAAAGATCTCATGCCTCTTACCCTCTACTCTACTTGGTCATCGCCCTCGCATGTGAGTTACCCCTCGATTCTTGAACCCTTTAATCACATTCCGAATGATCGCATTTTAGTTTGGGTGGCCTGATTATCATAATTATTGGCAGCCGATATTTCCCGATGCCGTCCCTCCTTGATTTGGCACCATCCTTCCAAGGAGTGTCGAGCACCCTGTTATGACTCCGGGTTGGCAAAAAGTCTGAGCAGCCGGTCATTTTAGTCCTGGTAAAGGCCCCAAGGACGTCGGCGGTGATGTTAGTTTGATATTATAAATTCTTGGCTTGCTGACTGTCTTTCTTTTTTCCTCGTCGTCGACAATGTTGATACCCACCCTTTCACAGAATCACCGGCACCACTTTTCCTGCCACGCCCTTGACGCAGTAACCTAGTGACCTACTCAACACACCCAACTACAACCTCCCCAGAATCTCGCACAGCCCTGGCGCCGCCATCAAAGTGAAGGTTATCGTTGACCGGTCTTCTTCGTGCTCCTGCTAGGATGGCACTACCAGCACAACCTGCCCCAGTCTTTCATTCATCACTTTGACCTCCTGTGCATTCCTTGCGGGGTTGCTCGCTCCTTCTACCTCCTGTGGCACTGGTGCTGTCACTGACACAACCTCCCACATTTCTACAGCCACATACTCGAAGGGCAACATTCTGCAGCCTCTCACCACCTTGGCATGCCAACGCAGACCCTTCCTCGCCCTTCCATAAATCTGGTGTTGCCCATACTCAACCACAACCTTCCTCGTACTCTAACTAACCTGACGCTGCCGCCATGACCTACCAAGGTCTCTCGCTGCTCACTTCGACCTCCCGCACCTCGTTATTCTCGGCGCCTCGCGTGGACGCCTGTGATATCTTGCTCTTCCCTAGTTCATCCTGGTTCTGCGCGTTTCATTTTCCTTCACACTACCTTTCCCTATACAAGTACATTTAATCTATTTTGTTGTATACCATATGTCATACGTCAGACTTTTTGAATACAACGATATTATTACTTAAACATAGATTGAAATCGGTTGTTGAGTGCTTGCTCGGTTCATAAGCACCGCCCCTAGCTAATAATACATTGGACTTTGAGATAGATTATAAACGTGGTGATACCAGGCATGAATGCTGAGCGGTGAACCATATCAATTGAGGACCAATTACTCGTCAGTTAATCACTTTCGGTTATTTTGGCGCATAGCCAGGATTTGAGCAAGGCGGATGCTGAGGGAAAAACTTGAGCCAGATGCCATGATGCAAAATTTGAAAATCCAAACCTCACATAGGCAGGCCTCGTGCTTTAGTTGGATCGGTGATAACCTCAGTGTACAATTCCATATCTCCTGGGCTAACAATTGTTTCCAGAGAAACCGTCCACGCCATCGCAGACACAACCCAGCGCAGGCTAACTCGTCTTTCGCCCCTACCTCGTTTGTGGCTCCATCACAGTACTACAAATCACGCGGCCTGAAAAACGTCAATGGCGGGAGACTTTCCGACAGCATCAACACGCCGATTCGTCTGACAGATTCATTCAAACAGCAGAGTGAGAGAGGTTCGGCATCCTACAATGCCATGCCATCAGGAAGCCATGTAAAAACGGAGGAACTCGGAGAGCCGTCGATCTCAGTTCCTGACCCAAAGTACTACGGGCCAAACCATGGCAGAGGGTCATTTGAAAGTGGTGGTGGAACTGGGACAGGCACTGAATATCTAACTGTGGAGTCGTCATCGGACATTCGATCATCGGACATTCGACAATCGAGTCGTCATCGGACATTCGATCATCGGACATTCGACAATCTCTTGATGACGACTGGGTCGTCCTCAGGCACGAGATTGATTTTGGCAAGCCGTCGAGCAAGGGACCTGCTGCTTGCCCAGCACCCAGACCACAGGAAGAGCTTGCGCCCCGAAGGCAACCTCAGAGACTTCTTGATACCTCATCCGACCGCCGAGAGACCTTTCCGCTAAGGATTCGACCAAAGGGCAACATTCCCGCTGAAGATGTTCCACCACCTCATTTACGCCTGCAGCCGAGACAGCCGTTTGTCCGACCTGCTTCTGACCTTGACTACGATAATCTCGGTGCTGTCTATGCAGAAATAGGCCCAGTGGCGTTCCCGGCTGAAGCTCATCAACATGCAGATTGCCGAAGCTCAGCAAGATTCCTATGCAGATATCGCCGATGGCGCGCCTGTCAAGGGTTGGATCATCATCGGGCGTGGTTTGCGCCACATGCATGGTGTGGAGCTGATAGAGGGTAGGGCAAAGGAAGACGTGCGTTGGGATACCCTACAGAACGAAACGACGCTGCTGGATTCTGCAGCATTTTGGTTGGTTATGGCAGTGGTTAATATACTCCTTGCCGCTGGCCGTGAGTCGCATTTTTCCTATATAGTGAGGGAATATCGGTGTTGAACTCTGTATAGTCACGGCTGTTGCGGGACTTGCCCTCAACGCTGCTTCGAGTGTGGAGCATTATTTACCTTTCTTTCGCCCCCTTTCAGACCATGGGAACCTTGTCTCTGGATTAGCAACTTCTCTTGCTCCCGCAATTGGTGTTGCACTCTTCACTGTGATTGCACTCGGGATCATAAAACGTAAGCACATTCATGGCATGCTCACCCTGTGCAATACTCATCAGGGTATGATGTAGGGGCAGCTGGATGGAGTGGTGTCGTATCCGTGTCCGGAGTTCGAATGCTCGCGGTCAAACTTGTGTTTTACACCATAACAGTCGTGGTTGCCGCATTTACCATCACTGCCGGTGCTCTCCTTTTCGCGTTAGAGGCATTTAGTCATGGGGTTGACATCGCTAAAACGGTCGCAACCGGTTGTGTCTATATGAGCGCTTTCGCTTTCGTTCTCATTATCAACGTTGCTGTCCTATTCCCTGGGTTAATGTTGTTACAACCCCTCCGATTGTGGTCTGTTCTTCATTCGGAACAAGACGCCGTCACCCAAGACAGCGTTTCCGAGGTATGGCTCCTGACTCGATTTCGATTGCATTAAACTTATCTCATTGACTAGCTGTATATCCGACGACTTACGATGCTTCTTATACTGCAAGTGCTTGTATACTATCCATGGTTTTTGCATCTGCATTTTCTCTCATTTTCCCTTTGATCGGGCCGGCTATTGTAATTCTTCTGTTTTTGGCTCTTGTTGGTGCGTCATTTTGTACCTTGCCATTCCGCACAGTGAAATGACCACTCCATAGCTCATAGATATCTCATTGGATATGTTTATGCCCGAACTCTTTCGGAGACTTGGGGGCTTCTCCAGATCTGGTTGCTAAAGCGATTGGGTACACTCCTTGCGCTCCAGCCTCTACTCCTCGGTTTAATTTTGCTCAGTCGGCGGCTCTGGATAGAGGGAGGAATACTTGTGGGCATAGCTCTCGTTGTGGCGGTGATAGTAGAAGTGTACACCATGCACAAAACGAGGCTTGCAAGCCTCCAAGCGTTACCTGAGAGCACCCAAGAGTCTCTTAGATTATTTCGCAGGGCGTTGGAATCAGATAATCGTACTGATACCGATGACGAGAATCGCAGCATGATCACCGCTAGAGGGAACCGCACAAGGGGGTCGATGGCTTCTGTCCTCGAAATGATGTCTCTCACGTTAGCGGTTATGCCATCAGCTTCAAATCATCGTTGTCCTCTACCACTTCGTACGCACATTTGTTTGAAACATCATCAAAGTACTGATATAGTCTTATAGGAACGGAAACTCTGGATGATCTAATTGCTACAGAGCGAGCTGCCAGAACGCATCCTGATGCTCCTCCCCACCTTCCTCCGTTATCCTTTGGGGACCATGCCGAAGAGATGTCAGGTATCATGTATCCGCCCCAGTTGCTTGCCCCACCACCGATCATCTGGCTTCCGAACGATACAGCCGGGGTGGCCAAAATGGAGGCAATTGACTTGTGGAAATATCACGATATACACGTTACCCTTGATGTCCATGCTAGGGATGTCATCCTGCCTAAACGGAGTACATCCACACGAACACACGCGTGACGCGTTGCTCGTGCTTTCTCTTGGCTAACATCCATTTCACATTTCCGCCATCCTCGAACCTTTTGATGTGACATTGATGGACTCATGTTACTCTATAGATTGTACTTACTCCACTACCGTATATCAAACATCCAAGGTGACTTTCATGAACCTTATTCTTCAGACGTGGGAGAGGAGTACGACGGTACTTGGAGTTTTCGCTCAAACCACTTACACAGCTGAAAAGTATGCGGGTTTCTAAAGCATTTCTAGGGTTTTTCACTACCATTTTTGAGTCTTGTTGAACGTTTAACCCTGAATCAACCTGACTTTACAACCAGCTTGGCTGTTTACGCCGGTTCAGGGAGATCCGGATTTTAAGTTTGAGTGACCAATTATGTAAATCTTGTGAGTTCCTTTACATCATTGGAATTCCCTTGCACTGGTACAGAAAAAATGAAATTGATTGTTTTGATACTCGTGGGCCGCGGAGGTACAATGGTCCTATGTATACTAAAAGATGAGTGACCCGTGTTCTGTTGCGAAATGAGTCAAGTGAATTTCACAGGAAAAATAAAACGAGCACCAATGTGTAAAGTACTCCAATGTCATGACGTGATGCAAAACCGGGGTACAGATAGTGTGAGATCTTAATTTTTCGAAGTGACCCTTTATTAAAGTTGCGTAACTGCAGGTATCACAGATCCAAAGAATGCTTTATCTGAGACACTATCTTCCTTTCTTTAAGCCCCATATGTTGCCCTGAAGGGGTAGTGTCGCAGGTGATTGTTTCCTGGCTTTGTCACGTGAGTTTAACGACATGGAGAATAAATGGTTGCAATGTGTCACTAATACCACGGGGACATTGAAGGTCTGTAACCAATTGCGTGCGAGCAGTTGTGGAGCGTTGGGGCGGCCCAATTGATCCGAATGGTTCGCAACGCCCTCATGACATTCAACGTATATATTTCCCTGTCCGTGGGCTCGTAGTGTCCTTTTTCCAGTTTCTCACTCGCCCACTTCATGGTCAAGAATGATATCTTGACCAACGAGGGTGGGTTAGCGACCTATGGTCTATTATGCTGGTATATATGCTTATATATCATACCCATCCAGCAAAACATGGAAGCAGGGTGTATAGCCACAGTCCTGGACTGTACATTCATTTTTTGCTAAGACTATCATTACTTTTCATGAAAGGCTGATCGCATATTGCTGTAGGCTCTTGTCCGTTGCTTCAACTGCAGACGGACCTCCCTCTGACGAACGGCTCCCTTCTACCCTTCCGAGACCTCCATTCAACGTGTCGCCGCTGTCACTGGGCTCCAAATTTGCCGCCCATTTCTTTCCTTTGCGATCTCCTATCAAAACTCTGAAGGTACGATGCTCTTCATCGTACAAGTCAACAAATACCCCTACCACTTGTTCATCCACCAATCTCTCTCCCCTTGTAACTGATTGCCGTGGTACTTCCCTGGAGTCCCGCAGCTCCAGCACTGTAAATAGCCAATCCACCATACCAAAACCGTTTCTTCAACCCTCTGCAGAGAACGCTCCTTACTATGAAATAATGGACGATTTTTCTAATTTGTTTACACTGCCTGAACATCTTCCAAATGCAGCCAAGTCTGCTCAAAAAGCTTCCACCTTGTCACCCGTTATTAATAGCACGGAAACAACTACTCCCTCAAGCAAGCGTTCTAGTAGCTGCCTTAAGCTGCCAGCCGCGAGCCCTCTACATCGTTTCTCGATCTCGAGTAAACGTTGGAGTGACTGTGTTGCTTCCACTGGTGTTACTTCGGAAGATGAAAGCGACCGTGCTCAGCCGTGCTCGTGGATTCAGTCTTTCGGGAAGCCATACAGATGCGTCTTGCGCTACAGATAGCAGTGTGCATAGCAAGAGAGGCAGAAATCACAGCGCGTTGCCGAAGGCATCGGCTATGAACTATCCGGCCCCTTCGCAGCGTGCGCTCTCTTCCTCAGGGAAATTGTGCAGTGGCCCTCCTCCTCCCGCCCCCCTACTTTACCACCGCCTTCAGCTCAGTTGGCGCCCAGGTTGCCGATAAGCTCATTGCCAGACAGGTTTGTTGGATAATTTGACGTAACTTGCATGTCTTGTTATTACTTTTCATTCGTTTATCTTTACATTCACTTACTGCGCACACGTACAATAGCAAGGTTATTCTTTGCATCATCGCACACGGACAGGTATATAGTTCTCACGCCCGCGTCGTTCTACCCTCAGTCTTTTCCACTCAGACTGAGGTGAGATCCCTGCACGTGTTATCGTACTCGACAGTCACTGACATTTACTGTGATCTTAGTTTGTCTCTCATGGTCTCTTGCAGCTTCCATCCTCACTACTCGTATATCTAGATCGGGCTAGCTCTGATGGATTGGATTGGATTTAGTAAGGACGTCCTATGGTACAGCTTGCGAACAGCCATATCAGTCCCACTCAGCTCTCCAAGCCGGTATCGCAATGAGGTCCTGATCCTATTGTATGAGTGTCACTGGCTTTTGAGTCTGATCACGACTCTGTCAAACTGAGCTTCCGCACAGACTCATCAACAACAGCCTTCCATATCGTGTTTTCCGCTCTGAGCAGAGCCTCCGGTTCGTCTTTGATGTGTCTACAAGTCCCTACACCGTCATAGCCAAAACCAGTGTGCACTTGAACCAATGAAGCACCCGCCCGAGCATAATCCAACGCATCAGCGCCCGTACTAATTCCCCGGCAACCTAACAGTGGAATACTTTCAGGGACGTGCCCGCGTAGCGTTTTCAAAGCTTGTAATGCACGCGGCTTCAAGGGAGCACCCGAGAGACCGCCTATCTCAGATTTATTGGTTGGATCAGATTGTATGGATGAGCAATTAAATAAGATGATGGTATATTGACTCACGATCCGTAAGACTTGCGGGATGACTGATAGAAGTGTTGCTGACGATGACACCATCAATATTGCTCTTGCGAATTGGACCTGCAATATCGATAATTTGTGATTCCTCTAGGTCAGGTGCGACTTTCAGCACCAAGCGCGGTCGTCGTTCCGTTATTGGCGATGGTTCTAGTTCGTCTCAAGCTTTTATGACACTTGTAAGTAAGTCTTCCAACAGCTCTCGATTTTGAAGACCGCTGAAGGGTCGTCAGATAGCGCCAAAATGATGGCAAAGGTCATACCGAAGTCCGGGTATGTTCGGACTAGAGACATTGAGAATCAGAACATCAGCGTATGGGCCGAACGTCTTCATACCAGTGACAAAATCATCCGGAGACTCGACCGGAGAGGATTTATTTTTACCTAGGTTGATTGCAAGAACTGACCCGGGTTTGAAGGCAGCAGTTGTATCATCTTTCGTCTCATGAAATTTTGGTATGCGAGCGCGAAGGCGGGAAATCATGAAAGCAGCGCCTTGTGAGGGAAATCCGTAATGGTTGATGAGTGCTGTAAATCATCGAATCAGTTTGGACTGAGGGTGCGTATGTACTTGATCAAGATTCTTTGGCTGACGGCTGCGCAAAACATTGACGTCGTCAAACTCTACAGCCAGCTTGTGAAATCTGAAGACCAACTCACTTATTACAACAGTAAAGTAGGCACGCACGCACGCCCATCATGGCGCTCTCTAACATATGTCTATCATTGGCTGAGCAGCAAGGTGGATTTGCTTATAGCCTGGTATGTGGGTTGTACGTGGGGCGGTTAAACTTTTATAGCATCATTGAACAGTGATTCAGGAATCTCGAAAGCGTGATACTGGCAGCCTATCGATGGATATCAGAAAACTATCAAGATGGTGATAGGATTTACCTTTTTGGTGAATTCTAATGCTTGATTTATTGCTACCTCTGATCATCTCACCAAAGGGTTTTCTAGCGGTGCCTACCTAGCTAGAGCACTCACTGGAATGATACATCGCGTGAGTTGGAGTCTGACAAAATGTTGCGTCACATGATCATTGGTGGTTGGCCTGATTCTTCCTGGCAACAGCAAGCAAATACCATTGCAAGCACAGTTTCATCTTGCGCCATAGTTTCTTTCCCATCTTCATCTTGGCGACCTTCAGCGCATTCAGGCTATGTTCGAAAATAAATGAAAATGCCTCAAAGAGAAAATCTCAGCGCAGACATGCCTGGGCGAGTGAACTTGCTGAAACGTTCAAGAGCACATTCTGCAGGTCGCACGTCCACATCCATTTCATCGGCGTATGGTAAGACTTTCACCTTTGGAACATGGATGATATCGGTTTATTCATTCATCTCAAGGGATACTGTATCTTCGGTTGGCGTCGTGAGGGGCAAGACGCTACCTTCGACCACTGACGGCGATCACCATATGTGCTATTTCAGACATGCCCTTGCCTTGGATGAGCGGCGAGTCAAATTATATCCATGGTGCATCAACACAAGGATCACATTCCGACCGCATCAAGGAGGTTTGGTTTGCAGGTAGCCACTCGGACCTGTATGTCAAATGCCTTGAAATATCTACACCTCTGATTCAATAACAGACATTTCCAGTGGCGGAGGCAATCGACTCAACGAGAAGCTTCAATCAGGCGACATTCCATTGCTATGGATGCGAAAGGAGACTGTCGAGGCAGACTTGAGGATGAAGCTTACCGAAGTCGTCTGGAAGATGGATGACCTGTAGAAGAGGACGTACGAATCACCAAGGAGCATGTGGTGGTTGCTCGAATTCGCTCTTGTCAAGCGGGTTGTTTATGGCACTTGAGACAGTCACGCGTTCGGGTACGTGCTTTAAGCTTTTCGCCGCGCACTGATGAATTCACTAGAATCTCCTGAAGGCTCCATCGTGGCGCGCCTCGGGTGATTCTCCCCGAACAGAAGATTCACGCCTCTGTCTTGTTCGAAGGCAACTATAGAGCCAAGGCCAAATTCTGGAAGGACTTCGACGTCTGGCCAGAATTGCTGTACTGGAATGATCCAACCAGCCAGCGACGACTTTCCAAACTGGGTCAGCTGTAGGAGAAGGACATTTTTGATGAATCAAGCGTGCCCTCGCTTCTAAGAGATATCCAGTTACACGGAGTGTAGTGTTTCGACGCGGTTGACCGACTGGCGTTCATGGCCTCGTTTGGTGGGTGTTTCATTTCTTTGTTATGATTTATCTTCTAAGGGCTTTATACAACAAGGAAGGGCTGCGATCAAAGAATCGGACAGCTGGGAGAGTCAGTTAAATAAGCTAGTCCGTTACAGCGAAGATCCAAAAGTACGTGTTAGTGCTACCGTTGCACTAAGCGGACTATGTAGGTCATGGTGAACCTGTTGCATGGACGTGTTCTCACTCTCTTCAGCGCCCAAACTTGACGCAGAATACTTCCAAAAGGCAGCTGCTGACGTGTTGAAAATGCTGGACAGCAGGGACGATATCGATCAGATTCGAGCTTGCAGAGCCCTCCCCGCCCCAATCAGCATGCCGCGGTAGGGAATGAGATCTTGAGTGAAGCAACATTCCAGCGTGTACTAGACCTCGGAGGGGTCTCCGAAACCGAGTCGTTGATGGTGCAAATTTATGCGTCACAGACTTTGTCGTTGCTTGCTAGCTATGGTTCGTAATTTAGTCCACCGGAACGATGTTCACTTTGTGACTGTGATATCTTCAAACCTGTACTGACCGGCTGTGACAGAAAAGGCCACGAAGGGCATCACCAATATTCTTGGCAGCCAACGTGAGTTTTCGACCTGAACGTGCTTTTACATTCAAAGTGAGATCGCCTATTGCAGGCGAAGAAATTTTGGTAGCGGCCTTACGCATACTTGCTGCCCTTGTCCACGATGGTATTTTTGGTTGTTCTTTCAGACGTAGGCGTATCCTTGACAATCCCTTGCAGAAAGAGTGCAAGCTGAGGTCCTAGTAGATCTAACTCCTACGTCGCAGTGAACTTTCAATGCTCGTTTCCATCCCCTTCCCTACCATCGAGGGCAATACTACCTTGGCTCATCGCCATGATAGGACGTTCCCCAGGTAAGTATAATCTAACTTTCAGCGGATCTATGGCGCTGACTCTTACCAACACAGAATGGACTCGGTCTGCACGAGAACGCCGAGACCAGAGAACGCCGAGACCAAGACAGTGACCACGACATTCGAACTTCCCGGTATCAAACAACAGGATGTCAATGTCGAGGTCCATGGAAACCGCCTGACTATATCTAGGGAGTCAAAACGCTAGGAGAATTATGACAAGGGCGGGTATGCGATGGAGTTTTGAATATGGGAAAAAAACTGTTCCGAGCCCTGTCACGCATTCCTCGGCTAAAAGACGTTAGCCAACGGATATCAGTACCTCATCGCTGATGGGGAGTGACAAGGCGTTGGATGAAAAGTGGGGACAAAATTCGTGACGTTGGGGTTGTTGCAGCACTCGTGTGGCGCTGACTAGCGTTGACGCTGGTCCTGGTCTTTGCGTATGGAGTGGTGCACGCCAACCCACACGTTCGAGCTACTGGCGTCGACAGATAATAGAGTGCATGAATTGATTTGCCATCTTGGGACACCACCGGACCGGGACTCCCAGACATAGGAGAGTGTGATGCTGAATAAACGATTAGTGAGGAGAACACCCCTAGACTACCATCAAGAGCCTACCATCACCATGACGGACAAAACTAAAGTAGTGACTGCTGCATACTGCAGGAACTTCGACTACACTGGGTTTGTCTCTGTCAGAACCAAGCAGTTTTATTCTGGCCAATTCCCATTGCTCAACAAAAACGACTTCTTTCAACCTACGGCGATCCTACATGAGCACAACGTCTGGATCCATCGCAAGTTTAAAAAGCCAGCTAAATTTCTGGTCCTATATGACCATGGCAAGCACGAGGATGGGACTATCAATTGCAATTACATGGTGATGAAAATCGGGAAAGACAATATAGTGCAAGATGTGGACAGGGAGCACTTCCTTTTAGTGGGGCAATGCATCACAAAGTGAGCACACCAGTTAGAACCGCCCTGGATGGATGAACTGACTTGAAAACAAATCAGACAATTGCGGTGCCACATGTTGCATGCAAGGAAACCGAAATAAGGAATAGTAAAGGAAACGAGAGCTTAATGAACCGCATAGTTAGTTGTCTGTTTTGTCAGAAACCGTTTTTGTTGTGAATCAAAAGGAGAATAAAAGTCAGACCAAGTGTAGAGCCAGATAATTTGTAGACTGATCATATATTGCGCTGGTTATCGTATACTAGAGCCAGTTCCAACCATGCAACGTTGAATGGTCAATCCAGCATTATCCATCAGGTAATTGAAGCGTGAATCAAACCTTGCTATAATTCGAGTAGGTGACACATAGAACAGGTGAGTCTACACCCCCGCTTTCTTTCAATCTGACAGGTGGACCCTCATTTTCAACATCAAGCGATGGTCCAAGTCAACATGACACACCCGCGAGCAATATTGGCATCAGCATAAAGAGTGACATAGTATTCCAGAGTCTTTGTCTCATAACTTGTGTGTTTGATTTCTCCATTCCCTCATTTCGACTTTCACGAATCCGACAACCTCCATGGCTTCTACCGCAACTTGCACCGTCACTTCTTCTGACTCCGAGCCCACGGAGTTCATTTTACAGCGATTGCCGCTACCCTATGCGACTAAACCCTCATTGTGATCAGGTATCTCGCGCTTCTGCACAATGGCTTTGTAGCGAAGGCCATCTAGTAGAGCCCGATGTTACCAAATATACTACGATATTGCGCCCAGGTTATTTCGCTTCATCTTGTTACCCTGATGCGGATGCTTTCCATCTCAAAGTCTGCGCGGACTTCCTGGGCTGGTCATTCAAAATGGATGACTGGCTCGAGATCGAAAGGTCACCCGATGTCAATGATGCATGGGGAGTACGTGACTGCTGCGTATCTGCGTACCGCGATCCCGTCAACTTCCAGACGGAAAGATACAGTGGAAAGATGTGCAAATCGTATGTCTATTTTATTTTTTCTTATCGCGCACACGTTCTTACCATATCACGGTGTTAAAATACTTTGGTCGCTTTAAGGAGACTGGCGGCCCTGGCTGCACAGAGCGCTTTATTCATACAATGGACTTGTGGTTTATCTCTGTGGCCAAGGTGGTGGAGAACCACGTCATCAATGATGTTGAATCTTACATCGAATTGAGGCGCGACTTGAGCGGCTGCAAGGCTTGCTTTGCCCTTATCGAATTCATCTGTCAGATTGATCTTTCCGAAGAAGTAGTCTCGCATCCAGTCATCATGGCGCTGGAGGAGGCTACCAATGACTTCGTTTCTTGGTCAAATGTAACACCTCATTCTATCGTCGAAGTTGGGGCACTACTGACATCGCTGCTGACAGGAGATTTTATCCTATAACATGGAGCAATCTCACCACAGCACACATAATTTAGTTGCTGTGCTCATGGTCCAACAAGATCTCGACCTGCAAGGCGCTATCGACTACTGCGGCCGGCTATGCAATATCTCCCTACAACGCTTCGAAGAAAACCGTGCTGTCCTCCCCTCATGGGGAGAAGAAGTCGACAAGGATGTGGCTAAGTACGTCGAAGGACTGCAGAACTAGATTACCGGTCCGCTGCGGTGGTCCTTTGAGTCCGCACGCTCTTTCGGGAAGGATGCGCATATCGTCAAGCAGAACCGAATTGTCAAGCTGCTTCCGAAGCGACCATTGTGAAATCCAAAGCTATTTCTGTATGTAAGACCGTTTCACTTCTTTCCTGCGATGCATGATTCTCATTGCGATGACTACCGCTATAGAAAGTTACATCATTGTCTATGTCTTGCTTTCTGTGGAGCTGCTTTTTTTTCCGCGGAACGCGCATCATGTTTCTCCTTTTTTCCTACTCGAAACATTTTTAACTTCTGCTGCTATATGTATGATATAGTACTAGTCTGCCTATTCAGACCAGAATGGAAGGAACAGTCTTGCTTTGTATATAGAATTGTACGTATGTACCAATTTTTCTACGTACTACTCTAGTTAGCATGGTCCATTAGTAATGTTTCACACAAACATGAGTTTGGAACATCTGACACATATCTTGATCATTGAATCTATCTTTCTATCTCTCTCGCTCCTGACACTAGCATGTGGAAAATTCCAATGATGCTGCAGCTGGAATATGGGTCACTCGGTTGATCATGCGTATGAGTGACAGACGCAGGATGTAAAGAGAATACTGGTAGCCGAACGTTGAACAATGAGCATGCAGAACTGTTGATAACTCATCAATCAATCACTCCACACTGGCATGGGGATAGTAAACGGGATGACCCTCAAACCCAGTCATTATTACAGAAATTGTGTCCGGGTAAAATACTCTATACCGATTTGATGCAACGATTGCATTTGGGCCCATATTGACGTCAGCATCTTGGGTATTTTCCGACTGCTCAACCCCAATGCTCCCTGCAGTCCTCCAAACATTACCAATGGTCGCTTTCCACAGTCGTACACGACCATCATTCCCAGCAGAAGACAGGACGGTCCTGAGAGAATGCGTATCAACTATGCAGCTTACGATACCTGAAGACAAAGACAAACCCAGTGATGTGCCACTCAACACGGCCAACCGCCGATCTGCACACATCCCATCAGTAACAAAGCCATAGGGGAGTGCGAATCGCACGTACTTGTGGTGATCGAAATCTGCTACTACATTTGCAGACCGTTTAGGATCGCCCCCTTCTCCCTCGACCTCAGGTTCTTCCTCTGCAGGCTTAACTCGCCATATCCTAACATGTCCATCGTGACCTCCAGTAGCTATAAGGTGATATGATCGCCCACACGAAGGCGCCCATGCCACAGACGTGATTGCAAATGGTGTTGGAGTATCTCCGTCGCTTGCAAGCGAAGTTCCTGCCTCGGTGGGCAAACCCGCCGGCGAAGGAGATGGGTCAAAAGTAAGGAGAGTGATAGGTCGACGAGAGGGAGATAATTGTATAATCTGTGATTCAGAGTGAGCAATGCCATGAAAATGAAGCGTGTCAATACTTTGATAGCGCCAGATACCCCACAGCCAGCCGCGATGATCTCCCCCCCCCATATCTATCTTTACACATGATATGCACCACCCTCCATCAGCCTCTCGGTTTCCCATTCCGGGTCGTCCCTGAGTGGCGGGGTTTTGCGATTGTTGCAGGGCTTGAGCGACCAGGGTTGCAGAAGCACCCTCAAGAGTTGCGCTTGTTTGCGTTGGCGTCGCAAACGCCACGGAGTACGATGAGGACAGTGATGCAGATGGGAGCGTTGAGACATCGACTTCTTCCGAAAGCTGCCATGTGGCTAGCGATGAGTGTTCCAAGCACTCGTAGATGCGAACGTGATTATCGGAAGAGACAGTTGCCTTGCAGAAGCTCTCATAAATCTCTAAATGGGACAAACGCCTGACGTACCAACTTCAACCCAAGATGATGAGGGGCAAATTCGACCACGCGGACAATGCCTCTTGCATCAACCAATACATCCCTTTCCACCCATCTTGAGGAACCACATGAAGCAGCCTGAGGAGACCCGGCACCAGCACCATTCGTTTGCGAATCGGTTATTGATGCAAAGCTAGTTTGCTCCCAAATCTTGACTGTACGGTCGAAAGAGGCGGATGCGAGTATGGTCCCAAATTCTGGGTGTGCCCAGCTTAGTTTTGAAACGGTAGCATCGTGAGCCTGGCATTAATTGGTTGATAAGCGCAAAAACGCGTCTTCCAACATGCTCACCTTCCAGTCATCTTCGACGTTCCAATTTCCATTACTCTCGTCTACTTGCCAAACTTTGATTCTTTAACAGCAGCGTGAGTTGACACGTATACGCATTAAGGGAATAACGTACCTCTGATCGAGACTGCAAGTAGCCAAGCGAAGCCCATAAAAATCATAAGCTACGTCTGTCAGAATATCATTGTGTGTGCTCTGGATCAGACCAGTTTGTATCATGTTTTTCCGATTTGAAATACGCGTTGAGATGTAGTAGCAATTGTTATGCGGTTGTTCTTTCTTGTGAGGGTTTAAGGTTTTGTGCAAGACATTCAAATAGAATTACACAACAACAAACAAACATCTACAGTTCGAGTTGTACTACTATTCTGGCATACGGGCGATGATTTTGTATTATGTACTCACACCATGGTGCCCGTGACTCAGTACTCAGTACTCAGTACTCAGCGCTCAGCAGCAGGTCACACATTCGATGTCTAACTCGTCCAAATGACCATCTTAATGAGCATCCATGCACACTAGTTAAAGTGCGGTACTTCTTTCCATTTCAACTTAGCACCTACAATTCTTCCTTTTCAGATGGCCTACAGTCGGAAGTCACTGTTTACTACTCGCAGAAGGCTATCATGTCCTATAGATACAACAGTCGCCTCACCCGGTTTATTGACCATGTCCTTGGATGGCTACCATTTGAATATCGACACCGGCAGGGAGCAGCAGAGATGATCCCCCAATATTTAACACTATGTCCCACAAATCTGTCGACATTATCCGAAATAGCTGGATCCAAGGCATACAGTCACGCATATCTTTCAAGCTAGTGAGTCTTGACTTGCATCGCGAGTCCTCATATTCATTGCCAAAGCATGCTAATTTGTATGTTCCAGAGGAAAGGTCCGTGTATGTTGGCGGGTACGTCTTTGATACTTGATAGTATATGCGCCAATTTATAAAGTATGACGGACAGTCGGACTCTTCCGCGGACATGTACCAAACCTGCCCCGAGCTATTTATGAATACACAAGCTCCGGCAGCCCGCTACGTCGTCATTTACTTCAGTACCAACGAGCGTGGTCAACGTTCCAGTTCAGCCAACACGCAGCACCTATTGATCCGTTGCTCATCAGTCCATACACAGGACCACCATCTTCCGAGGGGGAACTCCAGATGTACAGATTCTGTCGGTCGTCACGGGATATCACTCATTCCAGAGGGTGTCTTACATCCCGACATGCTCTTGTTTGCTCTCAGACGTTTCAAGGATCAGTCATTCAGAAGACCTCAAAATATTGGAATATTGAGTTCACCTCCATCTACAGAGATATCGACATCGCTGCTTTTTGGCTAGACAGGTAGGGAAGAGAAAAATTGCGTCATTTCCATCGTGTTCTGATCATTCAATACAGTTCATATTTCTATCAAGGTTGTCATTGTTCGACATCGTTTATTGTGTAATCCTTGTGCTTAGTCGTACGAACGATTGAACATTTGCAACTTCGTGTCTATGCGAGAGTATAATCAGTGGTCCGATGCAGGAAGATAGATAAGAGATAGACGCCGTGTGCAGCTGTTGTGATAAACCGCAGCAGCCCTTGCTTCGTGTTCGTTCGCTGTCACATCCCGCCAGACCTCGTTCTGTACCACAGTACAGCTTTCACGATAAACCAAATCACCTCCACTTCAGGACACATCAAGATCTTTCAATGGCAACATAGGTCAGCCTCGCTTATATAAGCACAATTGCAGATTTCTCATTCAGAATGCTTCACTCAATCATGAAACTGGGGACGAGATCCTGCACACATGGTGGCCGGTGAACAATTGGCGTCCTCGACCATTATCGACTTGACATATTTCTCATGATGGCCAGGAGCCCAAAGAAATTCATCACGCTTGAACTACTCACGCGACGGGAGGTTGGCAGAATCTGGCAGAACTCCAGCTTCTTGAAAGCGCCGCGGTCCCAGGTGTCGTCGCGCTTCCGACGTGGCAAACGGTATCATACCAATGCCGATTCTCTTAGCGTGGATATAAGGCTGCTATTGGATATATTGCACTAGCAGCCTTCCACGCCTGCGGCCTGGTCCATGTCCCGCTATTCTTCATGTAATCATGTACATTTTTTCCCAATTACCGGCGCTGCAATGCAACGATTCATATCAACACTCTGTTATGTTGGCAAGGTATAACCATTCCAGTCTCTTCTCTTTTGGACACCTTGTATCAAGAACTAGTATACGGCTTGGCTAGGGGAGACCAGTCACCTTGTGAGCTTTGTGGTGTTTGCATCCAGCAGGCCATTCAAACTAATTTCTTCCTTAATCTGTTCTGCAAATCTGGTGATGGGCCCTAGCGGAGACTATGCAATGCCGGATTATCTGTTGTGCCACAGTGCCCATGTACTGCTGCAGTAGGTTCGCATGGCATTGCTGCTATTCAATTATTGTCGCTTAATACGTCCTTTAAAGGCTATATGGGGCTTGCATTCGTCGCACGTCCTATCGGTGCCCATGAGCTCATACTTCTAGCATAAATGGATTGTCGGCCCCATCATCCATGCAAGCAGGCTGAAACCTCCCTCATAGTCATGCGATCGTTCTCCGCCTTTTTGTTTGCAGTCATTATCGCGGCCAGCAGGTCTACCTCATGGGCCTCGGTCACCATCCCATTGACAAAGCTTGAGCGTGCTGGCTCGTACCTTCAAGGCTCTCCACACGCCGATCGCAGTGCCCGAGCGTCGTTCTTAAAGACAATTAGTGGCCCAAAGACCATCCCGGCTACAAACTTGGCATGCATACAGTACACCACGACTCACGAGTGTTGGTGTCGGCAGTCCCGCCACCTACTACAATTTAATTATTGACACGTGGAGTTCCAACACATTTGTTGGGTCAGTGCTTTTGTAGAGAATTGCCCTTGCAACTTGAAGAACTGATGATGACGTGTAGAACGGGAAAAAGTATGTCCGTACATCAACCAGTGTCCCCACTGGACAGAATGTCACGTCACCTTTGAACTGGCTTTTTCAGTGGTATCGAATGTTTGTCTTCCTCATCACTTAGTCCCAGTACTTATATATAAATTGATATGGCCTAACCGATCAGACAATGACACGGTGACTCTCGCAGCTGGCTTCGTCATCACGGTTCAATCCATCGGTGATGCTCTTAAATTCGCATATTTTGACGGCGTCGACGACATCATTGGCGTTGGACCAGTTAATCTCACGCAGGGCAAACTGTCTCCTGACACTGGCGCCTTGACTCCAACCATCATGGATAATGCTTTGAAGCAGGGTCTGATCAAACAACAGATTTTTGGTATTTCATTTGCGCCGACAACGACTTCTAATGACACCAGTATGTGTTTATCGTATCTGACTTGTATGTAACCCATTTAGTCGATCGAACAGATGGAGCGATTACATATGGTGGCATTGATCCTGCTTTTGTGCATACGGTGTCATATTTCGGTATTGAAATTCCTGATCCGGTAATATAACCTACGCGCCAGTCACCAAGACTCGACCAGCAGCCCACTTCTGGGGCATCTACGTAACTGACGTGACATATGGCACACACACTGTTATTCCTCGGTCAACCGCCGGCATAGTCGACGCGGGCACAACTCGTGCGTATTACAGTTTGACAAATTGGTCCTAGACCAAAGAGTGGATAAAATAAAAAGATGATGTAACTAATGGCCAACCTTCAAAGTCACAGCGTTGCGCCTCGGAGACAGTCGAAGCGTTCCCGACAATGTGCTGAACAAGTAGTATCAACACTAGGGTTAGGGGCAATGAAATGGGAAATTAATATCTAATGTTTGTCTGACTTTGTTAGCTATATGGCACTCTTCCCTCGCTCGTAGTACTTACTGCTATAGCACCATCGGCTCTCAATCTGAGCTGTCGAACAGTTGACCTGCACCTCTTGAAGTAGTCGTGTTTTGCCCACAGCACTGTCTCACATATCACCTGCGAGCGCTTTTTGCACCATCATATTACCCCTATCATGTCTCCTTCCCCCAATAAACCCAGAAAACCCCTCATTCTCGATTATGTATCTGTTCCGCCCTTTCCAAAAGGTCTCACGAGGGCGGACTACAGCAAATTTTCCAGCCATGATAATACTAGACAGGGAGAAGGGAACTCATCACTGGTCGAGGCACTAGCTACTGCATTTTCCCAGAATAACCGCGAGCCTTTGCCATTCCCCAAACCCCTGACACCAACCACTACTGTCTACATACGGAGACCTTCGGAGGTATCTACACTGCAGGGTTCACCACTTCCAATGCTGGGTAAAAAGCGATCCAAATTACCTCTTGGAGTCCAATTTAGATATCGTATGGCTCCCACAGCCTCAGGTTGTGCTAGTGCTAAATGTGGCACTTCGGCTGGTGTCAAGAAGCCAGATATGAAGAACACCCTCCGTTTTGGCACTTCGGCTGATGTCAAGAAGCCAGATATGAAGAAACGGAGGGTGTTCATAGGAAAGCCCCTGCCCGAGTGGAAAGTATGCACAGTCCGATATCTTGATCACAGCCTTCCAGTTTCAGCCCAGTCATCCCGCTCTCCATCCCCAGAATTTACTTTAGATTCAGATGGGACGTTGACGCCATTGGAGGTTCTGGAAGAGCAGATGCACTATACGCCATTGGAGGTTCTTGAAGCACAGGATACAGGTAGAAGAATACATTCTTACGGCTCATGATCCTAGGGCATCAGGAAAACTATTCGTTGCTTTTCTCACTTATTCTACTTAAATTTTCGTGACTGCCACCTAATACACTGCTTTCCAACTTAATGCACTTTTGGAGTCCAAATGGTGGGTGAGTCGTGAGCAGATCTGTGATGAGATAGCAAGCATTTGGGATGTATAGCTCGGGTCATGTCTCCGATATCGCTGCGTTCATTGAAACGGTCGATGAGGGCGAGCCCTAGGTTGTCCAGTGAGTAATCGTGGAATTCGTGCCCAACAGGGCGCAGGTGCAGTGCTTCTTCTTACAAAGAGATGGCCTCATTGAGGTCATTAGGATTGCCTTGGTGCTGAGAGCGGAACACGAGTGAAACGGCCAAGTTGTTCAGGTAGGTATCACGGCCAGCATGTCCCTCGGGAGACAGAGACACGGCTTCACGACGAAGCTGTATGCTCATGTCAAGATCATCGATGTTGCCGTGCTGATCAAACCGTGCTTTAACTGCTCGTGCAAGCTCGTCGAGGATTCTGGGACGAAGTCGATGGCCCAGGGGACAGAGCTGGAGGACGACTCTTCGAAGATGCATGTCTTCATCGGATCCGTCTATTGGAAGATTGTTGCATCCGCCGATCACATAATCAACGCCATTTTCCCCTACTGCGATGCTACGAAGGTACGTGCCCTCTGGACAGAGAGGCAATAGTTCATGATAAAGTTGGACGGCTTCGCAGATGTCGACATCAGTACTTTTCCTGATGCGGCGCCAAGTCAGCGCTCCGGTGAGATTATATAGGGATAAGGGATGATCGGGATGGTGCTGCGGACGCAATGCAAGGGCGTCGCGGAACAGCGAAGTGATAGTATCATGTCTTGAACGACATTTCGGATGTAGCCTTGAAGGCGAACCCACGCGAGGTTGGTGAGAGCCGTTGCGCGGTCTGGATGGCCGACCCGACACTGGTTCAGAACCAATTGAAAATGCTCTACAGCATCATTCAAGTAAGAGATTCTTGCGTCTCACGTATCTAGGAAGTCATACGTGGCCAACATCTGTGTCTCGAGCAATTTCACAGTCTACGAGGGACTATAGTTGGCGTTCCGTCAGCAAAGTTAACAGGACAGAACCTGGGGTTGCTCACATCAAACAGTGTGCCGTTTTTATCGTCGCAAGCATGTACAACAGCAACCTTCAGTGTGATAGAATGTTTGACACCGCGCACGGCTCGGAACGATAGATCTACGAGATGTCAGTGTATGTGCATGAATGAGAAGCGAATCACTCACCAAATGGGTGATCTCCATGATCGAGTAGCTCATCCCACGACAGTTGAAGTTTCCCGATGACCTCTCCACCGCCTAGCACTCGACCAAGCTTATAGGACGCACTGATCTCTATTGACAATGCAGGCGAGGCATTTGATGGTCTATGAACCAATGATCAGTTCTCGCATCACGTCAGAAGATCTCTATGGACCTTACAGAGTCACAGTATCCCCCCACGCTACAGATTCATCAGATGATAGGACACTGATAGCCGATTTCCAGCGTCTCCTCGAGTCGACATTGATGGACACGTAAATGCCAGCGGGAATGCGCCAAGAGGGGACTTGAAGATTCTTTCCGCTGATGACTGTAGATAGAGTGTGAGAATCATGAAACAGATCCAAAGATAATATCGAGGGACTCGCCTTCAAGTCTGATACATCGGCTTTCTGAGCTACCGGGCATGATGTTGCGATGGAGCAAAATGATGAGGATCGAGGATGGGTAAAGTGGAGGATGGGATGGATGGGAAGGGAAGATGGGTGTAAGGATATGGGAAGTGTGGATAGAGTTCGGCTAAGTGGGAGATCGAGGCCTAGAGTTCTGGTCATGCTGCACGTGTATTTCCATATTGTCGGTGGATGTTCGGCATGATAGACGCTGGTATGATTGCACAAGCGCTGGGAATGGAGATCACCAACCATGATTAGCAGAAGAATCTGAGACTGTGCTAAAGTAGATAATGGCATGAACAGTTTCCGTCGAAAGTGGTCTGCCAACGTTGAAAGGGGCATGCGAGTATCAGAGTGCTTGCTGCTCCTGGACTTGTATCATACTCAGTTAGCACGAAAAGGCAAAAAGTAGAATTGAGTATATTTTGTGAGGTAACGACAAAGGTCTATATCGCTGCAAACGGCGCGCAAAGAAAAGACGAACGACTTGTCCAATTGAGCTGACAGTGCCATGGGGAAGGATGATCTTGCCTGCAGCGACTCGCGAGGAATAAGAAAGAATAAGGCGAGAATGCAACCAATTGCATTCTCGTTCGGCGAAGGATCATTAAATTCACGAACGAAGCATTGAGGAAGCTGTGACCACTACCGGATTCACTTGCCGCCGAGAGATAACAAACTGAACTTTGCGGAAGAGGAATACACATTATAGGTGGCACTGCATGGATAGGCTAGCAGGTCCATAGTGTAGGGATGTTTTGAAAGTGACAGGACCATACTTTGGCCAAGGACATGGTTATTGACATTAGTGCGGCTTGAGGCTGCAAAATGGCAGAGGGGACTATTGCGGTAGACATCTGAATGTGGAGCTTTGACGAGAGGGAGGGGTTGTATTCGAGGTAAGGGTGATGTCAATGGAACAAAGCTCAGAGTGACTGTTGAGTCAATGGTGAAAAAAACAGGGTGAAGAGGGAATCACCAGAAGCGCATCTCGTATGCGTAGGAGATGGACGTGGTGCGGACTCCATAGAGAGAAAACCGTAAGATAGACGTGCAGACTCCAGCGGCACAAGGAATTCGAACTTGAGGCCTGAGGCCCAGTGAAAATCGGTCCTAGCGATATCTACGGCAAACGACGACGATATAAAATATATGCCAGGAATATTGTAATAACTACGCAAATCGATAAATGTAAACAATATGTCAACAACGCTCGATCAATTATCAAATGGGTTTCAAATACACATTTGACAATGCGCTCAGTAAATGTTGAACATGTTGAAATTCTTTCAACTTTGACTTGACTTTGCTCAATATTTCAATGTTTGAACATTCTTGCGCATCAGCTGCGCACGCACCATCACTTCACGCAATGACATCAATATGCAGCGGACCAATATTGGGACATTCCATCCCTACTCGCTTCATCTCAGCTTTCTTCTTCCCCTCCATCATCTCGTCTTCCTCTCAGCAAAACCTTGCCGTTGACCTCAACCATCCTGGCATCATCTGACACATAACTTTCTCATGGCCACTAACAAGATAAGTATTAGGCTTTTTCATGGCTCAATCCATTTGCTGATCCCACCCACTCGACCGTCAGCCGTTCTTGTGACAAGTAAGCACTATTCGCAGTGCATATATGCACATATTTTGAACATTGTGAGTTATTTGGCATTGTCAGGTTCATTCACTGACTGTTTTACATCATCGCTAGCTCAATACCATTGTCCCGATGATCGACACATCCAGCGGCTTCAACAGATACACTGTTACAAGACAGTCAATTGGTGAGTTCCATTAAAAGCTACCTAATGTACTTTAACTGATATCTATTGCTGTAGAACGAGGCAGCTGCCATCATTGTAAGTACTGTCTACTTGCCTGGCAAGTATATTCTGACAATGATTGTTTCGGTCAAGGACTCCCATGTGCCAGAAGCTAGTGGACTACGTCATCCTGATGCGCGGGTGGGGGTGCTATGGTATATAGAGTATTGTATTTGTAATTTTTCATAATACAATTATTTTTGGTCGATTTGCGTTGATGAGCAAATATGCACAAGTCAATTGGGAGCTATGGGAATATACTAGAATCTATGGTACACAAACACAATCGATGATACAATATCTCGCTCAATGCGAGTCGCTAAAAATCGACTATAAGTCTCATTTTTCTCCGGAAATCGACGTGAATATTGTCACAATATTTCCGTCGTTTTCCGGAGATATGGCTAGGACCGTTTCTCACTGGGCCTGAGGGTCCATCTAATTGCAACGTGCTGGCATATCAGACATGCGGCATCCCGTTCTCACGGTGTTTCTTAGCCACTTGATTTCCTCCAGTTACCTTGTCTTTCAGAATTTCAGATTCGGCTTATGGCAATCACCTCTATAGATGATAGCATCACGAGGGTACCCTACCATTACAGTCTCCAGTTGTATGTATATGAAATTGTAACATTTGATTTCGACTTACTAATCATCACTCCACAGTACACACTGAAGTTATAGAGTCCCAACTCGGCCGCTAGTATCATGCATGCTGACTATGATGGAGGCTGTTATAACGAGACAACTTTTTACAAGGTTTTTCCGGCCCTCAACGTCATGAGCTATTATTCCACCTCGAGCTGCTCCGTTCTCGCCTGTGCACTTCGTCATGTTTTCCTGCAGCCGCTTGCTGTCAATATCCTGTTCATCTATTATACTCAAGAGGCCGAACTGACCTGGCATTTGGCATTCCAGTGACCCTAGGACTCGGAGATTCTCTATATTCAACACCATCCATCTCTGTGATTCGCTCGATACCGGTGGCAGGTCGTGAATGCATGACGTATGCGTCCATGGTTTGGACGCGCCAATATATTTCAGCTCCGTGCAGTGATATGCAGTGATACATACACCATTGACCACCAAGCAATCAACTCCGGATACCATCTATCAAAGCTCGCACTTGAATATGTGCTGTAGACATACTTATAATTTACTTACATGACGATCAGATACCATGACCATTTCGCACCTTGTTCGATTCGGTCTCGGTAGTTGTCTTGTACCCTTCATCTTGCATACATGTTACAAGTTTGCGACATGAGCCAGTAAATTCTTGTCGATACGGCACATAGGTCACATCTTAGTATCAACAATCCTTGATGAGGTACACGATCAGCGCCGTCTGTGGACACGCAGGAGACTATGATCTCAGAGTACTTCTAGTGTAACTCTCATGAATCTCATATATCACATTGTGCAAAAGGTGAAATAAATTCGAAAGCAAACCCATAAACAGGAGCGTACACTTACAACCTCGAGAAGTCACGGGATGCTGCGGACTCACTGCATAGCACGAGGGGAGGTGGCTCTACAGAGCGATTAGTTCCTGCTCATCATCGTAAACTACTACTGCTGGAGTTCTGTAAATGGGAATCAGAATTATGAGAGGCAGATATCAGGATGTGAACCTACCGTATTTCCTCCCCCTGAAATGCACGGGTTAAGCTAGCGATGCCACCAGGAAACCAATGACTTACCCCATCTTCCCAGCTGATCATAGCCTTCAACTCTTTCAACCCGAAGAGAAGAATGACTTTGATCTCAGTCGAATAATACGTGGAACCTTCGGCGGAGCGCTTGAGTGTCAGTTTCTCGGTAATTTTCGATGTGTCTGCGTGGACGGTGCATAACCTGGAGAATAAGCTTAGTTTATCCGGTAAACATCAGCGTGATTGGAAACAATTTGTGCGACTACTTCGCTCCGTGTCCATCCAATCCGATTTTTGGAGGAGACCCCTGTACGACATGATGTCGATATCGACTTGGTTACATGCGGCCTGATTATACCGTCGGATAGCGAATTTCTTGCTGAACTCTTGCTGCTCAGGGACCAGTGTTCCCTGCTGCGCTTCAGCAACGGGCCTTCCAAAACAAGTCAAAAAAGAGCTACCTTGGTCAGTATGGATGAGAATGCACGAGGCACAGAGAGAATTCCCGAGACACTTCAGAAAACTTCCTTTTGCCTAGCACGATGCTCCATATCGGATGGGTTAAACAGGGCGATAGACTCTGTGCCGTATGTGAAACGGGCCACACGAGTCGATACCAAATGATCGATGAAATATGACACAGCACCTTTTGCAACGACTTGAGCAGTGCTAAAAGCGCCCGTAAGTGCACGCTGTTTGTCAATCGTTGGCACTTACCAATGGTTATCTGGTCGACTGAAGCTAATATTAAGCGACTGGAAGTATGCGTGCAACTTGGCGAACATCCAGTCGCTCGCAGCAAAGCCTTCAACGAAAATACAAACTTCATGTGACACGCCGGTCAGCGCATGTTCCGATGAAGTGCAGTTATGTCAACTTACTGTGATCGGAGTGCCTGCAGCTTTTCTTTGAGTTTCGAAAGCTTCGATGATGCTGCTGATTGAGGGTTCGAAGAGTTTTGCTACGTCTTGTCTTTTAAGTGATAACACGTTAGACAATGGAACAAAGTGCAGAGTGAGGTGGTGCGGACAGCTGATTTACCAAGCGTAAATTGTGGTGCACTACGTCCCCCTTGAACTGCATCAAGTACGAAGAGATGAAGAATGATCTATATTCGGACTCCATAGAGAGAACCGTAAGATGGGCATGCAGAGGCACCTTAAGGAATTCGAACTTGGGTGTGGAGACTCGAGACCGTGGTCCATCGAATTACAACTTGAACGTGCTGGCATAATATCGATTTATCAGTGGTATCCCGCTCTCACGGTGTTTCTTAGCAATTTCCTCCAGTTCACTTGCATAAATGATCTTTCAGAATTTCACACCCGACTTATGGCAATCATTCTTTAAATGATAGCATCATGAGGGTACCCTACCATTACAGTCTCCAGGTATGTATATGAAATTGTAACATTTAATTTCGACTTACTGTACTTGCAGTGCGCACTGGTTATTGAGTCTCGACTGGGCCGCTACCTCCCAACTAGCCCGACAATATGGCTGCTCCAGTCGTTCCCAGTAGCTTTCAGATTTACAAGTACGTCTGACAACTCTAATCTTGCACACTGAGACACATGCGTGAATTGCTGCAGCTCGTACGTCGAAGATCCAAAATGGCAAATCAAATTCACCATCATTTGGTGCTCTGGCTTGGCACTGACTGTGGTTGTCTCCATTCCGAGTTTAATTCTTGGTCTGAGACATGGGCGTTCCCTCAAGGGAATCACTGGAATCTCAGAGACCGATGGATATCAGCCCGCCCATTCCGATGGCAAGGAGCCACCGCCTATCCGTCGAAGACATCGTAGGTTGGTTGGAGCCTGGAATGCTCTTATCTCACCGACGTATTGGTCTCCTGTGAAGCTCGGGCTCAATCTCGGACAAAGTGCGTATCGAAGGTGTTATGTTATTACTTATAGGAAATACTAACACATTGTAATATTCAGTCATAGTCTTATTGGCGTACCTCGCAGCTGTACCCGTCTGCATCATAAAGGATGTACCTCTTATTTCTAATCCGAACAGAGCTGGTGGGTCAGTCAATCCATTAACGCACGAGATAAACTTATTTGAGCCACGTAGGATTTCTCGCTCTTGCACAGTTTCCGGTTGTCTTTTTGTTCGCAACAAAAAACTCAATTCTGTCCTTATTGTTAGGACCAGGGAATGGCTACGAGAAACTCAACTTCATGCATAGGATGGCGGGAAGACCTATGTTCTTCGGCGGATGCATTCATGGATCCCTGTTAATTCGCAATCTACAGCATGGACTTGCAATTCTTGGTCCTCAGAAAGTGACTTCGGGCGTGGCTTCGCTGGCCCTCCTCTCCATCATCGTCCTTCTGTCTTTGAGGCCAGTCAGGAGATTGTTTTAAGAGTGTTTCTTCGTCGTCCAGTAAGTTTTGTTGCCTCGCGTCGCATCACAGCTAACCTTTTCTGAAGCGTTTTGACATACGTGGCATTCTTTGTCACCATATGCTACCATATGCTATATGCATCGCCGTGGATATTCCCTCCCCTTGCATTTTACGGCTCAGATGTATTATTGCGCCTATTCCGCTATCGAATCAAGGATGCCACCCTCACTGCGCAGGACGCTCACATGACTTTGGTATAATATTCTAACGTTGTTCAATGCACTGTTGACTTCATCTGTCACAGATCCGCGTTCATAATTGCGACGATAGCTGGCTTGCTGGCCAGCATGTCAGATTGCGCGTTTTCTTTTCCAACAGAGTTTTTGAATACAATCCCTTCACTATCCTCTCGGTATCACCATCTCATTCTTGCCTCTCCTCACCTTGGTTCCTTCTCGCGGCGCGCAGCGATGGAGACTGGGCGCAGGCATTGAATAACTACACCTGACAGCAAACAAGAACGTTCACAAATCAATGAGAAGTCTGAGGGCAACTCGGATGCCTTAGTTCAAGTCATGCTGGATGGTCCTTATGGAGGGTCAAGCGTCGACCTGGGTTTGTACGAAAGCGTGTTTCTTGTAGCTGGCGGGTCTGGGGTCACATTCACTCTTGGTCTGCTGGACGACATCGTCGGCAGGTGTGTCAAACTAGGCCGCAGTCAGGAGGAACGAACGAGGAGAATCGAGTTCACCTGGTGCATTGGATCATTCGGTATCTCAATTTTGACTATAGGTGTTACATCATTCTGATCTATTTGCACAGGTCAGATAGAATGATTTGCATAGATATTGCTACGGCAGCGTCGAATAGCACCATAGACCTGCACATCTCTATTTTCGTGGCGTGCCTTTGCAATCCGAAAGCGGTACCTGGAATCCCTAACTCCATCGTCACACTCTCGCATCCATCTATTCAGGATCGTACAAGGACTTCATCAATCTTCCGCCGTCATCTGAAAAGGAAGATTTGATCGAAACCCGATGTGATGAAAGCCAGAAATCGCCTGGCTTGGGTGGGGGAGTCGTGGTCTGCGCTAGCAGCCCAGAGAGCTTGACGAGAGACGCGCAGAATGCAGTCGCGAGAGCAACTCTGGTTTCCCATCAAGTGGCGCATCACCTGCCAGTACAACCTGTGACCTGAATTTAGTTGGTTGGCCTATCAGTTTACACTGGGAGCGGCGGCGATTGAGCGGACGACAATTAGCATTCGAGTATAGTCAGTCAATTCGTCTTAAATTTGAATAGGTTTGTCGACAGAGATAGTATATTCGACTGATACATGACTCGAGATTGGGCCCTAAGTATACATCAACGTGCGCAACAGGTAGCTTTCAATGGCATAATGATGGACAATCTCTCGTAAACACTTGCGACCACAACTACATTTCAAAGACGTCGGCCTGCATTTTCCACTCCTGATACATCAAGTGAGATGGTGAACTTCGTGATCCAGACAGACAGAAATACACTCACAGACTCAATCGTTGGTCGGGTAAACACCACCATTGTCTCCTCGTCGAGTTTGATATCCCAAAGAGGGGCATCGAAGCTATATCATGGGATACCTCCACGAAAGGGAGGTACGTCGACACCTGCATGTCCGATGGGAGACCTACTGATGTCGTAGGTTCGCGAATCACCTTGCTGATGCCACGCGCCACGACTGAGGGATTAAAGTCAGTCATGTACAACTGGAACGACAAATCACTGCGATCCGCGACAGGACCAGCCCATACAACACGAGATCCTCCCACTCCAAAAAAGCACCGCGTTTGCATGCCGAACCTTTCATCAGGGACGAGATGAGAGTTTTGTGGACCCCATGATGACCATTTGACTGACCGTCCATCTTCTGACGTCGCGTCAAACCATGTCGGAGGAACGTCCATGAAAAATATGCGAGCAGATACGATATACATCGACGAAGGATAGGCCCATGTCACTGATATGACTCGATCTGCAGGGGTTGTTGCCCAGATCCAATGGTCGACTGGTACCGCGAGGTCTGCACAGCTTGTGGCACTATGAAAATTTAATGGGTGATCGAATACGCCCAACTTGCCATGGACGGGCATCATAAATCTTGCATGAAGCTGCAGCGCCTTTGACGGATTCTCAGTGTCGTAGAGATGTATATGACTGACCATCTGTCGAAAGAGCTATGAGCTTCTCCTTCACAAGAAAACGTATGTCCAGCAACTCAGTTCCATCGCCAATCACACATAAGTCCCGTTAAATGCTCAAATCAAACTGACAGCGAAAGACAGAAGAAGACACCCACATCAGCTTGACTAGGTCGTTGCCAACTCAAGATGTGCGGCTACCAGCACGGTCCCCTAATTTCGTCAAGCCCATCAATATCATAGACTGCAAGGCTATCATTGAAGACAGCAACAGCGAATTTGATGAACTGAGTTTCGCTGCAAGCAGCTCTACAACCTACCACACGAGATCCAAGAGACAAAGGATGTTCCTCCCCATTCGTGGAGATGTTAGATAAGTGCATGAGGCACAAGATTGAGAGTAAGTCTGGTTCATCCTGTGGTCTTGGAGAGCTTGTAATATACAAATAATAAGCAATGTAGGAAATGATGAGAGTGAATTAGAAGCTAAGAAAGAGAGGCTGTATTCATACAAGGAATCAGGAGAGCTTGTAATATACAAATAATAAGCAATGTAGGAAATGATGAGAGTGAATTAGAAGCTAAGAAAGAGAGGCTGTATTCATACAAGGAATCAGGAGAGCTTGTAATATACAAATAATAAGCAATGTAGGAAATGATGAGAGTGAATTAGAAGCTAAGAAAGAGAGGCTGTATTCATACAAGGAATCAGGAGAGCTTGTAATATACAAATAGTAAGCAATGTAGGAAATGATGAGAGTGAATTAGAAGCTAAGAAAGAGAGGCTGTATTCATACAAGGAATCAGGAGAGCTTGTAATATACAAATAGTAAGCAATGTAGGAAATGATGAGAGTGAATTAGAAGCTAAGAAAGAGAGGCTGTATTCATACAAGGAATCAGGAGAGCTTGTAATATACAAATAGTAAGCAATGTACATCAGGGAAAACCTCCCGCGGGAATTTTGCAAATGCGACAAAAATTTCTCGAAATTCGCATAATATTTTCAAAAGTTGTCAACAAAGCTAGTAAATAGTTGCGTATGCGTGACGATCAGTGAATGGGCTAACAAAAAAGTCTCTACACAGTTCCAAAACATTGCTGCTAGTCCAATCCCGAGGCGCAGAGCGGCCAAATTTCGGTATAAGATGTACACTGCGTCGAATATCTTTCACAGATATTATACTAACTAGCTGTTCCCCATTTTCGTATGATCGCGAGACCTTGTGCATACCATGATTTCTCTCGCTTGTCCCGGTGAATGGCGAAAACCACTCGACGTAGGCCAAATGTTTAGGGATCAAGATATGGGAGGGAAAAAGGCTAGTGTGATGTTTCTCGGGTATCGAAAATATAACCCGCACTTGGGCTACACGGTAACCTTGTATGATTCATCAGTGACTTGAAACGGTCAACCAAATGATATACAGACCTTCCACACTCTTCTCTCCCCCATTGCCACAGTTGACAAGAACTGTATCGAAACGTCCTGGCACGGTATTCCCTCGCTTATCTCTTCGTGCAGGCTGACAGTGAACTGAATCAATGGTAACACTTTCATCTTTATGGCCAGCGGAGTCGACCGCATTGTACCTGACCTTATGGAAAATAGGAAGCGAGGCGAAGGGGATATATACATGTCCAGCGGCGTGTTCCACCTGAGCTCGAGTTGTTGCGTCTGGGCGAGTGTGAAGCACAATATAACGAGCAAGGGCAGCTCGAAAAAAAGAGGCACCATAGTCGTCTCTAAGGGAGTCGATGGTAGCGGCCTTGACAGATGGATGTTTTGTCATCTTGTATTCCCTGGCATACTGCATATCTGGCGGTAGACGCGATTGCGGCAATGGATCACCAGCGAGGCGCCAATGAACATAACTGGCATGCCGTAGAATCTTCTCCTGCCGTTCAAGCCACAGAGTCATTTGACTGTACTCGTCCTTGTGGTTTGTTGCACGATATGCATCCTTGGCGAGGTCGATATGAAGTCGTTCGGTATATTCTGTATTATAGTTGTCAGTCGTGCCATACTCTTGAATCATATGGAGGTAGTGCCGGTAGGAGTGAAGCTTTGGAAGATTAAACTGCGTTCGGATGCCAAGTGTGACAAATATGTCTTTGTTGTCATGAAAACGGGTCAAAGCTTCATCGAGGAGTTGCAGTGTCTCCGCTGAGTGACATGGATACTGTGCTAAGTACAGGAAGTCGAGGAGTCCGCGAAGAGTTCGAACAAGCTTAGCGCTTGAAATGTTGTTGGGAAGGGGAATGTCGATAATAACACCCAGAAGAAAGCGGCAAATCTGATTGTGCTCAGCACCACTGACTCTCGCGAGACTAGAGATGCCCTTGTTGAAGATGCGAATATTATGGTTTGGAGGGAGTCGACGGCAACGGGCATCAATCTCTGCTTCTCCAAAAGCCGATTTGATCCAAGCAATCATGTGTTTCACGAGTCCTTGATATAGCTGGTGCAATACGTCGGGGGTAATCGCATGGAAGATATTCGACTTCGGAAGTCCTTGCCAGAAAGGGTGTTGAATAGGCTTGATCCTAAGCTCGGCACAACGTTCTGCAAAGCCAATCGGATCTTCATCTGCAATATTGAGAGCAGCGAGAATACTCTCAAGATCCCGTGGCTTGAATAGGGCATCTTTACTTCCAAGCTCACCGTTCGGGACATCGCATTTCGGACATTCACCTGTCATCGCGCCAGAAACAAGAATTTGCTCGGGATAATCGCCAACATAGCAAGCAAGAAGGGGATGACCACGACGGGTGATGCCATCACCACTACGCATATGTAGCCCATCTTCTCCGGCACTTTTGAGTGGTTCGAGGATGTGCCCCATACATGCATGGAAGAGATTTGTGATAGTGCGGCGCCGAGAGGCCCGATTCTTGATGTGCTCAAGACGAGTAGTTGGAAGGTAAGCCAAAAGGATGTGGGCATGTCGTGAAGGTTTCCGTCGAATGTCTTTTGGTATGTTGCCGATCGTCATATATACTGGGTATGCTGTCTTATTCCCGAAGACAGTGACCTGAGTCTTGTCAGAAGAGAGAATAATCGGGATAATTGTCGCTCCAGGTTTTTCTTTCTCAATTTCCTTCTGTGACGTGTCAGTGATTCAAATCAGTTTGAATTTAGAGCTGAATGAGAGCTGTTGACAAACCTGTGTGCGCCACCACCATTTCCCTGTATGCATATCATGATATAACCGCATTGTCTTGTCTTTGTCTGCATAATGCCTTTCAGGTACGAAGACAAGGTATGGTGCAAATTCTGGATCTTCGTAGAGAGCCTTGACACATTCCAGAACATCTCGGAAGTACACGTCAAAAGCTTCTCCGGCAACCACAACCTCCTGGCGGCGAAATTGCGGGCGACCGGTGGGAAGCTTCTTATCAATGATGTTGTTAAGTTCACGAGAACTTTTATAAGAGAGCCCGAGACGGTCATGTACCTGGCAGATCAGAACATGGTGAGTTTGTATTTGTCATTTCACTTAAAACTTAATGACCCACATCGTCGATAGCAAGAAGATCAGTAAATGCTGTAGAGCCTGTGCCACGCATTTTGGCCCATAAGGCTATGTCGAAGTCGAGTTTACTCTCAAATGGTGCGTAAATGTTTTCTGACCCTGCAATTTTCTGACTGTAACCCTCGTAGATATGCTCACGTGGCATTTCCGATGGTCCAGAGACTGGAGCACCTGCAGTTGGAAGGGGAAAGTGTGTGATATATGGACTGGCATGACCTAATCGAGCTTCTGCGGCATCACGGGGATTTTGATGGTGAGCTCGAGTTTCTTGATGATATTGATCTGCCAGTGACTCTTGCTCCGAATCTTGCTCACCATCTGCCAGTGACTCTTGCTCCGAATCTTGCTCACCAACATCAGGTGCATTAAGAACTGCTGGCTCCCACCCTATTTCGCCATCAAATACCACCTCCTCATCCGATGACTCATCTGCATCCTTGTCTCCTTCTACTACTCCATGGTCGTCTGGCCATTCAAAGTCTTCTTCGGTATAGTGACCAAAAAAGTCGCCTTCAAAATGTAGAACCTGACCACCCTCATCTATCTCATCAGCACCGTCCATATTTTCATCGATGCTGTTGGCATAACCAGTGGATGGGTGATATTCTGGTGCCGTTTCAGTTGGTATGTGGCCCGCTAGTTGTGCATTGCTTACTTGCTCATAATGAGCAAGACACTGCAGATTTCGAGACTGTGTGGCATGGCGGTGATATCCAGCCACAGTCAGGCCTTCTTTTCCACATGGACGACATTTTATGTTGCCTCTGATACTGTGCATTGTCGAGGATGCGATGGAAATGTTGGCTTTGGTGCTTAAGTGGTGAGTGGTGACGAAACGAGGTAGCCGAGGTAGATTTAGTGTTTAGCTTGCGGGCGGAACATGAACCTTCTTCAATTCGAACCACTTGTTACAGGTTGTCTTCCCCCATCAAAATTTCCCTCTTTTAATTCGCTTCTTTCTTCACACTCATTTCGTCAGTCTTTTTCTTACAACTATATTTTACTTACCATGCCTCCAAAGGCTCCTGTGACACCTGGAGAAAAAGCTGCAGCAAAACGGCTGCAGAAGAAGGTTGAAATGGCATCCGCACACTCTGCTCAAGCAGCCACCCCTTCCGAAATTGAAACCTCAGAGAGCGTTGGTAGTAGGTTTTTTTTAATGGATGAAGTGAATCTTTATGTCTCCTAACACCGCAGGGCCAATACGTCAAGCAAAAGAAGTAGCAATGAAAAATCAAGGTTTGTGTTGCCGACGCAGTGTCTATATTTGAACTCATCTGTTTGAAAAGTTTGGGCTGCAGACAAACCAGCAACCCGAAAACGTGCTGCATCATCTATCGCTGACTCAGGCAAAGGCAAACAAAAAAAGCTCACAGGTCAGTCGAAGCCTCATATTGTTAATATGTTCTCCTTACACGTCGTCCAGTAGGCACCAGCATAAAGAAACAGATTGTGCCACCAGAAGAATCCAACCATGGTACAGCCAGGCCACCTCGTCTACGCAGTAAGTGTTATTTTTATTATTATTAATACTTCCATATTTGTTTCTAACTTGCTGAACTCGAGAAACTCGAGAGCAGGACATTGATTTGCCCTCATTGGACCAGCAGCCTGTTGATGGTCATGGTAACACGGCTTCTGAGTCTGATCATTCTGAGAATGATGACTCGGAATTTTTATCGAGTCATGATGATGAGCTGCAAAGCAAAAAGCCAAAGCAGCTCAAGGATTTATTTTATGACGAGGTATTTCCTACAGATTAATACCGGTTGAGTTACTCACATTGATGGTGGTTCAAAGACTCCTCATTTCGTCACAAATACTGTTAAGGCAGCCTTGAAACCTACAACCCGTGAGTTTTTTGTGGTGTTCTTGGGCATTATAGTGACTATCTGCCTAGATTCTTCCAAGCCAAGTGGCTCGTACATCACCTCCATGATTCCAACTTCAGACTCGGATGACGATCAAGCCACAAGTACTAGTCAAACCACGAAGGCTGTTACAAGTAAGACCAAGTTCAATGTATGTGATTCATGTTTTCTACGCTACGTGTTGTTGATGACTTATTTAACAAAGGATGTCCCTATTACCAAGAAAGGGCCAAGAAAACTGTGCACAAGGCTGCGGAGGTATGTTTTGCATTCGAGTTGCATTCTGAATCTAGATTGGCTGAATTTACAGACTCCGCACTTCACTGCGGCACTATCAACCTCGAGCATTCCGGATTCGCTAACTCGTAATAGTACCCGCTTGGAAGACACTTGGTCTTTGTTAACACATCTTGTGTGGAACGGCAACAACACAATCAATCTCCTCAGTCAACAACCTCATATCCAAGTAATTCTTCATGCTGCCATTCAGCTTGTCGAACGAGAGCTGGTATTTGAGTGCTACTTTCCACGACCGAAACATCGCCACACCATGATGGTCAACTTAGTACTTGAAGCCGCATCATCAGCGGAAGCATAAAGAAGTCTTACAGCGCTTGGAACAAGACCAAGCTTACATGAAAGCTTTGCACCAGAGTGGTGAGTTTCTTGTCAATACTTTCGCAACCCACAATTCTCATGCAAGTGGTGCTACTGATTAGCCAGATGGGCGTATTGTGTTGATTCGCAAGAAACTCAAGGATATTTCGGATCGCGTCGTTCCTGGTGCATATGGGGTCAAGACGGGTGATGACGAGAAGATCAACCGCCTGCTCAATCTTCTGACTTTCATTTACAAGTTTGACACCAAGGTTCGGTTTAGCTCATCGCAAATGTTGATCCTCTTTGACTTTTAGGACATGACAGGGCAATCCCATCTTGAGTCAGCCATTTGACCATCCCGCTATCAATACTGTATGCCAGTTAGCCTTTTTTACGAGTCAGGACCAGGTTGGGAAGAAGTATAAGGATCGGTTTGTCTCTGTGCTTGATGACAATGATGAACCCGAGATCCCGAGTGCCATGGTCTCAGCTGTGGTTACTGCGGTGTGTCTTATTCTAACTATTCAAGCGCTATCTCACTGTGTTCTACCAGATTTTTTCTTCCCTACTTGATCTGAAGTCCGTTGTTGATGTAGGTCGCGAGCGTGGTGATTTCGGGCAAAGTCTCATCCGCATGTTTGACAACAATATGGAAATGCTCAACGGAATCTACACCGAGGGCCCGCATGTTTACCATTCTCTCATGGCTCGAAAATACAAGGCTGTTAGGTATGTGCCAGTCTTGCATCCTTGTTGCATGCTGCTCATAACTTTCTGCAGCAATGTGGTTGACTTTGCATCCGCCGAGTTGAAAGCAGCATTTGCGCGAATCGATTTCGATGTGATAAGTATCGACTAGGGCATTCCTGATAGCACAAGGACTTTGCGTTACAACTTTTGTCTCATTTCCTTGTTTTCAGATCTTGTGATTTGCGATATTCTAGTATATACCCTCCTTTAATCACATTATAATCATCTTGCTGTATTCATGTGGAGTTTTGTAATTGTAAATTTTCACCCATCCGCAGAGGGACTTGGAATATGTTTATGTATCTTCAGGAAGATAGAAAATTTCAGAACATCTTGTGAAATCTTCGCGGGAGGTTTTCCCTGATGTAGGAAATGATGGGAGTGAATTGGAAGCTAAGGAAGAAAGGCTGTATTCATATGAGGAATCCACCCATTTCGATCCTTGATCCATGAAGCTGAGCTTGCATCAGAATGCAATACCACAGAGCCTCTGTGGCCAGAATATGGCAGATTGAAGTGTGTGATTCGGGAAGAAGGGAAAATGAAAAAATCACCAGGCATAAGAGGTAAAACCAGACCAGTCTCATATTGGACAAACTGTCCTCTAGTGAAGTGGCCAAATGGAAGAACAGCACATACTGCATCATCAGCCCTATCTCTATGCCCCATGGTGGCACAGCTCAGGTTCAGCACCAAGCCTGTAAAGGGAGCGGAGAATATGTTTTCCCCCAAAGGCTGAATAGAGCATGTCACATTCAAATGAGAATAGGTTTCAGGCAGATACTTTTCAATGGCTTGAGCCACAATAGAGCATACATCCTGAAGAATGCTTGCTATCACAGAGTACTGATCTGGATTGAGGTAGATGGTGCTGGAAGGATATGGCAAACGTTGAGCATGATTGACCCTAGTTGCACCAGCTTTTTTGATGAGATCAGGGTGAGCATCTGCAGGAGCTCCATAACCCTATGGCACTGATAAGACAACATTAGATAGCTAAGAGAAATAGCATACCTTTTCAGCATATCGAATAAAATGATCAAAATGAATTGTGGCAAAAGGCCTATCTGAATCAGAGGCCTCCTCTATATCATCCATATAAGTTGGCATTTCAACCTGGAGATAGTCCTCAAGCTCCTCAAGCCTTTTCTTGATGATGGGGTTCTGTGAAACCAGAAGTCCTAAGAACTCTTGGTTCCTATCAACAAACTTTACATCTTGACTTTAATATTGTGTATAAGCAGATGCATAAGAATAAGAAAGAGGTGTGCTTACTTTGCAAAGGACTCATGAGCAAGATGTATATATTGTGCGTCCTTTTTGACACTGCTATCAAAGATAGTGTTCATCTAGTATATTAAAATCTTCAGTAAAATAACAGAGAGCAGGATGGAATTTGTCTTACCTTGACTTGAACTTCAGATAAATTGGTGATAGGTGTGGTGTTCAGGGCCCACTCTCTCTGCTGAGTAGTCCATTCTGCTTTGTTCTTCTTATTAACAGGAGAAGCTTCAAAGTTGGACATACAGAGTGGAGATGTGATAACTTGAAGCTGACGATCAAGAATCTCCACAGGCCATATATGGGAAATATTGCAGGAATCCTCAACATGAATTAAAGGATCCCAAGTAGATTCCCTGGATGGCAATTTGAATGTGCTAAAAGGGAAGTAGTCTTTAGATATTTGAAAGTTTTATGACTGTAAAACTCACTTGAATGGTAACCTTGCTAGAGTACTATCACATTGAGAAAAATCACCAAATACTAATGTGACATTTTCATCACTATTGCCCACACCCTTCTCAAATATTCCACAGCTGATTAGCTGAGATCCACAAAGGATGTGAATGTCCCTCAGTTGCTGAACAATTCTTGACACATGTTTGACTGTCCCATCTTCAGTGGCAAACACTGGTCCATATCAATATCAATGAGCATTATGAAAAATAGAAGTACCTACATTTAGGGGATCTCAGGATATTACAAAAAGATGCCAATGATCTGTGTGACATCTTGTTCCTATGTGTTAGATCACTAGACATCCCTGAGATGGCTATGAGAATTAATATGTATGGTGTTCCTATTGGCAGGTTTAGTATATACAACTAAATAGAAGAACAGATCCTCTCACCAGCATATGCTATGAAAGCCAGTCTTATTCCACGTTTGTTATATTCTGCTGTAGTGCCTGGTCTGATTCCCACTTCAAGATCAAGTTGAGAATAGGTGATGCTTTGCTTTTTAAACCTATAGGGAATGTTAATGATTGTGATCCATCAGTTGGGTTAAAAAAAAGCCTACTTAGCAAGATGAAATGCTAATTTGATGTAGTCCAGCATCGAAACAAAGGAAACATAATGACTTTCATCTGTGTTTGACCTGCACTTCCTAATAAGAGAGTGTAGGGCAAGGTCTCCACCCTGTGCTAGAGTTAGGGTGTCTGAAGACTTTTGAATCATACCCAGAAGATTTTTAATACTCTGCAAATCATCTAAGGAAGAAAGATTGGCAAGCTCAGCAATTCGGGTTAGGACATCATGGGTGGGAGTGGGAGGAGAACAGTCAACCCATCGACGAACTTGAGTGGATTCTGAGCTGCTGGTGTCCTTAACTGTCACTTCCATTTCCTCCTCCTCCTCCTCTTCCTCTGGCAGCTCAGGTTCTACTTCCAGATTCTCTGCTGCTTCCCAATGCTGTCTTTTCCTAGGTGGCCCTTCAAAATGATCCACCTTCTCCCCATCCCTGCAGCAGATCTTGCGCTTAGTTGAACCACTCACTGAGTGCTTAGGTGCTTTAAGCCTAGAACTCCAGTTCTTAGGTCTTGTATACCTAGCATTTGTGTGCTTGGAACTGGTGCTATGCATGGGAGCCCTTTGCTTGGGACCAGTACTATGCATAGGAGCCTTGCGCTTATGATCTGCACATATGAGATTTGTATACTTCTTGGGATGTAATATGAGCAAATGCCTACCAGCTAATGCTACAGCTGGATAGAGAATGACTAGATTTGAGATATGATTGTCATAATAAAAAAATCACTCACCTGCAGATGCAGGATGCTTCTTAGTTCTTCTGAGTCTTAAACTCCTCCTAGTCTGCTTGGTGCCAGAGGACCCTTCAGAACTGGTGGCTCCTGAGTGCTGGCTGTCTTCTGGTAATGAAATAAAACTTTCAAGTTGCTCCAGTAGATACTGAAGAGCACAGGGCTCTGGGTGATGTTTTATAAGATCTGGCAGTTGCTGTACCAACATGCACATGATATTATCAGGGATGGCAATAGAGCACATTGTTAAGCTTGTGATGAAGTTCAGGTTGTGTCTGAGCAAGAGATGAGTGCTTGAGTCAGCTTCAACAAGTTTGCCCCTAAAATAATGTGGCAGTGTAGAGTGCAATTTTCGTGGTCACATCCACCCATTCTTATCCCATCCTCATTATTCCTTACTCAGAAGCAACTCATAGCAGAAATCATTGTATCGCATTGCATAAACCCAGCACACACAAGGTGATATAAAGTACATAGGATTATCAAACAGATCATGAGCTGCGCAAAGGGTACTTAAGCACTGCAAGTTAGAGTAGTAAGTATTTAGGATTGTCGAATCTGAAAGAGTTGATGGTACTGGATATCGTACAGCATAGCGCCAGTGAGCCACCATTATGAAGAGGGGACGGCTGCCTTCGTCCATTCAAGGTCTTACAGGAGCTAAGCCGCCTTAAGAATCAGTCGAAAAGGAATACGATAACGAAAGCAGAAGGAAGATATGATCCCTGGATGGGTTTCGCAAACTTTGCATCAAGTGACAAAGCTCATCAGAACCACCTCGCAACAACGATTTAAAATACCACATACCGGCCCCCTGCCAAGATATCAGTCTACTAAAGAGGCCCGTGTTGTAGTCGTGCAGGTACTTTGACAGAATATTGTTGCTGGGAAAAGCTTTAGTACGCCCAAACATTGCGAACGGTGCCTCATCCTTCTTGCCTCTGAACTCGGGCAGGACGAGATCGAGCGTGGTTAGGTACCCATTCCTCCCAATGGTGTCGGCAATGCCATAAGACATTCCGTTAACTTCCGTCTGACAAGTACGAACAAGTCGTTCGTTAGAGTCTTCGGGAATATTGGGAAGGAAAGTGGTCATGACATCCATCAACCCGAGAACACGGAGCTGAGATAGTTGAGAGAAGTCGGAAAGCACCCTCCCATGTTCATCCAACACGTGCTTTCCATCGTTGTTCTACTTGAGATCCAATTTCTTATTCCCTGACAGGTTAAGGTACTTCAAGTTACGATTGAAATTCCTGCCGGCGCCATGAGAAAACCAGTCATCCACGTTCAAACGAACGAAACATACCAGTTCCAACCAAATTTCCAATTATGAATGTTATACCTCAACAGGTGACTGCCGGCGTCAATGATGGTCAGACTGGGAATTCCGCCCAGTTCAGCGGGGAGCGTCTGGAATTTGTTCCCCTTCAAGAACAACACCGACAATCTGGTCATCTTCATGAGGTCTTCTGTGGGGATACTCGTTAACTGATTGCCACTTAGATAAAGTTTCTCCAGCTGCTGTAGATTGCGGAGGAAGGAATACGGTAGTTCTTGGATTTCGTTGAAGGATAAGTTGAGGACACGCAGCTCCTTGAGGATGGTGAATGGAGGGATTGATTCTTCTGTCAGACAGTTCTCTCCGATTGAGAGTCGCTCGAGAGAGTAAGCGAGAGGCGGGAGTGCTAGACCAGGTGCGTTGTGTATTGACATAGTGTATGTAGCATTGGAGGGCTTTCTTGGAATGTGGCCGGCTCGGGAGGGTGATGATGATAAGGGGATCTCTAGAGTTATTCCAGATGGCGCAGGTGCAACCAAGCTATCTCCAAGAGGATTATACCAACTACTAGCAAGCAGATTCGAAGTGACGTTGATATGGATTGGCGATGCGCAATTCCAGAGGGATACAGGTAACTCCGTCAAGCTGTTGTTGTGGGCATCAAGGGTTTCTAGGCGCTGAAGGAGGCCGATAGTGGATGGTAAAGAGACAATTTTGTTGTCGTGACAGGAAAGGTGTATGAGATGGGAAAGTTCGCCGAGGGAGTCTGGGAGCGTCCGAAGTTCATTGTGGTCAAGTTTCAGGGTTTGAAGGGCAGGGAGCTGAGAGAAATCGAACGCGTCAAGAGACGAAAGTTTGGCGTAGGAGACATCGAGCAGTGTGAGGGTGTGCGATATTTGCGGTGGAGAGCTAGGAGCGAATTTGAGGAATGTGATATCGTTGTGGGAGGCATCCAGAACTGACAGGCTGGGACCAATGGACAGATGAAGGGCGTGAACAGAATTATGATCAGCATAGAGGATTTGGGGTTTGGGTAGGTTGTAGGCGATGGAAATGTACACGATCGAGCCGGCGTTTCGATGGAGGACGATGGGTATAGTGGGTAGACTAGAGCCTGTCAGGTCGGCCAGGTCGAATGCATCAAATGTAAGCTCTTCAGCCTGAAGCAAGGGGTCAAGTCAGATTGTGATGTTTTCCTTGGACAACTTACTGCTAGACCGAGGACTCGAGTTGACTTTTATAAATGAATTTCATGAGGAAAGTCATATCTCCTGCATCAAGAAAAGCAGGACTATCCGCTTGGTAGTATCCCGCCCCAACCGGCGAATGACAATGGCAGCTGGCCTCTTGGTAGGCGCCAATACACGCTCTGACAACAGTGAGAAACACAAGCTAGCGCACAGTGGTAAGACGTACGTCGTCCCCTCTCCTTGAGATACAGTTTACTATGGTCTCACGCTCCTTGTGTGCAAATAGCTTCTGCACTGAATCATGACATCTATACTCAAGACCTTCTCAAGCAGGCTGCAGATCTTCTGTCCTCCAATAAAAGCATGCAGAGAATCTTTACAAACAAATATTAGATTCTCATGATGGGTGTGCCGAACAGCTGTCTGTTTTGACTGCTAGTGCTAATCATACTCCCAGCATCAACCTCTGATGGATCGGCAGTCAATGCTGACAAGGAACAGTCCTTACATGACCAAGAGTCGGCATCGATCAAACTCGCAGAACTCTATCGAGATCAAAAGTAAGTCTTGCAAAGTCTGTTGTACACAAGCCCTCACTCCAGACGGAGATGCCAGTGGCTTAGCACAAGTCATCACACTCTCGCGATCATTTATGCCTTCGATTGCCGATGTAAAGACTGCCAAGATGAGCGAGTGCCCTCTGTTCATGACCTGCTGTAGTACTTGATCAAATGTCTACTTTGTAATCCGCGCGCTTCTTAATCACTTCAACTCTATCCCTAACAGCCGGACGTCCTAAACCTACAACATTGAGTGGTCAAAGTGCAAAAGCGCATAAGAGTCGCTTCTACCATGGCATTGGAAATCTCTCAAAGTCTGAGGTTAGTCCTTCGGGTGCCATCTTGGTATTCTCATTATGTGCCCTTACGTCCATGAAATGCAAAGGTTGCCGTCACTTTTACCAGGACCGCTGCAAACTCAATATATTGTCCTCCTTATCTTCAAACAGCGTTAGACCTCCAATCCGGCGTTCTCGATGCCAAGGACAAGGATGACACTATCGTCAGTCGTTCTGATATGCATCCCAGCCCGAAGATGTAACATCACTTCTCTCCATCAAGCTCGCGGTGAAATATGCCGCGAGATCGAGAGTATGTGCGCTATAGCCCTTGGTGGATTTTGAGAATGCCCATCGGGATTACAAACATGGCGCGTAATGCTACATTCATACAACTTGTTGTTGACTTGTCATTGCTACGCAGAACTCCTTCTGACCCTATCTTTCTGTTACCAGCCTTTAATATGCCGATGTCCTCAACGCTTAGAGGCTTGTAGACAAGCGAGGCATATGTCATATGTCATGGTCAGGTAAGAAAGTCTAACTATTGGTGCTGCGCTTCATACCCACTTGCGCAGGAATCGAGTGATATAGACATCTATGCTACCCCTCCTCCCCACCTTCGGCAATTCCTCCTGCCGCCTGCCACTTGTGTCGCTATGCATAATATTTCCTCCCGCCATACATATCTTTCTTCCATATGCTTTTTCGCGTCGTCTATACCCTTCGTAAATTTATATACGTGAAATATATGTACCTGCTCAATTGAAAATTCAAGCTTATTCCTTGGTGAAGAATGCTTGTATCGTTCGGGACCAGTGGACCAGTGGAATACGATTTTGTATCATGCAGTAGATCTCCCAAGATCCTGAAGAATACTGACGAATGCACCTGGATCAATGATCTCTGTGCCGCCATAGGTGACGCGTTTTCCAGTCTTCGCAGCCCATTCCTCCAAGTTTCCATACTCGACATAACCTGCCCCTCCAACTATAAATACTATTCCCTCTGCAAATGCCATCCGCTTCACTCTAACTGTTCCAGACGCACCGCCTCCTAGACCACCTGGACCTCCTGAAAGACCGAGGCCAGTGTGTCGAGAGGCTCGAGGGTCAAGGAAAATGTAATCATCCGTTTCTTGCAGCGACTGGTTCGAAGCTGCAGACGAGTCCATGATCGCCTCAGTAATTTGGGTAACAGGGAGCAATTTGTTCGCTGGTAGGAAGTTCTTGACACCCGAGATAAGATTGTCGAGACCTCCTTCTTTGAGTCGGTCAGTGAGCTAGATAATAAAAATGTTACAATCTGTCTGGAGAGCTAAGGATAATACTGACTCTGTTTCCAAATGCTGTGAAGCCCCTGAAGAGTTCTCCTTGACCTGCACCGAGTACAGGCGTCGAGGTTCCTCCAACAGCAGTAGCCACTGTCATCCGCGAGATCTCCCTTGTGCGTCTGACATATTCAAATGATTCGGTATCAGCTCCTGCATTCTTTAACTCCTTTTCCAACTCGACAATGTCGTCTTTCGAGATCGCATTATCCGGTGAAGACAAGTAGAAGACAAGAACTAGGCGCAGTTTATCCTCCGGTGTCAAGGTGCCGCTTGAACGAGGAGAGCGGAGCATCTCCAAAACTGAAGCAACGGTCTAGATATCAATTAATATGGAGGAATATCGAGCTAGCTGGATGAGGCCGCACCTGTTTACTGATGGCCTCTTCGGTGCTGAAAAGTTCATCAAGCGCACACTTCTTGATCTGCTCCAACAATGCGGTGGCTATGTTCATATGGGTGTCAAGAACGGCCTTCCGCGCAGTCAGCTCTGGTAGCTGTGTGATCGCAGTTTTCAAGTGTGCAGCATTGGAAGATACATCACTACAATTCATCTCAATAAACACGATGGCGAAGCTCGAAGAGCACGTACATTTGCGAGATGCCACTAACATCACTGACACCCGTAGATCGTGTGATTTCGGCAGCATCTTGCTTGTATTTGTTCAGTTCCGTGTCGATCTCTTCAGCGACTTGAGGGAATGGGTTTGGTGCATTCTTTGCCCAGAAGAAGTCCTTAGAATCGAGATCATATGAGCGCTTCTGTGGTTGAGTAACAACTGCGCGATTGAGCTTGATCTCTAGACACTAGGGCTTGATACGTCCATCCATGGCAGATCATCGAAACGAGATCAATATTTCTGTCAAGAATCAGCAGCACTGGAACGGCGTCAGTAGTTTAACATCACGAAGAATAGAACGAACGCACGTGGTCGTTGCAGATTCGACAAGCCAGATGCATCTTGCGCGAATAATGATGACGTAGCCCCATGAGTTCGGGAGGCCGAAAGAATCACATCTCGTATCTTGATATCGAGCTTTTTTGCTATCATCTCCGCAGCATTGCCTTTGGGCGCGCGGATGACTGGAACGTGGCCTTATCCGTGCGATATTCAAGTCACCCATCGATGATACATCAATATACCGCACTCACACATTGTAACAACAGCACTGAAGAGACCATTGGATAGGCGTTCAATCTCCCCTTCTATCTGTTGTTCGGTGGATGATGGGGAGTTCAGGAGTGTGTAAGATGTTACAGGTGCCTTGGACGGCCCTGCTTGACTAGATGGCGTAGTAGAAGGAAGCGGTGACAACAATGAGAATAGTGAGGGAGAGGGTGCATTGAATGATAGATATTGATCAAGAACCTAGAAACATGCATCAACACACTGAAAACAGAATGACATGCGCAAGATACTTGCCTGTTCAATCAAGTCACCTGTTCCGGCGCTCGCGACAGAGGCTGCCAGCTCTTCTAGCAAGGCATGGGGGAGAGGTTCTACAAAGTTGAGTCATACAAGCATTTGTCGAGGTCTTCAGCAATCCGTTTTACATGATCGAGCGTGGGGGCAACAAAATAAATGGCCGGAACGTCTGGTAGTGGAGGGCGTAAAGAATGTAATTGTCTATGCAGAACTTAGATGCGAGCAATATCACAAAAATGATTGGTACTTACACATGGAGCGTGACGCCGACGTCACGAAGATCTTGTACTCGAAGAACAGTTGCCAACACGTCTTTCGTTTGTTGGTCTAGTACCAAGACCTTCCATACGGGAGGTCCAGTGACTGCTGGAATCTTGAGTCCAGTCGAAGCTTTTCCTGACGGTGTTCCCGGTCGTTGAACGGGACTCGGATCGGATGGAGCGTTCAGGTTAAGCAGTGCGAGCAATGCAGCCGTTTGTGCTTGCTGCAATGTTGTTGGCGCGGTTGCCTGGGCCACCGACCTGTCAGTACCAGCAACACAAAAGACTGGTCTTTGAGAACTTACATGCTTCAGAGCAGTACTTGCCATTTGAATGTGCCCTGCTTGATTCTACACGCCGCCACGTGGATTGTTTTGTTAAGTGACCAGAAAGGGGCTCAGGTATTTTGCCGCATCGCTGCCGCAACTTGCCGCACCACTAAAGCATCATACCGAAACCAACATTCAATGCTCAAATTCATCAACTATGCGCCTCTCGGACATGCCTTTGAGAGGTTGAATTTAGAGGACGTGTTGGGCGTGTTGCGGCACGGATGCGGTAGTGGGCGCGGCAGCAGTGAGTCCTAGTAATATAGTGCGAGACGATGACATTCAAACTATATAGATTCTAGAGCACCCACTTTACAATGATCTGTCACTCTCGACAGGCGACTCCTAGTCAGTTCCTACTCCCGAAGAGGAAGCAAATGTGATACTCCAGGCGGCCTGGCTTGACCTCCAACTTAGCTATGATCCGTCTGCAATGGATGTCGATGTTGATCTAGAGTGCCTTGGCATACTCGAACAGCGAATGTTCGAACTCTCGTTGGCCGCAGGTGCTGCAGGGAATGAACAATGGGGAAAAGACGCTGGCACGCACCAAGACCGTTGGAATCCATATGAGGGTCTCCCCGAGCACTGGAATCATGGTGACCAAGATCCGTATGCACCAGAATTTGAAGGAGAACTGGATGTGCATCGTTTTAAAGCCCAAACCGCGGCCACGGCCAAGGAAGGTGAATGGAAGTATTTGATGTGCGCGAGGATGAGCATGCTGTTGTGCTCGCCTGTGACTAAATGCATGATATCTATCGATTCGTGTGTGAGATGCATGATTGTTAGTCCATATATCATATGATGAGGGTGCACACGTACATATTTCTCCTTGGTTAGACCACTGAGAGCCCACTCATTGAACTCGGGAGGAGCATCTATGGCAGTCGCGGTATACTTGGTAAGAAGGAATCTGAAGGATGCGTTGGTGCGGTGCGGTAGTGCATAGCCACAAAATCTCCGCACCCTACCGGCGAGCATGTACCATCTGCTCGAGGTTCGTGGAAGGAACCCCAAAAACTTGTCACGGTTTCGCGTCTGTCACAAACGTGACAGGACGCGTCTTGGTCCAAGATCAAGCTCGAGATTCTTCCACCCACTAAGATGTCCTTTTCTAATCTTTCAGGGTCCTCCGCTGTCGATATGGACAGCGACGAGGAACTTCCAGGGCACATCACGAAAAAAAATCAAAATCACCGCCAACAATGGATGGGAACACGTCTTTGCGAGAGGTGGAATCAAATCGCGTTTTACAAAAACTACCACCGTAGACGCGAGTCACGCGACAGAATTCCTCAAGAACTATCGTCCCCGAGCACGAAAACAGAGTCTCGAAGTACTTATCTCCTTACCTTTGGATATCCTATTCGAGGTAACTCAGGTCTTTTGACATATGATCATCCGCGATAATCACAATCGGCCCAGATCTTTGGGAGGCTACTTCCACTCGACTTACTTCATCTCTCACGCACCACCAAGGCTCTGCGCTCTGTGCTGATGCACCGCTCATCTACCACCGTGTGGATGGCTGCGCGCTCCAACGTAAAGGGAATGCCTGCTTGTGCCGATGACATGTCAGAGCCTGCGCATGCGAGCCTCGCGTTCGATATGCATTGTCACGTAAGTGTTCTAATCATAGCACCCGGATGTATTTGACCTTCCTAACTTAGAATTGTCTCAGACCAAATGTGCGCAATATTGACTGGAACCTCCGAGTCAGGTACTGCCAAAAATGCTTTAAAGAACGGTAAGCTAGGTCTCGCTCGATGATGATAGGCTTACCGACTGGCACTTTAGTACAGAGATTGTCGATGATAAGTTCAAAAAAACATATGGATTGAAATTGCACCATTGCCTGTCATTAAGCATGACGCAGAACCGTTAGTTTTCTGTCCATTCACTGGCGCATGTCCTTACTTTAATTCACCTTCAAGGAAATGACGCACGCTGCCTGATTTCAGACAGGGAATCATTGGTCGACGAGTTGTCGAAGCTCGGGCCAGAAGAAAGATCTGTCCTTCGAGGTTTGAAGAGAGATGCGGTGCTCGTTCGGAAGGAGGTATGTCTCCTGTTTTCGAAATATTCATTCTTGTTTGTTAAGTATATGCAGCATGCAGTTCTGTGCACAAAATGGATGGAAGGCGAACAACAGAGCAGATGGAAGGAGCTCGATCATCTGAGAAGCTTGCGCCATGACGCGTAAGTCTTGTGTTCAGCTCCTGACGCTCACGGCTCAACATTCACAGTATTCTGGAGAAGCTGATCGAACTTGGCTGGGAGGAAGATGTCAACAAGCTTCCAGATCGGCATACTGCACGAATCTACAAGTTGACCCATTTCGAAGATCTTCCACTTGTCAAGCAGCCAAAGCCCTTGACCGATCACAGTAAGGCTTTTTATCTACTTTTGTTCGTTCGTGTTTTTTTAACGCTAACTTATTGAGCAGTCTGGCAAAACATCCAACACAAAATGGTCGAATTCATGGGCCAAATGCGCGAATTCCGCATTCTACAAGAAAGAAAGCAACAGATCAGGGAGCGGCAAAGCCTCCTCGCTATGATATACAGTGACTGGCAACGGGAGAAAGGGTATCACAAGTATCTTATGCCTACTGCTGCCGACCTCTTTGGGATGTGACAAGTTCGCGATATCGTGGAGTTGCCTGCTCATCTGACTGTCACCGCGGAAGATTTTCAGCCTGTTCGCGAGGAGTTATTCAAACTAGTCGACACCTGGAAGCGCTGCAATGGTCATGATTTGCGGTCAGACTTGCTATGGCGGCTTGAAATCCACCCACCGTGCTGGCTTGACAGACTCTCTGTTCAATGCGAGAGACTTGCTGTTGCTGTCTTTACGTGCACAGGGTGGCTCTGCGACGACATTCCTGAGCCTAATGACTTGCCTCGGTACATGTACTTCCCAGAGTACCTTCACCATAGATGCAATCGGATCCGGCGACGAGCATGGAATGAACTCGACCCTGCTAACACGTTTGCAATGGGCCAAGGGTATCCGGGAAATACTGTGCAACGAGAGTGGTCCATGGACGACCTCGAATTAGATAAGAAGGCCTCCCAAACCGTGAGGAAGTTGGCAAAACTCGGCTGTTTTGCCAACAACACTACCTACCGCGTCACTACCGCACCCATGAACTACTATATTCACTGTGATACTACTATAATTCTTACACAAAAACATGTACTATGGTATTTCTTAGTCATAAATCATATCTAAGACCTTGGTAGACGACATAGACATATTATATACACATATTAGACACTTGTTGTGTAGGGTGTGGCATGGATGTGGTATGATGCGGCAAAATCCTAAGGCCCACCAGAAAGGCAATCCATGGAAACATTTCATCCTTCCCACTGACCGCTCAAAGTTAGATTTGATTCACGTTCTGTATCAGTAAGGAGTTTCTCGACTAGCTATAGGTGTATAACTACTGATACCACCAAACAGGATTCGTTGCTCGGAAATACTCGCGCTAAAATTTAAATGGTGATTACGCTCGCCCCATATTTGCCATGCACAGCTTTTGACTTGAGATAAATTTACTTTGGAGCCCTGACCCCCATCATGATCTGATACTGCCATGCCACATTGATTGATGTACTGGCCGCATCTCACGCCGGCACTGCAGTTGCGAGGGGGAATATATTGAGGTCTTAAAACCCTGAGTGCAGTGGCATCTATATACACCGTCTTTCGTTGATCCCACCAGTGACTTAGTCTTCCTGCTTTCACGTACCTTCAAAGCAATCTGTAAGATTTAAGTTCAGATATGAGGTATTTGATGCTCATCATCTACTGTTCAACAGGTAGTCACATCCTTTATACCATGGGTGGATTACAGAGCAGGCCGCGGAATCACCATTACAAGGAACATGCCGCTGCTTCTTCACGGCCTGCGTTTAAGTCCTGGTCGCTCAAACGCAGACAAAAGAAGAAACGGGTCGCATTCGAAATACGAATTGACAAGTCTAGTTGAAAGAGAATCCGCTCCATGGGTCGGAGGTCATAAAGTCTTTGTAGTCCTTGAGGACGGGCAGGGGATGTTCGTTCATCGAGATGCGCTATGACCATGCATGACAAGTCTTATGCATCGTACTAAGCACCCATTCGTGTTCACGAGTAAGTCTTAGTATCTGTCCAGGAAACACGTCATTTTGATGATAAAACGCAGCTATATGTACTCATCTTCTGATTTCATGATTTGTGTATGTCACAATCAAGGGCGCGCCAAAAGGCTGACGTTCACATGAGTTTTTGTTCTCGCTAAGACTGGTCTGTGTTTCTATTCATAACTTATCTGGCGCATTTGTACTTTTATTAATTGATTGTCCTGGAAACTACAGTATCATGTCTGAAGGAGCACATGTGGTAAAGTAGTCTCAATATTGCACACCGCAGGTCAACCGTAAGTAAGGTCCTGGCAGGAGTCGGAGTCCGTGCGCAGGATGCCGTGACACCTGAGGCATAAATAACCTTCTATTTTGAGTCCTTGTAGCAAAGTTCTTAAACTGAGAGGAATGAACAAGCTTAAGGTTGGTTGGTGCGAGCATGAAACAGGAGGCACACTTCTGCTCAGTTACTATAAACCGAATATGGTGTTGGTCGGTTCATCATTTAGAAACTTTGAACCTTCTTATGACCCGCGGTCACCGAAACGAAATTGTCAACCTCCAGGTCCTCCACTCAGTTACTCATTCATTACCTACTTGTTGTATACCCGCCCAGCCAAGGGCTCTTATGACTTTTCACGCAGACGCCGGTTTGGCGCTATGACCTAGATGACTTCAAGCGGATGGTCAAAGCCAAGGGTGGTCCGAAACTGCCTCTGGAACTACTCATTCACTCACTCCTTCAGCTGAACTATCACCCATTTTGAATTTGCTGTCTGTACCACCAAACCCTGGTGATTCAATGTTTTCTTCAAGCCCATACCCCGTGATGTATACCCCTTCATACCCCACTGTAACCCAATTAACCTCAATATTTGTGCCATATTCAACCGCTGTTGTTTCAGGATCCGACTCTTCATCTCATGTCTTTTCCTATCGAAGTGCTGCCCATATTCAGCCTATATGTATCGGAGATGGCCTAGATTCAACTTCGGACGGAGTAATCGCGACTGTGGTGCTTCCAACGAGTGTCGGCCTTGCCGTTTGGGTAAGTTATCACCTGGTAATCCTCTGTTGTGCCTGTAGACTCAATTGGTCTGGCAGCTGCTGTTTGCTGTACTACGTCCATGTTACCGACAAATATATGCGCTCAGAGAGTGGTTCGTGCAACAAGAGTAGGACGCTGGTGTTTACGCAGCAGTATATACTAACTCATCTGCAGGCTGCGAACGCATCGGTTAAGCTCGAATCTCGGCGCATTCCTCTTTCCCTCTGTACCGCTTGTTCCACCTATACCTTCAGATGTCCCCGACACTGGAAGGTCAGTTCCAGCGCGCGCTCGCCTATTTCCATCCGACGAGGAGTTGAGCCAACGAACTCTGTGGACATGTCTCATAGTCGTGCTTGGCTGGAGTTTAGTGGGCCTTGTCGGCGCCTTGCCGTTATACCTCGTGTCTACGCCATGCCTTGCGCACTTGTCAGGTGACCCTGATTTTGCCGGAGTTTACTCCACAATTCAGGACCTCAGCTTGATACGTCTCCTGCAGTTACTAGAAGCCGACTCAGCCTCTACAAACACCACATACTCAGTACTAAACGTACTTGACGGCGATAAACAAGCTTCAAAGGTTCGACTGCGCATCGTTGTTCTTGCCATTTTGGTGGTATTTGCGGTTACGTTACCGGCGCTATATGAAATACTGAAAGAAATTCACAACCTTATTACATTCCGCCGGCGCTGGTTAGAAGTACGATGCGAAGGGAAGGAAATGGGTTGGCTGAGCTCCAGGAAAGCCTCCGGTTTTGCAGGATGGGGAGAGAAGCGCATTAAGGATCATTTTGTCAAAATTGGACTCAGTTCTTCCTTGGGAGGCTCTTCTCGGTCCAACAACCGACCATTGCAGCACTCATGCCGAACTCAGTCTTACTATCAGAACTCTCAGGATTCAGTATTCGAGGTTGACGTCCAAAGCCTGTTCACTGTATGGTAGGAAGGCGTTTAAGATAAATATTCATGGGTGCTGATAAAGCAACATTTTCCAGTGACATGCGAACTTGTGAGGCTGACGTGTCAAAGCCTCGCCAAGGAAAGCCCCCTGACATTGACAGAAGAAATCATTCCAATACCAAATCTCAGCCTCCCGCAGCACCTGTTCACTCTTATCTCACTAACGCTCGGGCAACGCAAGAAGCTCGAAGGAATCAAGGCAGGCAATAAGTAATGAGATCATCTTAATGTTATTGACTTGATCTGTGGTGTATGCAGAAATGAATGTCGCCGTATTATAAGTTAATAATATTTGCAGGTGCTTTAATGCCTGACTCTGTATTGCTTGAATCGAGACTAGCAAAGGTGGAGAAGCAAGAAGTCAGACGCTTTGAAAGCCAGAGCTAATCATCTAACTCGAATTGGTGACAAGGTATGTCTTTCCTATGCCAAGTCATACAGGTACTGAAAATTATTTATACATAAAGGAAGGCGCAGTCGCAGCATAAAAACTTGCCCTTATGAAAACACCTGGCCTCGGCTCGAGGATAGATATTGTGCTCACTCTCATCCGACAAGGATTTTTCTTCGGTGATAATGGGCTTATCACTGAGAACCTCCCCAAAGCAGAAAGGTGCGCTATCGCAAAAGCTTTGCCGCGACATTAGATTGACATATCATCCAGATTCATCGAGGAGGGTGGTGACTGGGTAGGCGTAATCGTCTAAAAGTCTACCGCAGGCTCCACATGATATCCATCCGCCAGCTTAAGACTGTTGGCGCACTTCTCCTCGATGCACTATCGACATTCATTGCTACTGAACTCAACGTACAACGACTTCGTCGCTCTCACTCTCAAACGAGTGGATTTCAAGAAACGGCTTCGTAAATCGCTTGCAAACAAGAAGGGTGGCGCGACAGCTACGTTGTTGAAGCAAGCTCAAGCCCTCGTACGAGCACAGCTGGACAAGGAAGCAATTGTGCGACAGCGAGTCACCACTATCAAGCTCAATCTGCAACGAGGATTGTCATGCATTAGAGTCTAGCGTCTGTTAATGTCCCCGAGTTGCGCATGTATGTTTCCTCCATTTTATCGCTCTTATTGGAGGGAGCTATGTGTCAAGGATCGAGGCTGATCGGGTCGCGAGCATTTGAAGCCTATTTGGTAGGTCTGTGTGGGCTTCCTTTGAGCGCGTTGTACTCATATCTTCCGTGCTAGGACCTCGCCAAGTGCTGCTCAGCACGTTTGGATACGTTCCACAAGTGGGTTGGTGTGGCGACATTGCGAAGCCTTGGAATAGCATCGGTGCCCGAGGAACTGCAGGCTGAACAACTTAGCTGTAGGTTTTACCTGTCGTCTGAAAAACAAGTGATGTGTTAACAATTCTCTAGCTCTTGTGCCACACGTTCTGTATCGTCTGCGATCGCTATCAGAACAAACTCCGTTTGACGCTGCAACCTTTTCTTATGCATTCCCACTCCTTGCACAGGTGTTACTGAAGGGTGGTGTAGACGCCGGCCAAGATGATGGCGTTGAAGCACTCGAACAAATAACTCTCGTGCTCGACATTATCAAGTTTCATTGCAGCGAATGTTTGTCTTCGGTGTAAGAGTTGATGCGTTTCTAACATGCTTGCAGTTTCGGATGCAGCATTTCCCCGAACAGCAACCATGGAGCACGTTCTCCACGCCATAAGGCATCAGCCGCGACCTAGCAAGGAAGCATCATCTGTTCTCATTGACCTCGGAGAGGCTGTGCAGTCGAATGTGACCCGTGATGAGGTCCGTGTGCTCATTGATGGCACACTATTGCAAGGTGTCTACGTCAGGAACGCCTGTCTGCAAGCCATCCAGGTCAGTATCATTTTCTTGCAGTTTGCGTTACATGTGTTCATCGTTTTTGTAGCCATTCGATTTGACCGATCTTGATTGGTCTCCGCAACTTTGGATAGCCTGCCATAACGATGACAAGCAGAATGCCCGTCTCGCTAATCACGCATGGGAGGATAATGGCTTGGATGTGCCAGAAGACTTCCTTGACAAGTTCATGAGCTAAGTATCTCGGTATGTAGTTCATGTTTCTATACTTAAATTATAATGTGTTTATTAGAGCACAACAATGCGTACGTTCGGACCAGCACGGCATCGGCCATCGCGGAGGCTGTAATTTATTGACCTCAAAAGAGTGCACTGACCATAGCTGCTCTGCAAGACTTCTACCAGGAAAAGGTATGATTCCTCATCCTTCTTTATGTGCTCGGCTCTAATCAGTTTGAAGGCTAAGAGGCTGTTCGGCCGAGAGGGAGAAGGATCAGGTCATGCTGCACGTGCTGTCGAGGGCACCATAGACGCTGGTATGAGCACCTAAGCGACTCTGACCAGCAGTTATATAAGTTAGTGATGATACCTTGATTAATGTCCATAATGACCATGACGAATCATTGATTGAATGGTGGCCAGTAAGATTCGAGTGCAACCATTTACAGTTGTTCCATAAGGGTTAGAATGGTGGCCAGTAAGATTCGAGTGCAACCATTTACAGTTGTTCCATAAGGGTTAGGGTTAGTCCATATAAGGCGATCTGTTCTGGAACGGATCGCCTTATATGGACTAACCCTAACCCTACACAATGCCATCACCTTCCTTGTCAACATCAGTGAATTGATGAGTCCTCGATATTGTAGCCGTGGGAAGTATAGCACGATGTAATTCTGCTGCCGCCAAATATTAGCTTATATACTGCGAGCAATTTGAGTTGCACATATATACTCATGTATGCTTGTAAATCCAGCTTAACATGAATGATTTATAACAATCCTGGGACATTCCGCCTTTGCAGCCAATGAGTAGTGGTAGTATACCTGAGCCAATTGTTTTGAGCTTCGACATCTTACCTGATCTTGTTTTTTAATTACAATGTTATTTAAGGCCTTTTGATGGAAAGAGCCTCGGGCATTTGTCGACAAATATAAAATACCATTAGATTTAGTCACAAAGCTATGACATTCCTCCTTTTCAGATAATGAGGGGTGGTAGTAGACTTATCCCAATTATTTCGTGCATTGTCGTTTGGCCCTATTTATTTATCCCATTACAATGCTATTCAAGCCCTTCTCGTGAGAAGATACCTTTAGCGGACAACTTTTGAAACTGGCTGTACCGCTTCCAGCGGCCTCCGCTTTCAATAAGACTACATTAAGTATTTTCAAAACAATGCTTTACATGTTTCTGATTGCTGCTTATTGCAAATGTGAAAGTACAGCGGCGCTCTACAAGGCATCAGCGGGATCAATTGTGCTACAGCGCTGGAAATATCCTAAGTCCAACATTTGTATATGTTTGTTCATGTGACGGTGCGCTCACAAAAGTTCAACTTGAACTTTTCTTCCCGCTCTCACTCGCTCTCTTGAAGCCAAGCCGGAACATCACTACTCTCACTCATCGCTACTCTCACTCATCGCTACTCTCACTTGCCACTTTGGCCGACGATGATGGTGTGATGACAACGACGATGACCCGACAGCAACAACCCAACAACATCAACACGACGACAACGATACGACGACAATGACGACGACGACACGACGACGACGACGACGACGACGACGACACGACGACGACGACACGACGACGACGACGACACGACGACGACGACACGACGACGACAACGACACGACAACGACAACGACACGACGACGACAACACGACAACGACAACGACAACACGACGACAACGACAACACGACGACAACGATACGACGATGACAATGACGACGACACGACGATGACAATGACGATATGACGACAACAACGCGACGCAATGCGACGACAACGACACGATGCGACGACAACGACGACGCAATGCGACGAGATGACGATGACACGACGACGACGCGACGACATGATGCGATGCGACGACGAGACAACGATGACGATGACACAACAACACAACGACGACGACACAACGATGATGACGACGGATACAACGATGACACGACGACGACAATACAACGACGACACAACAACATATCTCTCACTTGCTCTCATCTATAATAGATAGATAGATGTTCGCTGTTTATGTCAGATTTAAAATTTAATGGAATTTGCTTGATATCATTTAATTGAATTGGAAAAGCTGCCTGAAAATAATGTGCTAGTATTGTCGTGAATTGAGATCCTATTTACGAAAATTTGAAAGGGATTAAAATAATTGGACAGATTGCCAAATCGTCAAATTCTTGCAGATTTGTGCAAGTTGGATCGCATTTCATCCAATTTGAGAAGGAGGTTTTTCCTGAGTAGCTTTGACATCGGAAGCAGATATAAGAAAATGAAAAACGCTTCTTTCCTCTACAAGGTCAAACATGATAATGTAATGACCGATGGCAGAATTATGCTGATGTGTGCGATTGTGTACTATATATTGTGATATATGGCTTTCTACTTTCTTCACCGGTTCACTGATGAACCTATTAATCATCTCGGTCTCCCTTTCACCACATGTCAGTCCCATCAAGCGTTAACTCGTTTTAGGGAAGGAAAGTCGAATCATATGAAAGATCTCATGCCTCTTACCCTCCTACTTGGTCATCGCCCTCGCATGTGAGTTACCCCTCGATTCTTGAACCCTTTAATCACATTCCGAATGATCGCATTTTAGTTTGGGTGGCCTGATTATCATAATTATTGGCAGCTGATATTTCCCGATGCCGTCCCTCCTTGATTTGGCACCATCCTTCCAAGGAGTGTCGAGCACCCTGTTATGACTCCGGGTTGGCAAAAAGTCCGAGCAGCCGGTCATTTTAGTCCTGGTAAAGGCCCCAAGGACGTCGGCGGTGATGTTAGTTTGATATTATAAATTCTTGGCTTGCTGACTGTCTTTCTTTTTTCCTCGTCGTCGACAATGTTGATACCCACCCTTTCACAGAATCACCGGCACCACTTTTCCTGCCACGCCCTTGACGCAGTAACCTAGTGACCTACTCAACACACCCAACTACAACCTCCCCAGAATCTCGCACAGCCCTGGCGCCGCCATCAAAGTGAAGGTTATCGTTGACCGGTCTTCTTCGTGCTCCTGCTAGGATCGTCTTCCCCTCCTATCCATTCAATTGACCCATCCTCGATCCTCGTCATTTTTCTTCATCGCACGGTTATGTTTGGTAGCTTGGAAAGCCGATACATCAAACTTGGAAGTGAGTCACTCTATATTGCCTTCGTGTCTCTTTCTTGACCCTTACCGTCTATCTACAGTCATCAGCGGAAAGAATTTTAAAGTTCCTTCGGGGCGCATTCCAGCTGACATCTATGTATCCATCAACCCTAACTCCCGGAGACGTTGGAAATCGGCCATCAGCGTCTTATCATCTGATGAATCTGTAGCGTGGGAGGATACCATAACCCTGTAAAGTCCTCACAGACTATCCTGCACGATGCGAGAACTGATGTTCGGTTTATAGATCATCACATGCCTCACCTGTACTATCAGTTGAAATCAGGGAATCCTATGAGCATGGCCGAATGCTAGGCAGCGGAGAGGTCATAGGGAAGCTCCAAACGTTGTGGGATGAGCTACTCGATCACGATGATGAGTCATTCGGTAAGTAACCTCCTTCTCATTCATGCACATTCTTACATGTTACTGTCCTATTATAGGTTCTATTCCTTCTCTAATCTGGCCCGATTATTTTCTCGTTTACGCTTATCAAACATTTGAAGCAACACAACTTTTACATCTCACCACCGGTGGGCAATGTTATATGTGCGTATGCAAGACACGGTAAGTTTCGCATGTCGCTGTCATGAGACTGATGAGCTCATAGTATGATACAGACATCTTCCGTGATCGTTTATTCGACCCAGGATGTGGTTTTATCGCACTTTTGGTCGACATGTTGGAACATCGCTTAACTGAGGATCCTGCTATCCAAATCCTCGGCCAACTTGCGAGCCATAGTACGACATATGCATTTGCATTCATATATAGCGCCTGACTAGCAGACCTCCAGTTGACGTCCAGACTGACTTGATTCAAAGAGGATTCATTGAGAAATTGGTGTCGCTGATGAAAAGTCGAAAGCACGAAACAAGTAGTGGGGCTATTCTCACGATGTTGTCAATTCTCCGGCACCGTGAGTTTCTTATATGATAACATCTCTTCTGCTGCTTAGCTTTTTTCAGCATACATACGACTTAAAGCAATTGAGGAAGGTGTCGCTGTGACATTGATCAATCGTTTAAAACACCGGAAGAACTGTTTGCTTGCGGCTTACGCATTCTCTCGTATCCTCGACTTCGGTCAGTTTTTCACCCGATGTCATCATGGAATCTTCCTCAACACAATTATGCGTCCTTCATGGCCTTTGAACCATCGCAGAGGAGTGGTGATCATAATGGCCTTCGACATTTTACTGGATGTTGATGGTATGGAATACGGACAAGGCTAAACTTTGGAGGGATTATGTCTTTCTCTAAGCTGCGGAGGGTGTATGGTGCGTTTTATGGTGCTTCACTGCTTGCCTCATTTTAATAGATGCCCAGGACATCTAAGGCTGTTCGTGCCCACGCCTCCATCACCGTGATGCACTCACCTGTATTGTCATACCCGCTGTCCTTAACAGTATGTACATCTGCAGTGCATACATGCGTCCGACTCTTGTCTTTGCAGCTTCCAGAATGTATCCCATCACATCAAGTCGAGCAGTCCGTGCTTTCCAGTGCTCGAATCTGACTGTCTATCCCATGAATACCATTGTTTTTCGTATCTAGCAGCTACTCCAGCCTATTACCACGTTACTCCTTCGAACGCATGTATATAGCTTACTGCAATATCACTTCTCCATCCAACAGACTCGCCTTACATTTGACTTCTATTGGGCAGGTGGCAGGCCTCTTCCCATGTTCCATAATAAATCTGGAGCAAACTCGAATATGCTGACGGATAACGAAAGCCAATGACACTAAAACCAAGGGTAATACATGTATTCACCCCAGAACCATATCCGCACAGCCCTTAGGATTGCATTTTTATCAACTGCGATACCCTTTCCTTCGTGTGGCGAGGGGTGAATATTGTGAATACACACGGGAATACAGGGTGTCTGCATCGGCTGCCTCAGATAAAATACAGGGATTCTCGAAGATGACTCACGTCGTCAAGCCTCCGGTCCATTTCATTCCTTCAGCATCAGGCCCGACATTCCATCCTGGCGCACATTCCAACCGGAAAACAGTCAGAATATTCACAATCATACATACTTAGCTCTGCCTTGGAATTCAGACTTGGCAGCCGCATCTGCAGGAATAGAAGTTCAGGATTATGTCATCTTTCAGTCCATGGCAGAGGTCGCCAGCAGGTCCAAAACCTCCCTATTCCATGGCCAAAAGGAATAGGGAGTAGTTGACATCAATATTTTCCCCAGATCTCCCATCACTGCATGACACATTTCTTCTCGGTGCAGCAGCTAGCCTTAACGATCATCCTGATGTGGCAATTCACTAGCCTCTTGCGTGAGACCATCTGATCCAAGGGCCAAGGCGGTGTGAGTGCCGGCATCCACATGCCAAATTTCACTTTTAATTATAATATTGGTTTGGCTCTTTTGAACGCATTCCCTTCCTAGCAGCTCTACTGTTTATCCCAAATTTCATCCACCATGCTGACATGGACCTGTACCTATTGCAATACTGACATACCATACAAAGAGTCGAAGCATCCCCGAAACACTCACAGGAAGCTGTGCCTGTTGTCACCAAAGAAACATTCGGATGGTGATTGGCCAATTCCAGTTCTCAATGGCGTGCACTGCTGCGCATTTCTTTACAGAAATTGTCGCTATTCAGGATCTATCGACCGAGTTCGTGAACATTGTCGCTCTGCTAAATGTTGCGGACCTGAGGACGGTGCAACACCCAGCAGCATCTATAAAGAAGCCCTCTCCCTCTCGCCTCCTGACTTGGGACAATATATCAGCAATAACTTTTTGACTGCCCCAGGGCTTCAAGCTTCCCATCAGCCATCAGTGCGTATTTTCTCAGTCCTATTTGTGCTACATGTGTTTACGATACATGTGTTGCTTCGCAGGCTGTCGTCGAGGCTGCACCATCCAGCAGCCCCTCTGATGGTGCGATGGGCCAGTATATAACAAGCCGTGAGGCTCAGTTGCTTCCATCGGGGAGCTTGCCTGCACAGCCCAAAAATGATGCGGCAGAAAACCTTGACCTATCTGTTTGCACGCCAAATGACAGATCTGGCAGTGCGGGCTCTACAACTGCCTGCTTGGCAAATGTCCTGAACCAAGGATCCCCCAGCACAGACCCAACTGAAGCGTCCATGGAGAAGACCCAGGCGTTTATACCAGCTGAGGTGCCCAGCCGCCTGCCCAATGGTACAGAAGGTTCCCATACAGGTGCTGAGGATGAGCTATCTATGCGCCGAGCCCACTTACACCCACCCTCACAACTGCCACATGGCACGACAGGCTGCCTCCCTCCCTCCCATTCATGTGTGCCGCCACCCCAACACAGCGGAGACCCAAAAGCCTCACTCCCACCAGTACCAGCTGCAGAACGGACGCATGCTGAGCCTGACATGCTGGGCGCAGAAGGTTCAATGGATAGCAGTGATGATCTCTGTTGTGTGGTGAACATCCCAGAATTTGATACGTTGAGGCTCATGATCACGTTTCAACCCAACCTCAAGCTTATGGTATGCAGCCGTTGTCGGTGCGCTATCTTTTCAGACCACATTGCGGGGCATGTCTGGAGGAATCACAAAAAACTTCTGCCACGCTCATTCCAGAAGTCGCAGCTTGAGGAAGCTGTAATGGAAGCCAGCAAGAGGCTCCAGGCTGTGGCATCTTGCGACCCACTACCAGTCTTACCTGCACGATTTTTACCGCCCCTACCTTGGTTGCGTGACCACGAACCAGGCTTTAAATGCCAACATTGCTCTTACGCAGCAAAAGTTATGGCCAGCATTAAAACTCATGGCCATCGGTCACACCCTGGCAAAGCGCCCTATATCTCCAGGGAGGATCCGTCCGTTCCAGTGCAGTGCCTCTTCCAGGGAAAACATTACTTCGTGGTACATCCAATTCTGCGAAATGCTGGCCCAAATAATCCATTTGTAGCTTTCTATTCATCGCTCCCAGCTGAATATATGAATGGAGCATTTGTAGATGCCCGGACAACCGTTGGTTCTGGACCTGATGACCTGGCGCCATTTCTAGTCAACACAGGATGGGCGGACGCTATGGAAGGTTTTTCTATGACGGAATTGAGGCGGATGTCCGAAGCTAATACTCAGGAGGGTGACCCTCCTTGGTTTTCTCGGGTGAAAGGGTTGGGAAAAAAGTATTTGTCATCCATACGTTCTGTATCTGGAGTGGATCCCCGGGTCCTGGAAGCGCTGACATCTTGGCGCACTCGCTTGTATGTATTCAGAGGTGTTTCATATCCTACACTTTACTTACACTGGTGGAAGCCGGCCATTTCAGGTATTGCAGGAAACAGAGTCTGTAGCCGCATACGGCCACTATTGTGATAGACTTGTACTAATGGTACTACGTGCTCTCATGCTTCCGCAAACTGGTATGGACAGCAATCTCATGGATGAGAATGATGACGAGGAGGATGATGATGATGATGAGCAGGACGAGGAGGATGAGGAAGAGGAGGATGAGGATGAGCAGGATGAGCAGGACGAGGACGAGGACCAGCAGGATGAGGACCAGGAGGATGAGGTTGATGACTTTGATGAACCTGACGAGGATGAGGAATCTGATGTGCATGGTGACTGGGATGAGAGTAATGATCTAGATGAAGGTTACAAAGGTGAGGATAGAGAAAATGCTGATAATAGTGATGACACTGACAGGTGGTCAGGGAACACCTCATCTAGAGATGATGGATCAGTCATGCCCTTAACCACTATGGCAGTAGAGGATGATGGCCTTAGGTCCAATTATCCGGTGGTTCTGCATCCCACTCTCCTTAGGTTCGCCAAGAAGTTAAGAGACTGCTTTCAAAGGCCAGACTCTCAATTATCCCAAAAATCTCTTCTGCAGGCGTATCATCAGATGGTCCTGGCCATATTCACTACTCAAGTTGATGGCGGACAGCTGGGTCCTCTCCATTCACTAGTAGACGCATTTGCCATGTCTATCAGCATCAACACTTACGGCCGCTTCATGCCTCCTCATTTGATATCTAGCCACCTTGCTAAAGTGGTGTATGCAGCCTTATTTTCTATGTTGACCCAGGTCATCAAGTTGCCGGATCCATACCAGTATGTACCAAACTATGAGACAAGTCCAATCATTGATGGTTTTTAATTTCAGGGCATTCATAGACACTATGCAAAAGTGGATCAAACCTGGGACCGGAACTCCATTTTGTTCAGTTCGCCGATACACCAGGCTATGTTATAACTTATGCCGAAGCCATATATCTCTCCCTCGCCTTCAATTTACTGCGGCTCACAGTCCAGAATTTGTGTTTGATGGGAAAAGGTTGTCGGTCATATCCGTTATCAAAATGTATCATGCCGTCTATAGGGACATGGTCACCATACTCCACCAGCGACTCCTGTTTGGTGCCAGTGACGCTATGCTCCAACCCCTCAAGAATCCCAAAGACATCGTGGATATGCCTCATGTGCAGGTCATGGGAGCAGGGGTCTTGGTGTCAGAAATGGATGCGTGTTGGATTCCCATTAAGGTTGTTATGAACGACGATACCCTTCGTAACAAATATTTCAGCCAGGGTCCAGACGGCGAGCTTCTGCCTGACGCAGCAGCATGGGAAGAATACCTAGAGGATATTGATGCTTTCAAGGAGCATTTCTACTTTCTGTTCCACCAGATTTCTGGAATGCCGAAACGTGGCTCTGAAGAGATTCGGTTGAAACTAGTCGACACTAGTTTCAGAAGGCGAAACTTCATGTATTTGTTTCAACGCTTGGCATGCATTGGGGATTACAACAAATCATCTCGCAACACTGGCAACGACAAATTGACCTTACATTTTTTACCTCGACCCATGGAATTTGTTCTTCGAAGATTTCAGGCATCAGTCGCTACCATCGAAGCTTGGGCAGTCAGAGCAGTACTGTTGCTTGGGGAGGACGCCCACTATCAGTGCTACTTCCTCTCTAGTAAGGGTCAGCGATGGACATCTCGTCGTCTTTCAAGCATTCTTCAGCGCCTATCTGCCAAACATCTTCCTGGCAATGTCAGTCTAGGAATGAATGCCCTGAGGCACGTACTTCCAGGAATTGCTGAGCATTACCACATCTCAGAGTTCCTTGACAATGCCTCCAGCGATATTCTGCATGCACAACTAGGACATACTGCAGAAACTGGTAACCGCATGTATGCCCGAGGTCATCAAGATCATCCACAAATGACAAATCCACTTGTTCACCGAACGATGTCATTTAGCGATCTGTGGCATGAATTACTAGGCTTCAAGAAGAACCCCCCAGATGAAGCTGAGGCTCTCTTACTGCAGGAAGCCTTTACGCAGAAGAAGGAATCATCTATCAAGACTCTCGCATCAGCCTGGATGTCTCAGACTCAAATGACACCAGAAGTCCTCCCCAGCACAGCTTCACATCAATCGCTTCCCTCTAGCGGTGGTGTGCCTGCTACTAGGTCTTCCCTTCCTCCTAGCAACTCCTTTAGCATGGCTACAGGACTGGCCACAAAACGGACATTTGCTGATACCAACCAGACTTCTTGGGAATCGGAGGTAAGCTAGCAATATCTTATATTAAAATTTAACTAACGTCCACAAGATCAACAACTCAGTTTCTATGGAAGAGTCTGAACGTCCTTCAAAGAGACCCAGAAATGGTCCTAGTACCAGCCTGTCCCCCGCTCCCCTGGTAATGTATTCCACTAGAATCTGCACTAGGATAATTTGCTTACTGCTATTCCATATCTAGCATGGCAATATCCCACTGGCAGTTAAAAAGGTGTACTGTCCCCAGTGCGATGATTATATTGATGACATTGACACATCGTTGAGGAATCATTTCCTTGAGCAAAAGAAAAGGGAAACAAACTTTCCCCAGTGGCACACCTTTGGCTTTACGGTTACATTTCCATGGTCAAGAAACCCAGTTCGCATATATCGCCAGAGGGACTTCAAATATACCTGCGTATGTGGTTTCACTAACTATGAACAAGTCGAAATCCAAAAACACATCACTTCAATCAACACTGGCGACCTGGAGATGGTGAAGGAACATAGTGTGTCTAGTAAGAGGCCAGGTTGGTCGAGATCCTAGATAGTTCATGTGATTTTCTATCTTTACTGCTAGCTAATGCAGCACCTTACGCCTCATCGAATGTTTTGACCCTCCCAAAATCCACGCTAGCACGCATGAGGACCCCCGCTATTGGTATGAATACATCTTCGTGCCCAGCTTCTTCTCCTTGTTCCTGTTCTGCAGGAGAAGAGTGCATCGGTGGTTGGGTTGGTAGGAGTACACCGAGGCCAAGTATCTGATCTGTGTTGGGGGCTTTGAGGGTGAGGCGATCCTGGTAGGGAGTCTATCCTGGGAGCGGTCAGAGTTGTTCACTGGGTTATGGCAGGCGGAGACAAAAACGTACCCCGAGCACAAAACACAACCACATCTACAAATCTGATGGCTACAACTGCGCCTCCCCCGAGGATGCAAGGGGGCTGTCTGTAGGCACCCTTGTAGTATGTGACCTAACTAAGCAAGGTTAGTCACATCAGTGAAGACCTTGCACGGAAAATGCATCCGCACCTTGGGTTGAGCATCTGACTAGATGGGGCAGGTGTGGTTCATGGAAGATGAGTTAGCCAAGGTCGAGGATGAGCTTCAATGCAGCCTTTCGGAATATCTACAGCACCCCATGAGCAATGCAAACGATACACTGGCGCAAGTCCCACCTTGTCAACATGCTTCTTCAAAGTTTCAAACTCCGTACGTTGCTTTCTACAGTGAAGGGCCTGACAAGAACATCAGCGTCCTTCAGCCCTGATGCTTCCTTCGCCTGTGGTCCAAGGTACTTTTCGGCAATGGCAGTGGGAATTCAATCTGTCAGTCTATACGATCTGGTCAGATAAGTGCGGGATCTAGCGTCTCAATCTTATTTGTGGCCATGATAACCTTGATGTAGCCACGAGTGTCGAAGCCATCAAGCTGGTTAAGTAGTTCAAAGATTGTTCTCTGAATTTCATGGTCGCCACCTGATGTTGAATCATACCTTCAAAGATAGCGTCAGTGTTCGTAAATGAAAAGTGAAACACATCGTTTACCGTTTGGTACCTATAGCGTCGATTTCGTCTATGAAGACAATACTTGGGGCATGTCCTTCAGCTACGCAAAAGGGTGCGCGAACAAGCTTGGAAGCGAACAAGCTTGGAAGCGAACAAGCTTGGAAGCGAACAAGCTTGGACCATCATCAAGATACTTCTGAATAAGCTCAGAACCGACCATGCACAAGAATGTTGCGGATGTTTGCTTTGTGACTGCCTTGGCAAAGAGGGTTTTTCCTGTTCTGGCAACCCCGTAAAGGATGGCCTTAATTCCCATCTCCTCATATAGCTCCGGATGTGTTAGCGAGAGTTTGACGGACTCCTGGGTCAAGGAAGAGAAAACGCAATATGAATGTGCCACTCTAGATTTTTAGAGGCCACGAACCTTGAGACGTCCCCGAAAGATCTTCTGGAACTGCAGGACGCAGTCAAAGTCCATCAGCGTGTAGTGTTGCCCAGGCACGTCGGCTTACGACAGCTCACCGCGACTGAACCCAGACCATAGCTTCACCAGTCTGACTTGCTTTCACGGAGAGGGATAGCGTAGAAAATGTCAACCACGGCTTTCTGCAAAGATGAACCGTCGGAATCCCAGCTGAAAAGTTCTGGAATGATGGTTCTGAGATTATTGAATGGGATGGGAAGACCAAGGAGCAAGGAAGTAGTTGGCACCAGGTCTACATGGCTATGGGGGACCGTAGCTTCTGGGAATGTGATGATTGGTAGAATGGCCTCTGGAATTGTGGAATCGGGAAGGGAGAGAGGGACCTTGCCATATATCCAGATAGCTGACATTGCCTCTAGGACTTTATCACCGCCATGATTACCCGTCTTGTCCATTTCTTGATCCTCAAGAGTTGTGAGGGTATCATCGTCCATGGATGCAATGACATTGTGCAAAAGAGTGTTCATCTGCTCGAGTGTTTCTCTGAGGATGGGATGGTCTGGACTGACTCCGCGACCTACATGGTCGTAGCCTAAACCAATGGCGAAACGCCACGAGTGCTGATGATACCGCATCAAAGGTAAAAGATTATCGATGACGCCCCGGTCCACGTTGTGAAGGTCTTCGATGTTGAAGGAGTCGAAAGCAAAAGTCATGTTTGGCTGAAAGGCATCTGGGAAAAGGGAGTGTCAAGTGTCACCGCTAGCGAGAGCAATCTTTCCTTTGGATTGCATCAGGGAAACGGTATGCGAAAGAAAGTCAGTACATACCTTTCTGCCCCAGGCCGCAGCATTTAGCTGATGGATGATAAAATCCTCTTGATGAGCCTCAAAAGTTTTCTCCGGCCTGTGGTTATGCCTTTGAGTCGCTGAAGAGTGGTGGGTCCGAGTGCGCGTTTCTGGATGAGCGGTGGTCAATTCAAATTTCATGCGGCAGAGTGAGGATAGATGAGGATGTTATGGTGGAATGGTGAAGCAGGTTCAACTGAGCGCGCTATGACGAGGAGGACAGCTCTTGTGTGGGTAGCGAGTGAAGTGCAGATGTCTGCACTTCTGTCAGGGAGTGCGAGTCTGTGAGTAAGAAGGAAACCCTTTGTAAATAAATAGATGCTGGACGGCGCGCTGCACAGGATACTCGCTGGTTGCCCTCAAGCTTGTTGCATCACAGAAAAGTTAGGCTTAATAGACCAAAACAAAATAGCATTTGGGCAATTAAAATGGCAAAGGCAGGATTTGAACTGCTGTGCTCACTATCAAAGTAACAAGACACATTAACCAATAAACCATAGTAGCTCAGACATTATTGAAACACGATGATATATATACCAATGCCGCTCAAGCCTCAATAATATTCAAGTTGTACAATTTGCTCTTATTGAAATATATGGATTTTGATAAGCTTTATCAATAAGCTTTGCTCTAAACTAAGGGTGTAATGATTCACCAAAGAAAGACCTATTTTTCACTTCTGACAACATTATGAGGCTTGAGTAACATTGGTATATGGAGTATCCTGTTTCAATAATGTTTGAGCCACTGTAGTGTTGTAGTTAATGTATTCTGCTATTTTTGTAATTACTTGCCGTTTCAAATCCTGCCTTTGTCATTTTAATTGTCCAAAATGTGATTTTATTTTGGTCTATTTACTTTACTCTATTACTGGATGGTTCTGTGCAGAGCTGTACAGAAGATTGTAGTTTACTGATGTAGGAATAGACAGGTTCTCAAGCCCAACTTCTTTGAGAATGGCTTGAATGTCCTATTCTTACAAATTTTTGTCTTGGCAAGCAGTGACTAGCACCTTTCCATCTGGAGAAAGGGCTGCATACAATCTCTATTCATGGTAGAGGGGTGGTCCAAAAACTGGAGAAGGTAGGGTAATACTCAGCCAAAAAAGCCACCTGGATTTCTGCCGCAGCCTGTGAGGATCAATCTAAAAGCAGCGCATGCAACATGATGCCAGTGACTGGTGCTTACCGCAAGGACTTCTTTAATCAAACCCAATAGCTCCCATTCACAGTCATCCTGAGTCTCAACTTGAACCATCTCGATGATCACTCCAAATTCTAGCACACGTATGTGAATTTCATCTAACATACAATAATTAACCTACATACTGATTCAATTGCAGTGAACTCCAAGTGTACTGGCCTTTCGCATATATAATATCAGTGACGTCTGACTGTTATGGTCCGACCAAAGTCATTTCAAGTTTGGTCTGAAGTTCCGCATTTTGGTTCAACTTGCATGTTCAACATTTTCTAGGTGTGTTTTTCATGCTAATATAGCTACTAGTACACTCTTCTGACTTCATGCAGCTACTATGTTCATTAATAGTGGGACTTGGTAGGAGTCGAGGTATACATTAACGAGCTGTTCAATAAGGTGCGTGATCAATATTCTATTATCTGTTAATTGCTAATGATGTTCCACAAACATTTTGTTCTTTATACTCGCTGGTCTCCCTCCTTGTTGGTCTCCCTCCTGGTTGTTCTCCCTTGCTCGCTGCTTTCGCTCACTGCTTGCGCCATGCATGTTCTCCTTCGCTGGTCTCCCTCACTCCCTGCTTTGGCTCGCTGATCTTGCTTGCTGGTATTTCTACCCTCAGTCGCTTGCTGCTCGCGCTGCACAGGTCTCCCTCGCTGCCTCCACTCGCTGCTCTCCCTCGCTGCCTCTGGCTCTCCCTCGCTGCCTCTGCTCGACGCTCGCTGCTCTCCCTCACCACCCCATGATGAGGATGGTGAACTGGTCTAGTAGCATTTAGTATTACATGATGCATCTGTTGTTGGGCGTGTTTCAATATAATTTTTCTTGACGAATTTTTATTAGTTTGGATGGTCCAGTTCTCGTTTTGAACCAGAACCAGACCATTTTTGGACCGAACCGATGGTCCGGTCCACGGTTCTGCTTACTAGGAGAACTGAACCGATGGTCCGGTCCATGGTTCTCCTAATTTCCTGGAGAACCGGACCTGTCCATCACTACGAGCTTGTCATCTTCACTGTCAGCACCATCAGAGTCAGGTCCCTCTTCATCTGAAAGTCTCTAGATCAGAGTATTATCCTCGTCAGGGCCATTGGAATCAAAGTCGCTGTCATACTCTAGGAGACCCTTGTGCTTTTTTTGAGGCAGGAATAGGTGTAAATGGCATAATGATAATGATTTTCAGGAGAAGATAGTTTATAACAGGCAAAATTTCTCTAAGTCTAACATTTCCTAATTGAATGAAAAAATCATGCCACTGCCATCCTTTATGAAAAGAGCTGTAAGCATGATCTGGATCCACAGGCCTATCTCCTGCTTTGCTATATTTGGAGCTATGTAGAATTTAACACATATGCTTTGTTAGAGGTTCGCACCAAAGACACCATCAGGGATGGCTGAAATGCATTGTCAGAGCTCACTGAATTGATGGATGTAAGTTTTATTGTGTATATTGTAAATCGACACCATTGATTCAGAACTATGAGTCAGACATACATCAAAGATACAGCAGACCTCTCAGAGAAGCCATGGAATTTCCCCAAGAAACATCTTTCGGCTCATGTCTTTGACGACATTGAGGCAAAAGGTGTCACCCAAAACTACAACACAAAGTTGAATGAAAAGATGCACAGCCTGCTGAAGGATGCCTATCAGGATCATATAAACTTCAAGAATTTTGCTGAACAGGTAAGTGGCTTCTTAAACTGCATATATGTGAACTTAGTGCTGACAAACAAATTTAAAGATTCTTCGGTACAACCATGACAGCCTAATTGCAGAATATATTCACAGCAAGATGGACTGCCTCAACACACAGAATATAGGCTCATCAGATCTACCTGATCTGTTGGAGGCCAATGAGGTCGAACAGACTAATCCAACTGATGCACAGCACTTTAGTCTTGGTTCATGGCAGGTGAGTAAATCATTTGCAGACATCAAAGCAGGTAACATGGGCAATCTAGTTTTTGATCAAATTGAATGAATTTTTGAACCACGCATTTGCTGCCAACAATATACCATTTCCAAGTGGAAGATGTGTCTAACTTGCTGCTGGTGACATGGTGCATTGAGCATCTACAACCCTCAAATGACATCACTAATAGTATTGCACTTTTTCTCAGATTACTGAGTTTAGATTCCTTAAAGTCAGCTATGAGTTGCTTGTTGACTGGCAAGTCTCCAATGCAATCCAATGTTTCATGGATTGCCTTGATACAATTGTGTCATCCTGCAAATGGAAGCTGGTTCCATCTTCACCAAGCTGTTGTTGATCTTTACCTGCACAGTTGGGGACATCAATTATCCTATCACACTCACTCTCCTGTATGATCAAGTGGTTGGTGCTCATCCATGGAAGGACAAAGATTTCAATTTTTGGCAGGTCAAGGCAAAGCCCAGGGCCTCTGCTGAATGCTTCTTGGTTCAATCAATAGTTCATGGTTGTGTACCTCTCACATCAAAACTACTCGCAACTCTGCTCTTTCAGTCGCCTTAGCCACAGCACTTGCTGATAAGCCCTTTCGTCACCCTCCAGTTCATGTCCTCACTGCTACGTCGCTTGCAGAACATCTTCTGCAAAGTTGCTTTGACTATGATAAAACAAGACACATATATTGTAGGTTGCTAACAAGGTTAAGCCAGTCGCGACAACCATGCCAGCCCATGCCCGCATCATCTGACATATTCCCAAGGATCCCCTTCTAACACTTCCAGCCGTGTCTCCAATTCCACCTGACTTCATTCCTAGAAAACGCCTCACCCAAGAACCCATGAACAAACTGGGAGTATTTTGCAATGAGTTCCTCTGGCCTGAAGAACAGAAACTCACGGCACAAGTGCTTATGAATAATGAGTTGGCTCTTGCCTGGGACGAATTGGAGAAGGGCCGTTTCAAAGACGAGTATTTTCCTCCTGTAATCATCCCCACCATCGAACACACACCATGGGCACATCACCAACCCCCCATTCCACCAGGAATTAAGGACGAGGTCATCAAGCTCATCCAATCGAAGATCGCCTCAGGTGTCTATGAGCCATCTAACTTATCCTACCAGTCTCATTGGTTTTGTGTCGCAAAGAAGAGTGGAGCAGTCCACATCGTACATGACCTCCAGCAGCTTAATTCAGTCACTATCAAAGATGCTGCAACTCTTCCATATGTTGAGCATTTTGCTAAGCAATCAGCAGGGCAAGGTATCTATACAATGATGGACTTATTTGTAGGCTTCGATCACCGGGCTCTTGCAGAAGAATCACGAGATATCACAACCTTCCAGACACCTCTCGGCACTCTTCGTCTTACCGTGCTTCCCCAAGGGTGGATGGACTCTCCTGCAGTATTCCAGAATGAGGTAGCTTTCATCCTCCAGCACGAAGTCGAGATGGCCCCAAACTTTCAAGACAACATCAATGTCCTTGGTGCACACACTCAATAAGAGCTCACAGACGGTACTTGTGAACTCCATCCCATCAATCCCATGATATAACACTTCGTTTGGGACCACTACTTGGACGTTAATCGTGTTCTGCATTGACTCAAACGTGCAGGTGCCACAGTCTCTGCCAAAAAGTTGTTTATCTGTGTCCCCAAAGTTATCGTGGTTGGACAAAAGTGTATTTACAAAGGCCGTGTACCGGACGAGTCTAAAGTATCGAAGATTTGGAACTGGCCTTATTGCACCTCCAGGACTGAAGTCCGAGGATTCTTAGGGACTGTTGGAACCATCTGCAATTGGATCAAGGACTATGCGAGTATCACACGCCCTCTCACAAGTATGTATGCTTTGCTTGATCTAATAGTATGACCATTGACATGCCTTCATCTAGCCCATCTAAGCCCTCGAACATCCAAAGTTCCAGGAGATGAATCCAGCGTGTGCTTTACCACATCTCATCTGCCAACACAGAGCACTGCTGTTAGTGGAGCAATCAATATCACTTGCGACGCATGGCAAGCCACCAACACTGATGGATATTTCGCTGTCACTGGCCACTGGATTGAAGAGAAGTCGACGATGCAATGGGAGTGCGAAAGCACACTTCTTGGCTTTACCCAGCTCAACAATGCACACAATGGGAAGCGTCTCAGTGGCACACTGTTCAAAGTTTTAGATCGTGTCGGTATCACACATAAGGCATGTCATCTTTGCATTCTGCTTGGCTCAGTCTAATCATGATATATAGTTGGGCCATATCACTTGTGATAATGCCTCTAACAATGGCACAATGCTCGAGGAGTTTGCTCAACTCTATGAAGCACGACACAAAAAGGAGTTCCCTTGCTATGAACAAAGGATCAAGTAAGACATTTGTTTTGCAGTTGATATGTGCTCATGTAGTGTTCAGCTGTCTCGCTCATGTGATTAATCTCGCCACCCAAGTACTGATCAGTACATACAGCAAAGCTCCGCACTACGAGCCTCACAACCCCCATGCTCATGAGCCGGATACCACCAAGCATCATAATCATGACGAGATCGGACTCATATGTTTGATATGCGTAAAGGTGATTGATGTCTCTTCACGCATTACATTTTACTGAATTGTTCAAAGGAGCAATCATAGGCTGGTGTCTGTTACAAGTAACATCGGCTACATGGCCCCCCTATCATTTTTCCCCATCATCCTCGCCCTCGTACTCCTCCGGCTCGCACTTCTCTACCGACTATCCGTTGACCGGATCCTCGGGACCGTTCCCGTCCCTCGTCTCCCTCCTATCACACCAACGTGCGCACGTGCCTTCGGGCTATGACTCGTTCTGACTCGTGCCACCAATGTGGCTTTCCTTATCTCGTCTTATCTTTCCTTTGACTCATGCGGGCTGCGCATTGTATCATTTACTGTTGGCTCGTTCCAACGTTTCTCGGTCTCATTCCGCATTCGACCTCACATCACCAATCAGGCTCTGCTGCCAGCGTACCTATACCCTTTCCGTTTCCCCTTTACCCTTACCTACAGTACGGTAGCCTTGCCCTTAACCCTTTCCACTTAGTATAAGTAGTCGGTCACTCTGTACTAGATTCCCTAACTTGAATCTACTCAATCTTCCCTGGAACATACTTCTCTCTGAAGCCCCCTCAGCTTCAGTCTCTAGTATCTTTTCTTAGGTGCTCATCGCGCCTAAGTCTACCTCGATCGACTACTCATCGTTCGGACAAGACTGTCCTTACCTTGAGAACATCAGTGACTTATAGGACATCCGTCTTAGAAGTCACGTGACACGCACGTCTCTGATATCTGCCGACTCGACGTCGCCAGTCTCAGTCGCTACACCGGACCCTTCCGGTTACGTCACGAACGCTAGCAGACGACGCCCCTCTTAGGGCTCTGCATAGCAGATCTATTTGAGTGCGTAACAGTGTCTCGCACCCTACACAACTCCTTCTGGATATGAAGGTTCATTGGTCCTCAACCTATGTGATGGTCAACTGTGCGGAGAGCAATAAAGAGGTGAGTGTAGCCTGCAGTGTCCAATAATGCAATGTCTGATTTCTGACAACAGCATGTCAATGTATTTGTGTACAAGATGGGTCTACAAGAGCAAGACTTGACCAAACGGGCCAAGATTGATTTCCTTACATTGGCGTCAACTGAATGGACCCGTGTTGGTAAATTTGCTGATCTATTATTGGTATGTTACCTTCGTCATTTGATATTGTGCTGCCACTGATTTAATATTTCAGTATGCAGACGTTGCCCAGCAGGCCTTTTCGTCAGAATCAACTACTACACTACATCTTGCTATCCCTGTGCTCGAGACTCTCCATCGAGCTTGGACTTCACGTGCAGAACAGTCCAAATATTTACATTTGCGCCAGCATTGCATGCCGCTGCACAAAAGCTCGACAAGTATTATGAGAAGACCACTGACTCCCCGGCCTATGTCCTGACTATGTGTATGTTCTCCTTGTTTCATTTACCATGTATCCGTGATGCTCATGTTCCATGCAGTGCTTGATCCGACGGGTAAAATATTGTACTTTAAGAAGAACTGGCCCGAGGATTTGCAAGACGAAGTTCTTGCTTGCGTGGAACGAGTGGTATGTTGGACAAAGTTATTCACCAGCTTACAATCACTTACAAGTCATGTAGTTTGAGGCTCGCTATCTTGAATTGGGCCAGGCAGCATCCATGTTGCAACCTTCACTTGTCAAGAAAGGCAAAGCTAGCGGACTCAAGAAGTTAATTTGCAAGGCGCAGATCTCCGATGAAGACGACAATGATGAGACTGTCATACCTGTGTTCCGGACCTGGACCTATCACACATATCATTTCCGGATATCTGGATCCAGCTGACGTCTATCTATGTCTGGATCTGACCCGCATCTAACTTCCGTGCCTTATCCCTTTGTACGTTCCTACTCCGGTTAGACTATATCATTTTCCGTACCTCGTTTCATTTCCACCCTTTATTTTCCTTTGATCTAATCTCCGGGTTCATTTACTATTTTCCGATAGACTAGTGTTTGACTTTTCTATACACTCCGTCCACCGCTTTGTATAGCTTCGGACTTTGCATTTTAGTAGTATATAAACCCTGTAGAAACTATGTACATCCTTAGTTCGAATATTATCTTAGACTCTGCTCATTCCTTCCTCCGCCCGACTTGAGTTATCCTCTCGTCGACCTCCGCTCGTCTTAGGATTGATTCCTATCAACTTGTCACCTCCGCCTCTACCTTTGGTAGTCCTCCACTGTTTCCTTTCTAGTTCGGACTTCGTCTGGATTAGTCTTATCTCTTGTTCCTGAACGTCTGCCGGAATTCCCACGCATCGGACATCGGACTCCGGACATCGCCTGACACCCTCCGGACATCGTCCGGTAACCTTTGGATATCGTTCAACAGCCTTCAGAAGTTAGGTGCACGTACTCGGGTAAGGGGCACAGCGCACGAGCTGAAGCCAAGCCCTTCAGATTTGACCCTTGAGCACATTGGAGAGGGCCACACCTGACTAGCAAGGAGGCTGGCAAACTAACCAAGCAACAGCTGGTGGTAGAAGTCTGAAGACCTAACCCTACGAGAACATGGCTCTATCTATGGACTACTGGACCTCTGACACCCCTGGCTGATGCCCCTGAGGCCAAACCCTCCTACTACAGATACCCCCCCCAAAAAAAAATGCGACACTCCTGGGTCGCGATGGAGAGAGCCAGCGAGACGTGGATGGGGTACTAAATGGTGACAAAAATGGTGAACGAAAAGGCAAGGTACGAAATCTATAAGTAGTAAAGTATGTAGGTGGCTGAGGATGAGGATTAAATGGAACAGTGTCAAAATGAACCGGATATCATGACAAACTTAAGCGTGAATCATGCCAATGAGAACGAGAACGAGTATAAGGTACATTGAAAAAAAATGAATTAGAATACATAGCATGGGTGCATGGTGGTGGTCGAGTCGTTGAATGACGCTGGTGCTTTCGGAGGCTAGCCCAGGGATCAGCGTTCGACGAGCGAAGACCCAAAAAATCGCGTTTCGGACGCGTGTGCTGTGGCGAGAAGATGGTGTCGTCGACCTCATCAGCCCAGCTTGCATGTTGCGAGCGTGTCTGGTCATTGATGGCATGCGCTCGTGAGTCCTCGCTGTTGGCTGTTGCTGACGTGTCGTTGACGCGAGTGCTCGACGTCGAGTGGTGCCGGTGTTGCTTGGGAGGTGTGGGTGGTACTGGCGTGGGTGATGTCGTGTTCAAGGGTGGTTGCATGGTGCTGGGCCGTTCGACAGCGAGGCCAGGAATGAGGTTGCTCACCTCCTCATAGATTCTTCCATCTCCCTGCAAATCATCCTCCTCCTCTCCTCCTCTTCCTTCTCCATTCTTCCTTCGTCCATCTTTTGTTCTCTCTCGTTCTCTCTCCTCCTGTCGTTGGGCATCGTCCGCGTTCGTTCGAGTCGTGCCAGCATTTGCTGGCACGTGCTGGGCATTCGCACACGGTGTTGGTGACGTTGGACGCGGCGTGGTGGTCTTTGGCAATGGTGGCGCGGATGGCATTAGTGGTGTTGTGGTGTCCAGCGAATTGTGCGTCCGTGGTACTGGGTGCTTGCTGCTGGTTGGAACGTGCGTGAGAGGTCGCGCTGGACTTGGTACCACTGGTGGACACGTGTTGACGCGTGTCTGTGTGCTCACCGTGTCCTGCAAACTGTCTCCTGCTTCCAACTTCCCCACTTCTTCCTGCCTTCTGCTTGTTCGTCCACTTCCTCCTCCCAACTGCTCCTGCTGCTGCCGGTTGCTTTCTGTATTCGTTTGAGCCACACCAGCATTTGCTGGCGTGGGCTCGGCGTTTGCACATGGTGCCGGCGAGTGGTGGTACGAGGTAGGACATTGTTGGTCGAGTGTTGGGTCGCGTGCGCTCAAAGTCGAAGGGGATGACGTCAAAATGGAAGATGGTGTCGTGGTGGCACGAGTACAGGGCGTGTCAGGTGTCGCGTCTTTGTTGCAGGGGATGGGGGTACAGTCAAGACGGCGACTTACTGACAGGATGTTTCCCTCCTCCTCCCGTTCCTTCTCTCCTCCTTCTCTCTTCGCCTTGGTGTTCTCCGTGTGCATTCGAGCCACGCCAGCATTTGCTGGCATGCTCTGGGCGCGGACGCTCGACACTGGCGAGTCCGCGTGTCGCATACTAGGTGCTGGTTGGTGCTGGTTGCACGCGTCTGCTGGCATAAAGGGTGGCATTGAGCCATGTGTCGTTGGACTTGGCGTGGAGGTTGCAGCGAGTGCTGCCGAATGCGAAGTTGCCGGTGGTGGTTTAGTGGCAGGTGCGACAGAGTCGTTTGCGGGTGTTTCGTTGATGGCTGGGACAGGAGATGCAACGAATGGTGCAGAAGGCGAAGGCACTGATGGTGACGCAGTGGTCTGCATGGAGTCTAGAACTACCCATAGGCTGGGTCATGCCCAGGGCGAATTAAGCTGCACATCAAGGTGCTGTTGCCGTTTCCGGAGTTTCTTCTCCCGTTGCTTGCGTTCGGCTGCTGGCTTGATGATAAAATCTCGTTTGAAGGCTTCAACGAGAGCTGCGAAGTTCGACCGTTGAGGTAGCGGCAATGTATTTAGCCATCGTAAGGCTTCGTCTTTGAACTTCGACTTGAAAAAATGAAACTGTTGCGTTTGTGGCAGAAAGTCCGAGTTCTTGAGATAGTCTTCAAGCCAAGTAGAAGCAATTAGCGTGTCTCCGTGAAACGCGGGAATACTTTCAGCGCCCATAGTCTAGAAGTGGTCAAAAAACACTAGATAATTTGAAATTAAGGTGCGAAGCTCCGAGAAACGCAAATCCAATGTAAACAAGATCCAGGTGCTGGGTTCTAGGAGGTGCTATGGACAAAGGTTCAAATGACACGTAAAATCCAGATTGCAGACCAATAGTAAAGTGAACGGAGCGTGCTCAGCAGTGTGACTACGAGAAAACGAGCTGAAGCTGATAGGAATCGAGTAGGATAGACAGCTGAGAGAGTGCGCAGACAAGCAGAAAAAAGCAGGACCAGCAAGAACGATGCTCACTCTAGTCACCAGGTGGAGAGGGCCACACCTGACTAGCAAGGAGACTGGCAAACCAACCAAGCAACAGCTGGTGGTAGAAGTCTGAAGACCTAACCCTATGAGACCATGGCTCTATCTATGGACTACTGGACCTCTGACACCCCTGGCTGATGCCCCTGAGGCCAAACCCTCCTACTACAATGTTCTTAACAGTATATTCGAACTCACACCTTACCGAGTATACTTACATCATTATGGCACCTACACGGGTACAGACTGTTCTCAATGCGGCGGGTTTAGTAACCGCCCGATGGGACTCTACTCCCATAGTCGATGCTTTCCTCAGTTTCTCTCAGCGCCGTGCTAGTGCGCAAGGCGCTGCCTCCAGTATTTCGCAACTCATGAACCATCCACATCCGACTACCCCTACACCCACACCCGCCAGAAATCTTCCGCACAACGATTCCAATGATGAGTATCCTCTGGGTGGTAACCCACCCAGAGATGGTGTGGGTGATCCGGATGATGATCCAGAAGACCCGGAAGATGATGAACATGAAGGCCTAGGTCCGCAGGACTTAGTCTTCCTCCGGCTATCCCAAGCTATCAATAATCTGGTGCTTAACAACCGCCAATCCTCCGGATCCGGTGACCCTAAAGTCAAAATACGAGAACCGGATACCTTCGATGGCACTGAGCCCCAGAAGCTCCGGGCGTTCTTTGTCCAATGTGAGCTTAACTTTCAAGCTAAGCCAAAATCTTTCCGTACCAGCCGGACTAAAGTCAACTTCGCGCAATCATACCTGAAGGGCATAGCCCTCGAATGGTTTGAGCCGGACCTCCTTCCAGATGATCTAGCGGATCGTCCGGACTGGATGGATGACTACTCCGAGTTCATGTTAGAACTTCAAACTAACTTCGGACCTCATGACCCGGTTGGAGATGCGGAAATGCAGCTGGAACAGCTCTATATGCGCGATGGGTAGCGCATCAACAAGTATGTTGTAGATTTCCAGCAGCTAGCTTCCCAAGTTCGAGGTTGGGGCGACAGAGTGTTGCGCTGTCAGTTCTATAATGGACTTCCGGCTCGCATCAAGGATGAGATCAGTTGTCAAGGAAAACCTACCACCCTTCTGAAATACAAAACTCTCGCCCAGACTATCGACACTTGATACTGGGAATGCAAGGGAGAAGTCTCCCACGAAACCAAACCCTCCACATCCACCCCTCCTGCTAAGCAGTCGGCTTCTACTTCCGACCGGAAAGAGTACTCCAGTGGAAAATCCGGAACCGCTTTGGCTTCCTCCTCCACCAAACTTCCAGACTTGACGTCCAAGCTCGGAAAAGACGGTAAACTAATGTCTGAGGAGCGCCAGAGGCGCATGGAAAAGAAGCTCTGCCTTTTCTGCGGCGGACCCGGTCATACTGCCCGGGACTGCCTAAAATCCACCTCCCATGTGGCCAAAGGTCGTGCCAGCATGGTAACTCTGGAAGACAAACCGGAGGTCTCGGAAGAGACAAAAAATTAGTCCGCAACCCTCTTGACTCCACGCAGGACAAGGGTTGCGTTGACTCAACCCGTTGTAAAGATACAACAATGCTTGATACTATACGAAGTAAGTGTCAGCACTATAATAATGTTGTAGTGGTCTTGCACAGCCTAGTCTGCTATACTTGCTAGACAAGTGTGTTCGACCCGAGGGGTTTGCTATTGGAATAAGTTAGTCCGATGCCAAAGCATCGGCCGATGTTTTCGGGTTTAGCGGGTTAGCGGGTTTCGGGTACGGGTTCGGCGGGTTAGCGTCGGGTTAGGGAAATGGTCGTCGGGTATAGCGAGCGGTATGCGGAATATCAATAATGACGGGAGTTTTGGATAGAAAGAGCGGTAATATTCGTAATGTCAACTAAGAACTACGAAAATATCGGGTTTGACCACAAAGCGTCAGGAAACGGCTCCCTACTACTTGGATGCTGAATATGCTATGTGGAAACCAATATATATATAAGTACGTAGAAATCCGGAACCCTATAGGCGAAAGTAGCGGCCGAAGAATTTCGGGTCTGATGTACATGTAAATAAACACGAGGCGCTGCGGATTATGGGAAAACATGTAATAGTGCTGGCTACGACGTGAGTAATGTGCGAAATAATCAACTATGCACCTAGTGGGGCTAGCTGACAAGACAAGACACGGATAGGACAAGTGCACGGGAAAAACATCGGATCCGATGCGGCTGATGCGTCGGGTTGCATCGGGAAGTAAATATCGTGCAACGGACATTTGACGTGATGCGTGAAATGGCTGAATACGAGCCTAGCGCGAGCTCGAGTGCTACACTGTGCAATGGAGCTACACCTCAACGCTATATCCTTCTCCTATCCGAACTCTTTATTACCGTCCATTTCTATTTCTACTTTTCCTGATATCTCTCCATTCCCAGCTTTAGTAGATTGTGGTTCCTCCCATTGTTTTATAGAAAGCAAGCTAATCCGAAAAAATAACATTCCGACCTATGCCATTCCTCCACTTCTGCTCCATTTGTTTGACAGCACTTCTAATGCCACAATTACCGAGGCAGTAGATTTGCCGATCCATTTTCTGACCGGCGTGGTCACCTCCGAAACATTTTATGTTACTCTGTTGGACTCATCCTGTTCCATTGTTCTAGGAAATAGCTGGCTCACCTGACACAATCCATTGATTGACTGGGTAGAGGGCAGCATCGATTTCCGTCCGATTCCTCATGGAGTGCCTTCACCTCCTCCGACCCCTTTTCCGCCGGCTCCGGCGGAAATCCCTTCCATAACCCCACCGAGTTCCTCCGCTGATACAACCATTCCCAATATTTCTCTTATCAATGCAGTTGCCTTTTGCCGGGCCTGTAAATTGGAGGGATCGGTCCAGTTCAGTATTTTTGTTCGTCCGTCCGGTGTCAATCTCCGCTCCACTACACTCTCCTCCAAACCTCCAAACCTATCCGGAATCCCTTTGGAATATAATGAGTACACGGATGTCTTTGATAAAGGCAAAGCTGGACAGCTCCCTCCCCATTGTCCCTATGATCTAAAGATCAATTTGGAAGAAGGAGCGGCTCCGCCCCTTGGCACCATCTATTCCCTTTCCCCAGTTGAGCTTGTAGCTCTTTGCAAATTCCTAGATGAGAACATTGCGACCGGACTCCTCCGTTCCTCATCCTCTCCGCATGGAGCCCCTGTCCTGTTTGTCAAGAAAAAGGACGGCTCCCTACGTCTCTGTGTAGATTTCTGAGGACTCAATAAAATCACAAAGAAAGACTGCTATCTGCTTCCCCTCATTTCCGACCTTCTCGATTCTCCGAGCCACGCTAAAGTTTACACTAAAATCGACCTCTGGTCCGCTTATCATCTAGTCCGGATGGCGGAAGGAGACGAGTGGAAAACTGCTTTCCAGACGCGCTACAGCTCGTATGAATGGTTGGTTATGCCTGAGGGTCTCACCAATGCTCCGGCGACTTTCCAGCGCTTTGTCAACACTATCTTCACCGATATGCTTGATATATGCGTTATTGTGTACCTCGACGACATCCTCATCTATTCCGCCGACCTTGCATCTCATAAACAACACATCCTTGAAGTCCTCCGATGCCTCCAGAAGCATCGGCTATATGCTAAACCGGAGAAATGTGAATTCCATTCCGACTCGGTGTTACAAGTAACATCGGCTACATGGCCCCCCTATCATTTTTCCCCTTCGTCCTCGCCCTCGTATGCCTCCGGCTTGCACTTCTCTACCGACTATCCGTTGACCGGATCCTCGGGACCGTTCCCGTCCCTCATCCCCCTCCCATCGCACCAACGTGCGCACGTGCCTTCGGGCTATGACTCGTTCTGACTCGTGCCACCAATGTGGCTTTCCTTATCTTGTCTTATCTTTCCTTTGACTCGTGCATGATGCACATTGTATCATTTACCGTTGGCTCGTTCCAACGTTTCTCGGTCTCATTCCGCATTCGACCTTACATCACTAATCAGGCTCTGCCACCATCGTACCTATACCCTTTCCGTTTCCCCTTTGCCCTTACCTACAGTATGGTAGCCTTGCCCTTAACCCTTTCCACTTAGTATAAGTAGTCGGTCACTCTGTACTAGATTCCCTAACTTGAATCTACTCAATCTTCCCTCGAACATACTTCCCTCTGAAGCCCCCTCAGCTTCAGTCTCTAGTATCTTTTCTTAGGTGCTCATCGCGCCTAAGTCTACCTCGATCGACCACCTCATCGTTCGGACAAGACTGTCCTTACTTTGAGAACGTCAGTGACTTTGAAGACATCTGTCTTAGAAGTCACGTGACACGCGCGTCTCTGATATCTGCCGACTCGACGTCGCCAGTCTCAGTCGCTACACCGGACCCTTCCGGTTACGTCACGAACGTTAGCGGACGACGCCCCTCTTAGGGCTCCGCATAACAGAACTATTTGAGTGCGTAACAAAAGATTCAAGTTTCCTTTTTTTGCGCCCTGCCATCCGCACGGCCATTAACCGACAGACACCACGACTACCTGGACCCCGAAGTACCCTTGGGAACGCGATCCCAACACTCCGGACTCCGAAGAAGAAGAATCGGAAGAAGACCATACGTCCTCCGACGAGTTTCCCGACGAACAACCGTACGGTAACCTCAACTCGAACCCTGGAACAAGAATGTCCGGAGGCCCCACCCCACAACCGACAGTGGTCGTATCCAGGC